CTACGTATATTTAAATTTGAGAGTGTAGCAGGTGAGTCTAGTGATGTATGAAACGTGATTTGTGCACTAATCCCATTTCACAGGGCCAGCTGCCCAACACAGATGTCAGCTCTTCATGTATCCACAGATAACCTGATAAAACAGAAGCCCCCTCATCCACTGTGGATGAAGAGACATGCTCCATCTCATTCTCTACTTCAATTGATTGCTTTAATCTTCAACCTTTGTCTAACCCTTTCTCTCCATGTTCAGTTTTTTCTCTCATCTGCTTGCAATTCCCTGTCTTTGTCTCCATCCTTACCTTCATCAGCCACACCTTCTTTTTTCCACTCTCCCCCATTTCTCCTCCACCCTTCCCCCATACATTGTAACACATCTATCTTGATATGGAATTATTGCGGTCCCACCACCCTTCCTTCTGTCTACTATATGCCTCTGTACGCCTCTGTCATCCCCCTTACAGCATTGTAGCGGGTATACCATAGCGAGGAGTGTAGTGGGGGGTGGGGTGGTCCTGCCTTACTGACAGATTTAATGAGCTCCTGTGGGGATCGGACCAAAGCCATCAGAAGATGCGTGCGGCTATACTGTACTGTATAGCCAGCTCTCTTAAACAGATGCGCCTTTGCTAATGATACTAGCATCACTTCATATATGCAGCCGACATGAACACAGGAGCAGCTATAGGAGGAAAATGTGCGTTTGTCTGCAATAGGTGTAGCCCCTCATCAGATAGAGGAGGCCGTGGGGAGGAACAGTAGGAATATTTCACATGACTATGGATGAACTTCTTTTCTCAGATGATCTTCCATATGTGCAGCTTTAGGCAATATATTGGGGCTGGGTTATTGCATGGGCTGTCACAACATGTATTTGGTTGCAGCTTAGAAGGACACTTCTGAATACATAGCATGACAATTAAGACTATTTCAACGTGATGGAAGAAAGACTGAGAGTTGCACGAGTTGAGAAATATGATTGAGTGTTTGTGTGTATCTTTGAACACAAGAATAAAAAAAGGATTTAGGTAGAGAGCGAAAGACGTGAGGATGAGTAAACTTACTTTACCTCTGACTGTGAAGTTGCTTGCAGTTGGATTAAATTCCATCAAACTAAATCCCTTTGCAGATATTATACAGATGAATGGGAATTACCCAATTCACCCCTATAACAGCCACTACCCAGCATAATAGGCTGTTAGCACATAATTACAGTGCGACTGGTCACATCTGAGGGACCTATGCAAACTACAACGCTAGCCTCAGGATTCCCAGAGGCTCTCTCTAATGACTGCCTCATTATGGACACAAAGACTTGTGCCAAACAAAGGGAAACCTTAGAGGATGCTGAGGGACAGACACGTACTGTATGGTTTAATCATGCGTTGCCAGGATGCTGATGCAGCCTGATTGTAAAACAGAATGGTAAAAAATGTGATGAAAGCAACACAACAGGAGTTTCAATGTCACATCTACATAAAATGTATACTGTAAAGCATTGTGCACATTGCTTCACATGATGGACGTTGACCGAAAAAGGAGATTATGCATTCCTCAGAAGCATTGTTTCTCATGAAAACTGGGCTGGAAATTGCATGGCTCTATAAAATATTTGCTCCCAGGGGGTCAATTTGTGTGATTTCCTGTGGAACGTTATCTCCCTCTGTATAGGGTTTGTAGAATAGTGTTACTAATTTGTCAACAACTGTGTGTATGACTTATGATAACTTTTCATAGCTTCAATGCTGGAGTGCAGCATGCTAACCTAAGCAGCTCTTTCAGCACTACAGCTCTTTTCAGCCTGAGCTGAGGCCTGAGTCTCTGTCACTGACCATGGTACTGAATCCCTGCCCTGTTACTCTGTTTCTATTCAAGGATTAACCCGTCAAGAACAGCCCAAACACATTCAATTTAGCCATTCATAATTGCACAAAGAATAGAAATATTACAGAGGTCAGTTATAGATGATACATACTACATTGTTCTGCTCAAATTGGACTATATTTGAGCAAATTGCATGGTATTACCCTGTCTGAATATCAGCAAAATCAGCTTTATTCCATGTGCATTTCCTTTTCCTCTATGTTACTCTTTGATCTGACTGTCTTCTCACTCCTGGGTTCAGTTACAATATTTGTTGAAGACAGCTTTCGAGTCGATTGCTGAGATATATCTATATAACTATCCTTACATATAGATATATAGATACACATATATGTATCACCGGGGTTGGGCCGAGTTGGTTGTGTGTTTCGGATGAGAACCTTTACCATTAACATTCTTTGAAAGTAGTCTCGATGAATTGAATGAAAAATAGCTAGCTCCATTCAATTTGGGCCGTTGTTTGAGAAATGTATACAGGGAAAAAGAGGATTATTGATTGTGGTTTGGTATTTGGGGTTAAATCTAAGCAAAGTTTGAAGGCAGCTTCCTGATGGGAAAGTTCTTTGGCCACTGCCCCTCTACTTTTGTGTCTAAGCAAGCAGCACTTTGAGAGGGTCTTGTTTTGCTACTGTTTAGGTTACACTGCTGATGGAATAAACCAGATTTGCATGACAGTCCCCACATCTCTCTGCTGCTATCTATCACTGAATGCATTCATCCCCACAACCATCAAGGAATACATAATTGGGAGTCGTAGAGTGACAAAGCTTCCCCTTCTTCAGATCCTGGAATTTATCTCTCACTTCCTATGCACAGCACAACCTGAAGTGTTTGCTGAGAGCTTCATTTTGGGGGTGTGGGGGCTTTTCACAGCTCCTAGGCACCCAGTATGTGTGAGTCCATTTCTTCCCACTGCATGGCAAGTGGCTCTGAGGCCCAGGGGGGGGGGGGCAGATATATCCGGAGCCTGGCCCAGCTCCAGTTGTCTTTACCTCAGAGTATATTGTGATGCTCCAGTCATGAGAACGGGCACCGGGCCCCTCGAAAGACCAGTGGGAAACTTGTATTCTCATTTACATCTTCCTCTTAGCTATCACATGATTCCCAACAACCTGAATTAGATAAGTATCATCACGCAACCTGTCATTAATGCTAACTTGTTAATTGTTATGTAAGCACATGTTGTAGATGGTAGTGTGGTATTGTTGGCAAAGACTTTCACAGAAGCTCATCAATTATGCAGCCCTGACACCAAAGAAGCTCCTTTTGGGACATATCCTGTCAAGTTTTAGAAATCATTATAGAACAAAATGAATGAATTACTAACCTGTCTATGAAATTAAACGTTCTTTGGTGAGGGGAAACAAATAATATGCCGTCCTGTCGGCTAATCTTTAAAGTTTCCCATCTTAATATGGTGTGTGTGCTTTTGATTGTGGATATGAGTGTGTGTGGCTGTGTGCTTCCTCTTTCCTCTTCATCCCTTTCTCTCTAAGCCACAGAGTGTTGCTAGGACAACCCCTCGTGGTCCTTGCTGCATCGCAGCGGTCCTCAATGCCACCACTCAGGGAACCTCCTTGCACTGGGAAGGCAGCATAAAATCGGGATAATCGCCGTCGATTATGGCACACAATGGGCTGGCGCTTCTGAAAGATTCATTCATGGTGGAAAAAGGGACTGTGGAGGGGGATAGAGAAAGGGGCGCCTTGGTCCCTCCGCTGCTCTCCCACGGTGGGCACAGGCATGACATCAGTGGCCTGAAAGAACTGGCATTCTGGACATGCCCACTGCCCTCCCTCCCTCCCTCCCTCACTATACCCTTATACCCCTTCCAGTTCGAACCCCCTCCCTTCTTTTCTCACCCATGCCAGTTTGGATGCAGCGCTTGGCCGGGCATGTTGAGGCCACTGCTGCTGTTTGCGTGTGAAACAAAGCCCTTCAGTAGGAAGAGAGAGGAAGCAGCGAGCTTCACATGGTACCAGCCAAAAGCAGGGATGGCTGCCTGAGCCTTCCCCTCACAGGCCCCTCTTTTGGCTGAGAGGTGCTGGTGTGACCCCAGTACCCCCTTCTCCCCGTAGTGTCCCTCTTACTCCCCCGTGTAACCCCTTCTTCTCTGTCCCTCTCTCTCTCTCTCGCTCTCATCCTGAAAATACTGCCTCTTCCCTGAGAGGGCCCTTTCAATGAGTATGACATGACAAGGGATTTAGGATGAGTGATTTCTCATGACACAACCCTTGCCGACAGGGATGGGATTCCTCTGGCTTTTGTTGTGCAGTTGGTCATTTGTTTGAAGAGGAAATAGCTTTCCAACACATTTCCCTAATTAGAATAATGTGATACTGCTCAATACAATGTGAAGTCCCATGCTGCTGGGAGACTAGAAGGAAATCAGCGTGACACCATCCTCACATGAATCACGTCGGTCATTTGGGCTTTGGAGTTAAGGAGTTTTGTTGAATGGTGGGGATACTTAAATCTGTGAATGTTGGATTGTATGTGACTTGAATGGATGCATCTCATTTTTGTCAAAACCTTTAAAATCGTAACTGTCTTTTTTTAAATGACTATATATTGACGTTATTGAGAACATTAGATATAACATCTTTGCATATAATGATTTGGGCTTTGTTGAGTGTGACGTAACGATTGACAGAGATCTTAGGTTACATTATTATATATCTTCTTTGACCACTGTGGCTCAAGAGTAACTAAAGCATTAACCTATCATCTGCTGTCCATCAGGATGACCTCAAAGCTCACAAACTGTGACATTAAAACATTAACCCTTCTATCCATCATTCCTTTGTCGTTTATTCTTCGCTCAGCAAAAGGGTTACTAACAAAGCACTACTGTTGACATTTTGCCATTAGCAGGCATCATCATCTCATCTCTCTCACTGTCCTATGTAGCCTGGTGAGTCTGAGAGCGTGCTCTCTAGGGGGATTACAGTGTCCAGGGAATGGAGGGTCCCTGAGGGATTTGACTCTTAAACTCAGATATTGACTCCTCCCACCACTTTTTATTATCATTTTATTTTACATGTGTCTGATGTGTGTGTGCCTTGGTGTGTGGCTGGCTGTGGGTGGTGGTGTTGGTGGTGGAGTCAGGGGGTGGGGGCTGAGGGGGGCTTGCAGACTTCAGGATGGGGCAATTCAGGTTGCTTTGGCTGTGACTCGTCTTGGCTGTGTTGACTCGCTCCTCTCTGGATGCTTTGGAAGAGCTGGTGGACAGCTGAGGGCTGCTAGCTGTCAGCAGAGTTCTGTGTTTACCTCGGACCTTACCTGCTGACATCTGCCATCAGCTGTGAATGGAGCAACGATTCCTTGAGCTGATTCATTTTTAAATACCAAAGGCTGGAGTTTTGATCCTGGTGAATGTACATAGTCCCTACCTCAACTCCAACAGAAATGACGTAAGTCCTCGCACCCAATTTGTAGTTTTAGGCTTAATATTTTTTTCATTTCTCTAGATTGTATTCTCATTAATTCAAGGCTAACTATTTTATTTGAATGTAAGTGTAACCAGACTGTAAATCAGCAAATGAAGTGAGAGTAAAATAACCTCTATTTTTTTAACTCTCAATACATTACAAAAAATGTGACATTCTTCAGTTTAGGTTGTATATCATCTGAGTAGAAACCAGGTGTTGTTTTATTAAGTTCATCATTATTCCTTCGTGGATTAACGGCCCTGTAATGCAATTAATCTGACTAAGGCCTCGGCTAAGATTAACCGGTTTATAAAATGATCCCATTAGAGACTGAGGAGAAGAAACTGTGTGGATCAGTGAGTGAGTGTGCATCAGTATGCAAATGTCATCATTAAATTAAATGAATATAATTTATTAACAAATCCTTTCATAGTCACTAGCTATTAACAACTTGTTTTTACACTTACAGTGTATAAAAGTAGCAGCCCAGATCTCTTGATCTCAATGGATGCTGAACATTTCTAAGCTTAATATCTGCAATGAATTCTTTATGACAGAGAAATACATTTAAATCAAAGCTAATATAATGTATGGAGATTTTCCGTCCAATAAAATAATTCATTCACATAAAAAACAACTACCGATGAGAAATAACAGTCCGCTGCAGCGGATTTGTCTTTGCTGTACGTTTTCATTTTCATCTATCATTTGATCGCACCAGCCCACTCTCTCATCTGTCCATGACTTGGTGAGAGAAGCGCTAATGAGAGGATCGCGACAGAATAATATCCGAACTCTGTGACGTCCAGCGTCTGCTTCCTCTCTGTCTTAGTGCTAAAAATAATCAAAGGGAGAGAAAAAAGGGGAAATTCAATTAACCCGACTCATCACTCTTATGGAATGGGATTACATGGTAATGCCAATTTTTCAGGGTTTTATTCCTGGGGTTTTACTAATTCATCCGGATGTCATCTGAAGTATGAAATAATGATGGCTACTGTTCGCCTGCTGTTTGCATGCATTTTCTGTATTTCACACTTCACTTTGAAATTAATAAGAGGAGGCAGGACTGGTCCATCTGTCTGCCTGGAAGCTGACCAGGTGGTCTTCCTATAGGCAAGCTTACAAAGCAGCAGTACAAAAAGCTGGGGGAGGTGTGTGTAAATGTGTGAGTATTTGTGTGCGCCGTGTGGAATTATTAGAGACTACTTACACAACAACAATAACTCCACAAAGAGCCTTTGGTTGAGAAGAAGTGTTCTGCCTTTTGATTCGAGCTCCCTGTCTTGCCTTTGATCAAGTTTTGAGAAAAAAAACTTGACAGCCAACATGATTCATTTCTATGAAGTGTTGCGACTTCATAGTGGACAATGGGGGGGGATGTGTGAGGGGAAAAAAACATTGACTCCACCATTTGTGAGTTTTAGGCCATGAACCCCAGGGGTTAGGTGAAAGGTCAGAGCCACATTATTTCTTCTTTGCTATCCTTTGTTATCCATCACAGCAGACATTCACATGGGCTTATTGAAGATCAAACGAAACACAGAGACATGTTTAAGGCCTCATAGACAAAAAAGATGTCAAACAATTTGATAGATTATTCCTGTGGCTTCATGATGGGACGATGGATATAAAGCTATGACAGAGTTGTTGAACACCTGCCTAACTGCCATGTGACAGACACAGCTGGCTCTCTTCTCGCCAATAAACACATTCACACCTCACCGGAACGGCAGGAAACTGCTTGTAACGGGAAATCACTTTTCATCCAACTAATTAGGCTGTGTGACCGAGCCCCCTCTTCATACTTTCGCATTTGAGAAAGAATGGTTAGTGGGTGTATGTCTCAACAGACAATATGTCCCCCCCCCCCTCTATAAATCAATAGACTTTTGAAATGTCAAGTGGGAATCTGTTTCATTGTTTCATCAGTGTTAAATTAATGTTTTAATACGCTCACCAGGGGATTTTCTCTCTGATTGCAATTTGCATACACTGAAACCCAACAAATTCAGTAGTTTATACATAAGGATATATCGTTTTTTGAAATATAAAGTCTCCATAGCTTGAAACTTGATGATAAAAACCATCCTGGAAGTTTTTATAGTTACAATATACACAGCCTGTCAATACTGAACTTATATAAACTGACTCAAAGTGCCATGTGTCTGCACGTCATTCCCTAAGGAATCATTTTTAGAAGCAGTCGCTTGTAGTCAGCTTCCATCTGTTGGGTGCCATGGTAACTATGGGCAGAGCATGAGTGACAGCTTGGTAACACACTTGAATGCTTAACATTTTTAATCATGCTGTTTTTGTTTAAACCATATACCAGACATATCTTCAGAAACATCATCCACATCCAAATTATTGGCTTTTCTCTTACATGATGCTATATTTTATTCTAGAACCATGAGTCAACTAATTGATTAATCAGTAAAGTAACTTTCTATGCAAACATTTCAGGAAATATTTTTTCAGCTTCAGTTTGAAATATAATGAATACCTTTGGGTGTTGGACTGAAATGTAGAAACATCACTTAGACATTAAGAAACTGAGATTGTTGTACTACTTTTGACATTTTATAAACCAACCTATTAACAGATACCTTTTAAATATAATAGCAGATTAATTGCTACATATTTAGTTGCAGCCCTAGTCTGTAAAGGAAAAGGTTAATTAGCACAGTATTCAAAAATAATCTTCCAGGAGACCAATGATAATTGACACCAGAGGTTTATTGGATCTTACGAGGAGAAGAGAGGACTACGAGATGCAATCATGTTGACCTGTGACCTAAGGCATACAGAAATGATGCCTTGTTCTTTGTCAGAGTGAAAGGGCCACACTATACTGATTAATAATACGGTTAAGCTTATTGTGTGTTATAGGAAGGAGTTTATCTTGTTATGTAACTAACAATTTCTCTTTTTCTTTCTCTCTTCACAGTACCAACAGTATGCCTAAACAAGTCGAGGTGAGGATGCACGAGAGTCACCTGGAGCCCATTGAGGCCAGGCCTCAGTCCAAATGTGCCAAATTCTGCTCCAGTATGTGCACGAACCTTCTGCTCACACTCACCATCCTCGGTAAGTTATCCTGTTGTTGGCTTATTATTGTTCCGTTCGTTCTTTTTTAAGAACCAAAAAAAACAGGGCGTGCTAAAGACGGAGATCGACCACCGCTGAGCTCAATGTTCTGTTAACTCCGAGCTCGATTATGCAGCTCACTCGTGAGTTGAGGAGGAGATGCCATCTGTGCTTGTTCAGTGTAGCAGACAGTGAGATGACTGGGTGTCCTGACCTTCCCCAGCTCTGTGCCACCTGTTGCTATCAAACGCTTTCTGTGACACTAGACATCCAAACTGCCTCCGGTGGTGCATGAAAAATATTGTGATTATAGTAATAGCTCACTGCGCCACAGGGGGAGATTTAATGAAAAGAGGAAAGGGCACAAAAGAAGGGATACATTTTCTGGTAATATGCCCTGAATCAGATGTGTGTTTAATCCACACTTATCATTTAAACTGTGTCCTAATGTTATCCTTTAAGAAACATAGGCCGTGAACCTGTTAAACTGTATACAAATAAATATGTATGAATATTTAATTTAGGGATTTGAGTCCCTGTCTATGTGGGTCCCACTGAAATGGTTGTGTGTTTGTGTGAGTATCTGTAATGTGTACATCTCACCCCACTTGGCAGGACTCTCACAAAGCAAGGGAGCCAGCATGATCATTGATCATCTGTCACTTGGCAGATAAGAGTCTGAATGGGAACTTGCAAAATGGCCAAAGAGAAGGCACAGGATATGAAGTGCCTTCCAAAGTCATTGGGTGTGCAGAATCCCCAGGATGCTACTAGACTGGACCACAGAAGACAGCTTATTATATAAAAAAAAACAAGCTGGAAGGCTTCTTCATTCCAGTGTGTGTTGTTAAACAATGCCTCAGCCTGTGTGATCTTTGGCAGTGATGTGGTGGCAGAGGAAGTGCAGCCATTGGGGGGATAGCCGGAGTTGTGTGTGGTCTGAGATGGACAGACGCAGAGGCCAACTGCCCAGCCTGGTGGACTGGGCTGTGGGGGGTGTTGGAGCACATAGAGGTCATCTTTAGTTTTGGGGGACAGAACCACTGGGTGGCAGGAAAAGAACCCTTGGTTGGAAGTGGCATAATTCAAGGGTCAACAGTGGCTTTGAAAAAAGGGGGCTGGTCTTTCAAAAGACACTGTCTTCTTCTTCTCTTGTCCCCCCTTTTTGTTAAATCCTTGTATAAGTCTGTTAACCTGCCACAAAGTGAAAAGAATCCTCAAAAACATTTAGGGTTTGTACAGATGACAGATGCTCTACCAGGGAATCTGACATGCTTGCCTCCTCCCTGCTGCTTCAAAGAGATCTGATCTTAATCCTCTGTGAGCTTTACTTTCTCTCAGCAGGTTTCCGTTTTATCTCCCCAACCCACTGTCCTCTTTAAGTATGAAACAGACAGCCCATTGTACAGCTCCTAACATCTGAATTGGCAGTATAGGAGATAATTATTAAGAATTTTTAAAGGAGAAAATTAAAGCCTATTAACTATTTCATTGATTATATCTAAGGTATAGCTATTGAACACTAATACACCGATATGAAATGGATTCCTTTTTTATATCAATCTGTAATATGTGATTTTCCACTGGGTTTCATTCCTGATTCTTTTCTAGTTTGCTGTTATACACACTTCCAGTTTCACTCACTAACACTCTTTCTTGCACTTCAGGTGTGATCCTCGGAGCTGTATTTGGGTGTTTGCTCCGTGTGGCCTCCCCGATCCACCCAGACATCGTCATGGTGATCGCTTTTCCTGGAGACATCCTGATGAGGATGCTGAAGATGTTGATCCTGCCTCTCATCATCTCCAGTTTAATCACAGGTGGAGTATAAATGATGACTTCTGAAAAAATATAGATATTGGATCATTTCAACATTATTAACTGTTGGTGATATGATTGAGCAGCTCATGTGCAGTTGAGTTTGAATACAACAGCTACAAATAAAGTACTGAAATAAAAAATGACAATATTGCATGTAATACAATATGTTTTGCATAATGCACATGATCAAATATCATTATGCCATCCCCCTAATTGACTTTGCAACATTTCTATTCAACACGTGCAGATAACTAAACACCATCTTGTTTGCTTTGGCTACAGGTCTGGCCGGTTTGGATGCCAAATCCAGCGGTCGCCTGGGCACCAGGGCAATGGTCTACTACATGACCACCACGGTTATTGCTGCCATCCTGGGAGTCATCCTTGTATTGGTTATCCACCCTGGCAACCCCAAACTGAAGGAGAATCTGGGCCAGGGCGAGAAGAACGACGATGTGTCCAGCTTGGATGCCTTCTTTGATTTGATAAGGAACCTGTTCCCAGAAAATCTGGTGCAGGCTTGTTTCCAACAGGTAATGGAGGGTGACAATAACAAGATGATGCACAAAGCGTATATTTAGTTTGACTGTCAGATGCTAAATGCTTAGAAAGTCTGTCTGTGATATCTGGATGTCACTGCGAATCTTGGATGAGTGCAGTCACTTATTATGGAATATTATTTGTTGCATATCAAGAGAGACTAAGAAGCTTGATCGTCAGGAAATAGGTGGGCTTGTACAGAAAGTTGAGTGGACTTGAGTCACAGGGAACATCATATCTGAATTAGGTGTTGTTGGTTATCTAACTAATCCCTTTTATTTTTTCATCCTCTACCTCAGATCCAGACCACGACAAAAAAGACAGAGGTGCCTTTCGTTGAGGATGTCAATGCAACCGTCATGGAAGGCCTGGTGGCTAACATTACCAGGGAGCCTTTGATTATTGTCGAAAAGACCCTGCAGTTCAAAAGTGGCATGAATGTTCTGGGTATGTAACACACCAACATCACTCACAGTATGTACACTGTACAATTAACATTAACCAATACTGAAAGTCTAGAGACATGCTAGCAGCTCTGTGAGGCTAATGCTAACATGCTGATGTTTCGTACATACAATGTTTTGCATGTTCACCATTCTAATAATAGCATTTCAGCATGATATAATTTGCTAATAAGCACAAAACAATGTGCAGGTGATGCTGATCTGCATATGTTTAGTTTTGATGTTATTCTGCAAATATATTAAAAAAGGTCCCAAGATCCCCAAAGTCATAAGGATTCATTTTCTGGGCCCAATTAATATCCCTTCTAGAATTCATGGTAATTCATCTAATGGTTATTGAGATATTCTGTCTGGGCCAAAGTGGTGGACCAACCAACATACATTGCTGTTCCTAGGGCTAAGCTACTAGCATGGCAACAAGTAAAAGCAATATAAACAGTATTTAAAACATGTGGACAAACCTAATGTTTTTAGCTGTGAATGTTAAAAAGTCATCTCCTAATGATAACCCCTTCATGTAGTAGTCAACGCACCCGTCCACGCGGATATTCAACGTTTGATACATTTATTATTTTCTGTCACAGGTCTGATTGGTTTCTTTATTGCATTTGGCATCTGCATGGGCAAGATGGGAGAGAGGGCCAGGCTCATGCTTGAATTCTTCAACATCCTCAATGAGATTGTGATGAAACTTGTCATCTGTATCATGTGGTTAGTATCACTTAAGAATCTCATTGAAACTCATTTGAAAACTCAACTATAATGAGTCAGAAATAACTGAAAAGTAATTTCTCAAGACATTACAGCATTTTTAAAGATTAAAGCTATTGAAAGACATCATTTGTGTCCTGCCAAAGTTGTCATTCTGAATTACTAGTAACAATTAAAGTTCCATCGTCTCTCTAGGTACTCTCCCTTCGGTATTGCCTGTCTCATCTGCGGTAAGATCATCTCCATCAAGGACCTTGAGGTGGTGGGCAGACAGCTGGGCATGTACATGGTCACTGTGATCATTGGCCTCATCATCCACGGAGCTATCTTCCTGCCTGCAATCTACTTTGCTATTGTCAGGAAAAACCCCTATACCTTCTTCCTGGGCATCTTCCAGGCCTGGATCACCGCCCTGGGGACAGCCTCCAGGTCAGCATCAAAATGAATAGCTAGTTGTTTTTGTTGATATGTATACAGTTGAAACACAGTATAACCAACCTTCTTCTGCTTTTGACCTCCAGTGCTGGTACACTGCCTGTCACCTTCCGTTGTCTGGAGGAGAACTTAGGTATTGACAAAAGAGTCACTCGCTTTGTGCTCCCAGTCGGTGCCACCATCAACATGGACGGAACTGCTCTGTATGAGGCAGTGGCAGCCATCTTCATCGCCCAAATGAACGGCATCTACCTTGACCCTGGTCAGATTATCACTGTCAGGTCAGGAGACACTTCAAACACGTCATATTTTATAGGTTGTTTTTTGCACTGTTAAAAGCCAATGAGTAAAATCTCAATAACCAAGTTATATAATGATTTAACCTTCTATTATATTTCAACAATCCTGCTATTAAAATAGAAAAACTGTGGATCAAACAAAGCTATGCTTGGTCATAACAGTAAGATTTGCAATTCCCACTGTTTTAAGAGGGTTTAAATGGAGCCATGAGGATGCTGTTTAGCAAACACAGTTAGCTCTTAATAAATGAGGACAAACCCAGCAGCAGAATAGAGAGGTTTAACAGTGAACAGAAAATCCTCTGTTACTCAAAGCAACAACTTCAAAGATTTGATTTACAAAGGAGCAAATAAACCGTAATGAGGAAACGAAAACATGTTTTCTTGCCATGTCTCAAGCTAAGCAGAATGAATTACATCAACCTAGTATCTTTAACTATCTTCCCCAAATGCTCTTCTGTTAATAGAGTGAGTCAAGGATGCATGACCTTCACCTTGACATTTATATGGCATATCAATCTATGAAACCCTCAAATTGAACATCCCATCTGTTACATTTAAACCTCTCTTCAAGTGTGATGGAGCACCCCCTCTGGTTCTCTTCAGCGGCTCCTCTTTATATAAGTACCATAGAGCAGTGCTTCTCAAACTTTTTCATACCAAGGACCACTTAACCAATAAGAAAACACTCGCGGACCACCTAACTCCACAAATATCAAAAAACACATCGTTTTTCTAGAACAGATTACAAATCGCCTGAAAATGGTACAAACAAGTGGCAACATGTGTGATGAAGGTGTTGCGCTGGGCTATATCATGCAATCGAAACTTAACCTCGCTCCATTGTGGAGATATTCCTGCGAGAGTGCGGAAAACTTTAATTAATGAATTTAAGTAACCACACTTTGAGAAGCACTGCCATAGAGAATACATATCTTCATCTGTAGCTGTGTGGAGTGGACCATATCATGTTCATTGGCATCTGAGGAGTAGCATCAGGGCGTAGGATCGGTTGTGGAGGATGTGGCTTGGAAAATGTGATTGATTGGTGCTTTGCTGTGTCTTCATTCAGTCTGACTGCCACCCTGGCCAGTGTTGGAGCGGCCAGTATTCCCAGTGCTGGCCTGGTGACTATGCTCCTGATCCTGACTGCTGTAGGCCTGCCAACCGAAGACATCAGTCTGCTGGTTGCTGTTGACTGGCTGCTGTGAGTTATAAAATACACATGCTTATGTTGTAGTTACATATTGATATTCTTTTAGTTTACTTTTCTATGTACAGAACTCCCTTTTATGATAAGGTGTAGAAAACCATCTTTTTAAACTGTGTTTTCTCTCTTCAGGGATCGATTCAGGACCTCAGTCAACGTGGTGGGTGACTCCTACGGTGCAGGCATCGTGTACCACCTGTCCAAGCTTGAGCTTGAGGAACTGGATGCACAAACAGCCAAATCCGACGAAATCGAAATGACGAAGACCCAGTCTTACTACGATGACATGAAGAACCACCACGAAAACAATTCCAACCAGTGCGTCAAAACCGCTCCCGCTACAGCTACAACTAGCACAACCGCTACTGCCACTGCTAACAATACTGTAGAAGTAGTAATAGATGAATGCAAGGTACAATTAATGCTTACGGACATAGAGACTTGTATATAACCCTCACCGTTGTCGCACGCTCACCCTGCATGTTTTCTGCACTCTTGTTTGTTTTACTCATTGCATTGCACAATACATGTTATTTTAAGACAGAAATGAAGCTCAAGAACAACAGAAGTATGTGCACGTATGTATTACACTCTACTGGAAAAGCAGCTTTTGTGTTGAATGAACATCCAAAACATGTAAAGCCAAAAGGTTTAAACATACTAAAACATCATTATGTGCATACCTACAGATCTATAGTTAGATTCATCAGATGACTGTAACCTGTTATGGATTGGCTCTAATTGAATTGGCAGAGCCAGATAATCCTTCTCATGACCCTGAGGAATTATTTAGCAGCCCTCCCATCTATCAAACATTCACACCATATCCTTTTCCAAAACATAACGTCTTGATAGAAGGTTTTCATTAAATGTTTTCTCTTCTCCTCCCATTTGATTCAGTCTAATGAACGCAGTCCATACTGCCTTATCTAAAAATCTTTAAAATGTAGTTGATTTTAATTTTATTAAGAGGTTTATTCCCAATCATTTACCCTCTCCTGTATAATTTCAAACACGATGGAAAGTGTTAGTTCTAATTAGCAGCTCATATATTTCCTACACATCTACAGTACCACGCTGTCAGTGAGTCATTCCCAGTCAGGTTTTTTTTATCATTTTGACACCAGCTATTTTTGCCCATTGTGAGAACTGTGTTGTGAAATGGAAAGCTGTGAAGTAGCTCCCCTAATGTAAAACATAATGCACTTTGAATACGGTCTTTAATGTATTCCAGGCTTTTAGAAAAATACATGGGGTTCAGAGTGCTGGTTCCCTGACACTCACACCCTGGCAGAAAAGGTCTACTGATGAGCCTATTCATTTATTAAAGGATGTAAGGTGTTGCCTAGCAACGCTGGCAACCTGACACACAATTAATCTGGCCATCGAAAAAAAAATCATATTCTCCTTTCCGAGTCTATATGACATTTAACACAAAGGCTTGCTGTTTCCAGTATTCACAATGACTGTTTTCTGTTTGTTGGTCTGTTTTGCCTGTACATAGCACGACTACTTTCTAACCCTTTCCAAAGACAGTAGAGAGCTTGATAGCTAACAACCTAACAATGCATTCATACTGTAGTGTTTGTACCTTGTTTTCAATGTATTCTGTTTATTTTTGCCTTTATTCATTGTATTATTATTTTGTGTTACTGCCTTCTGACATTTTGTTCATCATTTATGTGTGGTGTGTTACCAGTTCAGTAAAAGAAACCCCTATCTTAAGACTACCATAAGCATGATCATCAGTGCTCGTACTGAAGTTCTAATAATGTTTTTTTAATATATTCTTTTGTATGTTGCAAAATTGCTATGATACCGAAGAGGCAATAGAGTACCATTGCTACAGCAGCCAAAAAAAACAGAAAATAATGTGATAAATGGTATCCTGGTTTTACCCTTATAAAGTGTTTACAGTCGTGTGTGTTATTTAATTATCTTACTTAAAACCAGGATTAAGTAGAATTGATTGATAAAGATTCGTTTTTTTTAGGAGAGCAAGTAATAAATCATAGTTAACCATGCTTTATAAACCCTGTAAACCTGATTGACCAATCACATTGCTTGGCTGAAACTAAGAGGGGACACAGAATTAACAATGCAATGTTATTTCTTATCCGACGTTTAATTCGAAATGAATTGTGTTTTTGAAGTGCCTTGGATCAAGTGTTTTAGTTTTCCCTGCTAACTGTTTACAGGTAACCTCAGCCACTAACGGCTCTGCTGCGGAGTGCACGCTTGTTGAGGAGGGACCATGGAAACATGAATAATGGCAGCATAGAGATCCCCTGCTCCTGGGCTCCACAAGCTTTCCCATCTGGTGATAAAAAAGAGTGAATGAAAAAAAAGTCACATGAACAGAACTACTAATTGTTTTCTATGTAGATTAGTTTTCTTTTTTATTAGTCCCTTTAAAAGTTTTTGTAACTGTCTATCTGACTGATATATACTACTAATTCACTTAACCGTGAAATAATAACAGAGGTATACTTAGAGCACAATTATGTCCGTTTAGCATATACTTGCACAACATACTTCAAGGCTGGGGGAGGGAAGGAAGAGAAAAACAAACGTAAGATAGGCTTCCCATAGCAATACATCTCATTTCTACATTTGTGGGAGGAGTTAAGAGGAGATAGGAAGTGGCTGTGTAGCATGGGAAGTCCTGAGATTAGCTTCCGAGTTTCATTCAGGCGATTTATTATTCAAATGACAGAAGATGAGTTGGAGTGAGAGCATTATTAATGACAACCAGCGTGATGTTTGTACAACACCAATCTTGACTCTCGTACTGTCAGAGATTTTAAAATGCATCTGACTGAATAAGCCCAATATTAGCCTCTATGTCTGCGGTCCAGCACACTACTGAAAGGGTAGGAGGCCACACTGAGCCTCGTAACCTACAAGCACAGTCACAGTCATATTCTAAAGCACAAATTATACCATGAACGCCATTTTCCATCCCCCAGTTGTTTTACTCTAAAGGAAAGGGACTTTTATTTCTTTATGTCACCTGTTGAGTGAGATGTAAAACGTGTGTGTGTGTGTTTGTGAGTAATAGAGAGAGAAGGAGATAAAGAGAGCAGGAGTTAAGAACATGACCAATTCAATTATAGGGACCAAACAGGCAGAAAAGCAATCAACTCACAGAGGCCTTTGAACTGCCTCCATGACGTCACTCACAACACATTTTTCCAGGATCATTTTAAAACTGACTGGCACTGAAGATGATATTACAACATTTTCTGACAGACCCTCAAAGCTAATGAAATCACTGCCCTAAATATGCTTTCCCTTCTTCCAAAAGATATCTGTGATGCCAATGAAATTAAAAGAACATTAGCACCAAAATGACTATTGTCAAGACAAACAATAGAAAATAATTGACAAATCTGAATAATTAGAAGCATAAAAAAGAGATTATATAGAGCACAAATGAAGACAATGAGGATAATGTTCAGTCAGTGGCATAATCAAAGTCTGGCACATTACCCTTTCATGTCGATACTGATCGTATTCCAAGTTAAAATGTTAGCTGTTGAAAACATTATAAGGGACTGCAGATACTCTTATTAAATATTTTACACAGAAATACAATTTTGAAATCCTCAAATGTTTACCTGCTCACTGATGAGCCTCGTTAAAATGGCCTTCTTAAAGCACAAGTTTATAAAGCACTGACTCTGAAAAGGTTGACAGTTTACTGCATTGTTGAAAAAGTGTAATTTTATAATATGATAATATACTGGGAAGGGAGTTTCCAAGCACACACAGGAAGCGCACATACATATTTCAAACACATTCCAGTGGTTTATTGATCCTCAACATGCGTACTCTCAGAAAGCACAGACACAGATATTACTGACAGAGTACACAAAGTGAGCCACCAATTTTTTTTTTTAAGAAACAGGAAGGAAGCATTCAGCTGTCAGACGGAATCTTGGCTGCACAAACAAAGATGGATCAGTGATCTTGCTCTTCCAGCTTCTTGTTTAGCCAGACATAACAATTAAACAACCATATATTCAACCACCAGAGCTCAAGACTGTTTCTACAACCCTAGATGCTGCAGCTGTGCGTCCATATGGGTGCAAAGATGTTTTCAGGAAACTCAGAACAGAACAATAGACACTTCACATGCGTTATTCCACAATTATCAGGTAGTAACAAAACCTCTCATAGAACCAAATAGCTGAAAATACACAGAAACAAAGCTGGACTACTGGCTGTTATTTTGTATTTTTTTAAGCTTATGTGCATAAGAGGTGAGACTTCTGTGATATGGCTGTGGATTTGATTTCTTTATCAGTATTGTGTCCTTCTCTCCTGTCTTGTTTCCTTGTATTTGTGCTTAATGACAACCTTGCCTTGAAGATGTTCACTTCAAACAAATGCCAACGTCAAATGCCAATTAAAGTAACAGTAGGGAACTTAACAAAAACAATTAGCGCAGCACTCTGTCTTTTAGTTCCCTGAAACACTTTTCTTTTAAGCTCGGCTAACAGAAGCTTTGATACAACAAAGAATGCGCTTTGTGTTCAGCCGTAAACACTGCACAGACTGACGCACACCTTACACACAAAAACAAGCATGCACACACACACATTCACTTTTATTTTTCTTCAAATGCAAACACTCTTAAACCTCGAAGTCACTACATTTGTAATCGGTGAGCTGCAGAGCACAGCACTGACAACTCAACAGGCCCCTGAGCCTGACCTTTTGACCTTGTGATGTTCAGGAAAAGAAAAATCTCTAGTGAGGAGACAATGTATAGTGTCATCGATGGGGATTGAGTGTTGAACCACTATTATGTTCAAACACACGGTTTTAAAAGCATGAATTCAATGAAAACGATGATTATTTTTTTGCACCACTATCTTAAAAGCATGATATTTGAAGTGCCTCGTTGCACTTTGTGTATATATTGTAGGTAACAGATGTTTTTTTCTTTCTTTGGATTTATTTTAGGGGGCGTTGAAATGGTAAATAGGAATATAGTTTCATTGCTGTGACATTTTTTATGTAATCCTCTAGAAAGAAATATATAATCTATGTCCTGAGTAAAATTAGATTAGACAAATGTATAGAGAGGAAATCGTGTAATAAATTGCTTGTTTTTTTATTCTCTAATAGCTGTTTACTAGTTGTTTTACTTACCTGTCACACACCAATATATAAATATCTTTTTTTTCATCTAATGTAAGCGTTTTGAATGTTTGTTCCATGGAGATATAAGCAGTGTGCATTCATTTTCATTGTACATAAATAAATATATAATTGTTCTGTTCAGTGGCGATGCAGAATTTATCGGAAATTACAGTGATCATGACGCAAACACTGTTTGCATGACAAAGTGAAAGAAAGAGAGCGAGAAAGAAAGATAGAAAGAAAGAAAGATAGCGAGGGGATGTTTTTGGTTTGAAAAAAAGGGGGCCAACATGAAATATATTTTGGTGGGAATTACTGTGATTAAGGTTTCTAAAAAGAGAGACAAATAAAAAGGAAAAGGTCAAATGTGCCCTGTATGTAGGATAGAGTGAGGAATCAAATAGAGCCTAGTGGTTAGATGCATTCAGAGGCCTGTTAGAGAGCAACACTCCTCAGGTCACTCATCTGAAACATTTTTCTCTTTTCAATGAAAGAAACTTGCTTTAGTCTCAGGCATCTTTGTTTACCAGGTGCATGACATGGATATATAGATCTTTTAGATTCTGTTACCCTGTCTACATGCCACAACTTCACACATTCGACCTCTGGCGTGCCATCAACATCATAGATGTTTTTTTAGAAATCGCATTCGGTAAACTGCCTTTACTCCACTTGCCTTTTCTTTGCTTTCTACACAGAAACCTTATGCACGCACAAACACCTGGAACTTGCCGAGCTAAATGGCACTGATCAAATGGAAAATGATTGACAGTATTTTAAACAAAAAGCCAGTTTATCTTTGAGCTTGTCCTTTTCTACTGCAATGTGTCTTTTTTGAAGAAACTCCCAAACAGAGCTGATGTCTCACTGTCTCACTCCTGCCTACAACGTGCTTTCCTGATCTTACTTTTCTAGGCCTTCCCTCTTTGTAAAGCTGTTGTAATATTGATGTAAAGGCAGAGCGTATGTGTGGGGGAGAAACAATATTGAGAAAAAAATGGACAAAAAAAAATACAGAATTCTTTACTTGGTCTATGGTATACATAAAAAAAATCTGTTTCTACATATCAATAAGTGTTGTACCTTTGGTGTACATATACAAATATAACTAATAAATGTTGATTCATAACTAAATGTCTTTTTCACTGTGTGATTTTTTACATCTTCTCACATGATTCAAGAAATACATTTTGTAGCTGTTAGTGTAATTATAACTCCCAAACTGTCTGGACAATGAACCTTTTACTGATGAAAAGCATTAATAGATGCAAAATATAATTCAGGAAAATATCATCTATAATCATTTTGATTACTGAGTAGGGGATGATGAATAGATGAAAATGGACAATTAACTGCTCATTGGCTATTTTTAAGCATATCCAGTCACCCTTGTCCTTTATGCTCCATCCCCAGAGCCACCAAAGACACAAGTAATTATCACTTTCAGAGATGCTAACAAAAAGAGCTGAAAATTGATAATATGCTCTCTCAGACCACAATGTATGAACTGCACACAAAACAGTCTGATCAATGACGTGTCCAACAGCTTTTGGGAGGTGTTAGGAAAACATAACATTTGACATAGAATAATATTAACTCTAAAAATAGAAATGTGCGAGTGGCGGTTCAGTTGAATGGAAGCAAGAGTTAGTATGACGCCGTACCATTATTAGGAATACTACTTTTTATTTGATATCCAGTTTGGCATTAAACATTTCTGAAATATGTTTTAAAATGAGGTTTCTGCCTATGTGTTTAGAACTTAAGACTTGAGTAATAATGCACTTGTCAAGCATATATTTTTTATGCAAATAAAATACATCTAAAAACATAGTATCTATAAGAGTAAAATAAGCATTTTATGAAAAGATTGGCACAATCGGGTTTGAAAAAAGGCTTATTTTTTTATATAAGGCGGATGTTGCCTATAAGGGATTAAATGGAAGTCCACCAATAAGAGGGTCAGTGGTTCGATCCCCAGCTGTTGTCGACACACAAAACAGTCGGCATGTCAAAGTTTCCCTGGGCAAGGCACTAAGGCATGGCCAATAGTATTGAAGAGTAGATAAGTTACATTGGATAAAAGTGTTAGCTGAGTGTAATGTAATTCTATACAGTCGTGTTTTCTGATTGTGGATATATAGCCATTAGTACTGTATACCTTGAATCTTCACATAAAGAAATAAACTAATGCAAAATCTGAAAATACACTGCAAAATGATCAGTAATTATCAGAATCAGAATAATGAATTCTATATGAATCCCTTGTGATTGCCTCACTGCATTTGAGCAGCTTGAGAGCAGTATTTAATGATTGAGCACATTGTACTCTGAATGCATGCTAAATAAGTGGTAATTGTGCTCTCTTCAAAGTTTGTCAATGAAGACAGCTTGATGCAGTTTAACACTCTATGGGAAACTTTCGAAATGGCCGTCTTTATCTAAGTCTTTGTTTCCCTCATGAACAAAGACTTGAACATGTTCTCGCATCACGACCCCGGTGCCATGGAAACTTCACTTCCTCCTATGTGGCAGCAATGTACACTCGCATCCCACTGTCATGCCATTCACTCGCTCCTTTTTGTCTTCACACATACAGAGCAATCAGTAATTGAACACACCACATTCCTGCATATTTCTCTATACACATTTATTTTTGTCCATGACTTTACAAATCTTTTCAGCGACATCTTCAGTTAATTTTTCTTAAAACCTGCCTAAACTAGTACATTTGCTACTTCTCTTCAAAACAAATCAAAAGAGCAAAAGCAGGAAAAATACAAGAACAAGTCAGAAAAAAACAACAAAAGAACGTTGTATGTAATGCAGCCTTTTCATACTGAAACCGGTAAGAATTAGCAGTCATACAAGCAATAGCGATATGACACAATGAATAATACATTTCACCAATAAGAAGGTCAGTAGAAAAACTGCAGCATTTTGTTTACATGTGACAAATGTACAGAGACTGTCACACTGAGGCATGGGCAAGCACGCAAGCTTCATTCATCCCCCCCCCCCTCCCCTCGGAAGCACATAGACGATGCTGTCACAGCCCCTTTCTTATGAAGGAACCTTTACATTGCTATGGTTTACAGCACATGGGCCCCCCATTATCATATGTGCCATGCAGTTTAGCATCTAAAGCTAGGCCGCTATCACGGTTGAGTTTTAATCCTACATTCAAAAAATGATTCATGTATCCAGTTATTTATTTTGCTCTTTCTTTTTTTCCTCAATCAATGTACACACTGTGTATATAGTATGCATACAGTATATCATATTCATTCTACTTATCCTCAGGATAACATTAGGGACTTAATTTCATCATATTTCCAACCCAAAATAAATCATTCCATATTAACTGACTTCCATGGTGCATCCGTTGTACTGTTTGGATACTCGCTTGCAATATCCACTCCACTTTGACTATTGCAAAAATCAATTTACAATTGTTTACCTCTGAGGTATTGTTTTTCTATTTAAATAACTCTCAAAACATGACACAACCTTTATTTAAAAGGGATACAACGCCTCCTTTCTACCAAACAACAAAAAGCACTGGTGGCTATTGCTAAGGCAAAACATACACTTTATATACAGAGAACAAGAAAAAGGGAATAAAAGCTGCATAAATTAAGGTGGTGACATCCCCAGTCGTCTTGAAAATGGCAACAACAAAACAACTTTAGTCCACAGGCACGGCTGAAATATACACAGGGTTACAATAATAAGTACATAAATCAAAGAAATAAAACATTGCGGGTTGTTTTGCTCAAAATTATGTGTTTTCTATTTGCAGTATCTCAAACAAGAATAACCCACTCATTAACTATTTATTATTTCCCATTAAGGCTAAAAGGCCAGATAATTTAGGAATAACCAATTATAAAAACAAAGAGAAGAGTCTGTCAACAACTAGTTTTCCACAAATAAGACCCTCACCACCCCCTCCCTTTAAAACCCATCCCGTCATTAAACACAGAGACATGAGACACATTCACACACCCTGCATGATACCCCACAGTGAATGACGCTCCTAAACCGCCATTCAGTCCTCACTAATCTGGCATACCAGACACACAGAATGCTGCACATGAAAGTCACACCCAGTGTACTTCCGTTAGACCATATTTCTAAATATCAGACACCTTTACTCAGTGTCCATCCAGTGCTGGCCACCAAAGCAGTTTTCACCCCCAGTGTTTAGAGCCCCACCCCGCCCCCCCGTCCGACTCCACCCTCCCCATCCTCCCCGACTCTTCCCCGTCTGCTTCTACACTCTCTCACGCCAGCTGTTCTTTATCTGGCGACTCCTCTAGCTTGATGACGGTGAACTCCTCCGTGTTGCCGTTCTCCGTGATCTTCTCCTTATTCATCAGGGTCACCATCTCCTGCTCTCTCTCCTGGGCGTGCGAGCTGGATGCTGATGCTGCAGCACCGTTGCCCTCGCCGCCATCTTTGGACGTGATCATCAGGGTCTGCTGTTGGCCACACCAACTGCAAGAGAATAATCAGACGTTCATTTTTTATTGATTTTTGTTTTGCCCTTCCCCAGTCTGCAGCGAAATATGTGAAATATGTGAACATTGACTATTGATTGCTCTGCACAGTAAGACACAGTATTGTTTATATCCAAAACAAGTTACATGACAGCTCTATTAGTGTATGATAAAACAACGATTATCAAAGACATACCTCTTTCTTTTTACAACAGCTGCGCACACGAGAAGAATAGCAGCAACTGCAACAATCACTACAAGGATAACCAGCCAGTCTGCAGGGAGCAATAACAAGCCATGAGTCGAGTATTAAAGCTGAGTCAGTAACAAAACAGAAGTCAACTTGTCCAAAAATTGTCTTATTTGATTGAAATCCCTATGGACTTCAGGGTCTTAGAGGTATGGGAAATGTGATTCCTCACTTGATGAACCTCCGCCCTGCTCAGTAGGACCCAGCACCCGTCCTTTGCCATTAGGATTTGGTTGTTCTGGTGGAGCTGCAAGTCAATACAACAAAGTTAAACATTTAAATAATTCCAGATACAGTAAACCCACGGCCATTTGAAACACAGCAGCATCAACATAAAGAGTGCATTGGAAACTAAACACTGAATTCAACCTTCAAATTGATACCGAAGAGGACGTTTTTGAATTAAATTGCCTTTAATTGTGAATGCATGTTAATCTCTTTTTAAAGCTGCAGGCTTTGAGGCAAAACATAATGAAAGCTACATTATAAGTTGCTTTTCCTTAATGATTATTTACACATGATCGGTGTTAAAATCATTTTTTGTCTCAAATTCTAAATCATTTGATCAGCAAATTGAACTATATATATTTTAAGGCCCTCAACTTGCGGTGAATACAACTAAAAGGCTAAATCACTGCCGTCTCTTTTTAAATAAATCCATTCCACAACTCAATCTGACACAAGGGGGCGTTATGTGTTTTAAAGTTACTTCAGTCCTCCTAGAACTTGTTGCATACAGCATCCTGTAAGTACAGTTTTAATATTTAAAAGCTCAAGTATCTGCATTTTATATCATTTAATATTCAGATATATAAAGGGTAAACAAAAGGATATTTGTGCCAGTTATGGTTGATCTGTGCTTGTGCTTTTCTTACATTCTATTGTGACATCTTCTCCATCATGCCCCTCTTCAGTGGGAGCTTGTGTATACTTAGGCTCTCCAACAGGGGCCGTCGGAGTGTTCTTTCCCTCTCCAGATGGCATCATACCAGATCCAAGGTCGAACTCCACAGTTGTTTCTTCCACGGCGGGGCCCTCAGTCGCAGTCTCTGTCTCTTCTAGACTAATAGTGGAGTCTGACAGCGTTGTTTCAGACCCCTCAGTAAGAGCATCTTCCCCAGGGGCTGCTGTGGGGTCCCCACCCTCACTGCCAGAAGCATCCTCAGGTTTTGTAGTCGTCTCTTCCAGGCCTTCTGTTGTTGACTCCTGAGGCTCTGGTGTGGCTAATTGGAGAATAGAGATGGTTATAAATGGTTACAGTCACAGGTTACTTTTGATATGTTTTGTGAGAGCATTAACCCCTTCCGACATTCTCTGTGCAGTCTCACAATCTTAAGCACAGGTATCACATTAACAATATTACATCACAATATGTATACGGCTGAAGCAAATGAACTGAACAAAGTCTTGTCAGATCGTAGAGAAATCCATTACAGAAATGTCATGATGCAGGTGCTACATAAGTGTTAACTGCAAAATAAATCCTGCTTGATACATTTTCAACATCATGATATTTAACTCTTCTATTTTTAGATTTGAAACATTAAAACTATTGTGTTTTAGTAATGTTACTTGACAGTGCTCCTTATTCTTGTGAAAGCAGGAGTGTGTGCCTCTCTTAGAAGGGGACTGTGTTATTGTAAAAGTTGTCACATCTATGTAAATGTTTAACATATAACACACATTTTTTACCATGGATTCACAAATAATTTGTATTTAATTCCGAAATATATTAAACAGCATTAAGCAGTATTCAAAGCCGCAATGAGACCAATCAAAGTGTTACTGCTGTTAATATATGATATAGGTTGTGCAGTTTTCAAAAAAAGGTAGTTTTTGGTACAGTGAGCGCTGATGTTGGTTTTATCTATAAAGGTGGGATAAACTGGTTACTAGACCAAGGTTCAGTTTAGTTCAGTTTTTCAGTTTACTGTATACAAATCTTTAATATATATTGTAACAAAACAACACATGATGTAAACACAATAATGTGAGGCAAATCCTTACATCATACTAACCTTTTAATACAAATCGTTTTGTGCAGTTCTTCTCAGGCCCAACTAGCACATAGGGAAACAGGAAGTAGATGTTACCATAATGATCACGTAAATTGAAATGAACATTTTGTGTAATTTGTGTATCAGATTTAGACTGCAGTGATGCAGTGTCACTGATGTCCTGTGGATTAAGTCACCTGTTTCATCATAGCAGTAGGCATCATAAGGATCATCAACGTTTACATGTGTATTAATAATGAGGCCAGTCGACTTGTTTGCACAGTTTTCATGGGAATCCTGTCTGAGGATGGCAGTACTGATATTGCTGGTCCAGCCATTCCTAAATAGACACAACAATATTATTATTAAAACTCATATTTTGACACATATTTGATTTGTATCACAGTTTAGTGTGTTGCAGAATGTAATTTTTAAAATAAAATACAAAATGTCTCATACTAAAAACTGAATCACACATCACACTGCTCAGAAATGTAGAGAAGTAGAGAAGATCTTGAAGAACAGTTTACAGTAAGTGAAGTTTAGGGATGTCTACCACATGACAACAATTACGTATCCGTATTGAAACACTGAAACATCTTCTTCCTCTTTTCTGGTTTTCCTGATAAAATGCAATAGTGGAACCCCAAGTGTGTTAAAAGTCACATTGTGGGATTTAATCATGAAGTCTGATTATTAATAACATTTTCCCTCTGACATTTAATACCGAAAGTTCCAGAAGTTAAAACGTTGAAATGGCTAATTCTTGAGAATTTGGCGTTCATAAATGTTTCACAATAAATGTCCTGTATTTCCTTTTATAACATTTAAATAAAAAATATATATTTAATAATCTTTAAAAGGATTTAATCAAAAAAGACTTGTTGAAAACAAATAATAAAAAATACTTATTGAAGAAAGGCTTGTGGTTTCACCTGCATGTCTGCATGGAGTTTTCAAAGGCCTGCTGGACTTGTTCTTGACTGGCCAATACGCTCTGCAGCTGCTCACACACCATTTGAGCCATTTCAAAGGTCAGAGCGTGACGGCTCTCCCCCTCAGCCAGAAATACCCGTGCAAAGCTGCAGCCGCGGGAATTCACTGTTGGGACAGAGAAAGAAAGAAAATACAGACTCAGTGTCTTATATCTTATTCATTACTATGTGCACATAGGGTGAGGGAGTGTCATTGCTTATGTTCTGTTAAACTTATAATGTTAAGACTAAAATTATGTATAGGCAGTAACAGAGAACCGCAGATCGACTTTGAATTTGGCTACAACTATATTTGGATGAAACTGCAGGTCAGTCTAATAACTGAACAACATTTTTCTTTCATTTTGTTGTTAGGATTCCTCGCAAATAAATATAAAAAACTTTTTGTTCATATGTATGTGCAAACATCTACTGTAGATCCCCTTCAAAAATCCATATGTCCATTAAAAAAAAACAATGTTATGGTTGGAATTGGCAAGAAACTGTTTTCTGAGTTTAAACCCCGGGGGATTTTTTCTGATATGAGCAGATGATAATTTGCATTGAGAATGAAAGAGAGCGACACCACCTGGGAAGAGTCTTGCGAAATGGGATACATTTTAACTGTGACTTTGTCTCTATGGTGATCTCTCGATGACCTCATAGAAGAAAAGCTACTGAAGGTTTGTTAAAAAACAAAACATAAATACTATTGCAGACACAAACACCTGTTTGCTGCTTCTTTAAATGCACTGCCATGGTGACAGATGCACGGGAAGTGACAGATGTTTCATGCAAAGCCACACAACTAAATACCTTGTACAGGAAAAACATTTTGCAGAACTTGTAAAGTGCTGTTTTGTTTTGGCTGACTTTCATAAAGGAAAATTTAAATATATATCATCTGATAAACTGTTTTTTTGTTTTTCTCTTGGAGGACGAATACAAATACAAAGTAGATAACTTTTTTTCAACAGATTAGATATGGTAAAAAAAAGTCCCCACTATTTTTCCACTGGCTGTTATGAGTAAACAGAGCACTCGCAACAGCAGGAAGTCAAGCTTTCTGCTGTTAGTGGCAGTTGAACAACTAGAGTTAGTGCCAACACTTTGTCAGGGAGTTTCAGTTTACACACACACACACACGCACACGCACACGCACACGCACACGCACACGCACACGCACACACACACACACACACACACACACACACACACACACACACACACACACACACACACACACACACACACACACACACACACACACACACACACACACACACACACACACACACACACACACACACACACACACACACTGTCCCCTGAAAGTGAAGGGGTGAATAACAAGACGACGGTCCTGGCCTTGCAAACCTGCACATTGGGATCAAAGGCGGCTTACCGTCAGTGAGCTGAAAAGGGGACCGACATGAATCTGAGGCGCAACCATTAGTATGCAGAGGGAATGGCCATGGGTGTCTTTATAGAGTTGAGAAGCCATGCTATGCCAAGGCACTGTCTCTCCCAATGGCTCCATTGTCACCTAATAGAGTTGAAACCAAGGATACTGCATAGTCTCGGTGTACCAAGCCTGGGAGAAAGGGAACTTTAACACAGCGTCTTGCCAGAACCTCCAGCTGCTCCACAAGTAATAGACAAGCCTGACTCTCTATTGCCTCACCCCCTCCCTTTTCTTTTCATTTGTTTTCTCTCATTACCCTCTGTTTGTCTTTGCTACGGCAGCAATAAAGTCCAAATGACCCCCCACATGCAGGTGTGCAAACACACAGGCAGATCACAGATGCACTTGAACGTTGGCGGATAATTTCTCGACCTTTGTAGAGCCACGACACAGCATGGAGCCTGTATGCGGAGTATCTACATGTCGAAAATAATAACACACAATATCGGATTATTTATCCTACTGATCTTTTATCTGCATTTTTCTCTTTACTCAGAAACACCTTATTCAAAAATGTTCCCATAATGTCGTGCGGAATTCTGTGCTAGAACAGAGAGCGTGCTGTTTACGTCCCACTACTACTGTAACGTCCTTTTAGCCATAGTTCATAAGCTGGTTCAGAGAGAGCCCTTGTCGCCCGTCACTCCCACAATGCTCCAGTGTCCTGCATTATCACACTTGAGTGACGCTGCCCACTCAGCAGGTATGTCTTTCCCTCCACTGGTCACAACAAAGGGCAGCTGGGCCAGTGGGAGAGGTGAAACTTGAGATATGGGGGAAATATGTACACACACACACACACACACACACACACACACACACACACACACACACACACACACACACACACACACACACACACACACACACACACACACACACACACACACACACACACACACTCACAATATTTACCTGAAGGTCAAAAGGACTCTCCCTATCTGATTTTTTTCCTAATGTGCCATTTCCTCTCTCACCTACATCCCTTATAGAACCTTTCTGGAAGCAGCTTTCTTTCAAAAAGAACAGGCATGTGCACTTTTTCTCTATTTTATAAATGTTACCATTCAAGCTCTCCCTTAAGGAATAAGAAGGTTTAAATTAATCCAAATAGGTGATATGTGATAAGAAATATGACCAAGAACATCCTTTTCAAACATGTGAGGATATAGGGGACGTAAAAACATTCCTGTCACAGCAGAAGTTTGTCATTGGCTGTTCTTTTAGCATTTTAATATATATAGGTTGTTTAGGCACAGACTTATTCACTTTCTTGCTAAGAACTGGGAGGCATTTATGAAGCTATGACCATGTGTTATCATCTGTTTAGTCCATACACAGACATGTAGAAACAACACTTTGGAAAGTGCCAATTAGCTGTTTCGTTCTGTTTTCGATCATTATGCTTTGACTTGGAAGTCTTGATAAAATGGCCAGATTCCAGAGAGACTCAAGTTATTGGACAATCATAAGAGGCCTGTCATTAGAAGGGCTGATGCTATATTGCACTTAAGGACCATCCACTCCTGAAATGATTTTATCTTATTTAAGATTATTCTTTGCCCTCAGGGCGTCTTATCCCCTTAGGAGGACTAAGAGATGTCAAAATATTTCTCTATAGCAACAGGAGTCCTATTTATGGTAACCTATATAGCCTACACAGTGTCTTGTTTGCAGTACTGTGCAATAAGGGACCTCTTCCTCTTGTACCAACATGCCTTTTTTTGCTTAAACCTAAGTATAGATCCGATGTAATCTGCTGATATGCCTGATGATACAGTGACTATGGAAATCAGTCATGCAGAAAAGATGTGTGTACATTACAGAGCTCTTTCTGAGCAGTTTTCCCATGAACACAAATACTTTAGTGTATATGATAAGGTGAAGAACACAGGGTTAGAGAGGCTATGAGCATGAAACTCACATACATGTTTTAAAAAGTAATAAGGAGCTTTAACAGCACACAAAGAGATAGACAAAACATGAAATACAAGCACCCCTGCACAACTTAAGACCAGTTCAATCAATGTCAAAGGCTAGGGGTAAAGAAAAGAAAATTAAAAGAGCGGACAAGTTGTGCAGGATATTGGTGCCATTTGGGTGGTTGGTTTGTAGAGGAGGTGCGATGGTAGAGAAGGGAAACACGTGTCTAAGAGTCTCAGGTGGCAGGAGATGGTACTCACAAGCCCTCTTTGTCAGGGCCCAGTCCCAGCCAACAGGGCCCCTGACCACCCCTCACCTTGAAACATGACACTGGCGCATGCAGGAGGGGTCGTTACGCGCCAAGGAGGCAAATACGGCCATATTTGCAGGAAGTCCAGCGGTAAGGTGGGCCCGAGTGCATTTAAGTTGGTGTATGTGTGTGTGTGTATGTATGAGAAAGAGAGAGAGAGAGAGAGAGAGAGAGAGAGAGAGAGAGAGAGAGAGAGAGAGAGAGAGAGAGAGAGAGAGAGAGAGAGAGAGAGAGGAGAGAGAGAGAGGAGAGAGAGAAAAAGAGAGAGAGAGAGAGAGAAAAATACTAGAGGAAGTAGGACTCCGATAATGGTAGTAAGAGGATATCTGCAGTTGATCTCTTTATAGGAAACTCAAAAGATACAAGAACACTACGCACGCAATAAGATAACGTTAATGAGTGGTTTGGATATTGGAAAGCTCTGCATATGTTGTCATTCTGAGCATGAATTCAAATTGGAAAGTTCATCACAGATAGTACAACTCCACAGTCTAATGGACAACTTAATTATTTAAGTGCAAAGTATTAACATTTAAATCATACCAAATTGAGTTGTATTACACTAAAGCAGGGTCATAGTTTCAAATGAATTTCAACAGATGAAATACATTTATTTAATAACTTTGGGTGGGGGGAGGGGCAGGATTAATTTGAATACCACTTAGGGCATTTTCACTCCATTTACCAGTCAAAACTTATTTTGTTCTCAGGCAGAAGAATCCTATGTTGAATCCTACGTGTGTATGTGTGCTATTGGTGGGCAGACAGTCAGCATGGTCAAATCAGTTCCCTAACCATATAGCTGGACAGGCCACAAGTCCAAGAGTGCTGCTCTGGACAAAAAACCACAGGTTTAAGGTTCAAGTAACATCTTGACCAGGACGAGATGAAATCTCCACAGGACAGTTCTAGCCAGACACCAATTATTCTGGACACTCAGGCACAGTGATATACAAACAAATGCACACATAGAAAAGCTCACAACACATGTTGAAGCACAGGGAGGGGGGGTTGCCCCATCTCCTACCTCTTCCCACATACAGTGCATATACAAGCTGTTTAAGCAGCCTCTTATTTGCCTTTAAATACTGGTCAAATGTATGGCCAGATGCTGATGGTTCTTTGGCACAGAGCCAGAAGGAGTCTTTGTGAACAACCAACACCTCCTGGGAACAAGCCAGACGAACCCAGACCTGTTTGATTCAGCACCAACTTCACCTCCAGAGAAATATCGCTCCGAGCAACAAATCCAATCAAACCTTACACAGAAAGCACATGTGAGACAGAGAGGAAAGGGGGAGATATTGAGGGGGGCTAGAGCGATTACTGAACATCCTTTGTGTCAGAGAATAAAGCATTAAGCGTGGCGGCACAGCTAAAAAGGGGAACAAAATACCTCTCTATTTCTGCTCCTACCTGTTTGTGAAAGCTACACTTATTATCCTAAAGCATGATAAATAAGGTTCACTTCCCAGAGTGTAAATGTGTGTGAGACAGAGAGTGAGCAAGAGTCTCCTTTGTGTCTGTCAGGAGACTGCCAGACGCAAGCCTGTCTGTGCTGGTGTAGCACGCGCTCGCTTGCCGGCATCCACTCATCCACTCTACAAGCAGCAGCAGTAGAGCAAAGCCTGTCTTTTGTCATACTCAATTCCTCAACAGGCTCAAAAGGAGGAACACACATTACAATAAAGTCCCTTAATCGTAAATCAGAGAAATGCCAGCGGGGAAAATTTAGGCAGAATAAGGTAAATAAATAAAAGATAATAATCCCCAAACAAAGAGGTCTCCGCTAGTCAAAGGCACAGTCATCTCACCTTGAAGTTGTTCGGACCTGGAGGAGGCCAGTAATCCGAAGGTGACCCCCAAGAGAAGCGTCCACATCCTGGGAAAAAGTGTCTGGCGATGGCTGGGTGAATAACTGGAAGTAAAGGTGTGTAACTGTTCTCCTGTGGTCCTGTCTTCCCTCTGCCAGAAGTGAATGGTGGTGGTGTGTGTGTGTGTGTGTGAGTGTGTGTGTGTGAAAGAGAGAGAGAGAGAGAGAGATAGAGAGAGAGAGAGAGAGAGAGAGAGAGAGAGTGAATGACTGAGTGAAAGAGCAGTACAAAAAAAAAGGAAAGAGAAGCAGTCTGTCACTGTGGAGGGAGTTGCTGTGAGTGTCTAGTAGCTGCTGGAGCTGACTCAGACTTTGCCCCAACTTTTCTATTCTCTGCCCGAAAGAGACCAGTGGTACACACACAGAAGGGCACGAGTGGTTCATGTGAGCACACACCCATCTGCCTCTCCCTCACTCGCCCCACCTCCCCTCCCGCCCCACCTCACACAGTTTCCTCTACTGCTCTTTCTCTCCCGTCTTCACTTCTACATGTATTAATGGTAAAGAAGAAGGTGATCTCTCCCTCTGTCTGGCTGCTTATCCTCGTTTCCCTCATTCACCGTCTCCCACTCCAGCCCCCCTCCCCACCCCACTCCACCTCTTCCTCTTTTCATGTTCCTTACAGCAACAGTTTCTGAGAGCCCATCTGGTCTTTTGTTCAGTCCTCTCCATTTTCAATTCATCCGATTTTCTTGTCTCTCTTGTCTTTCTCCATTGCTGTATGTCTCAGTGTGATCCTGTACCACAGTTTAAAAGAGGTCACATCCATTTCAAAGTGAAACACCTCATCCTCCAAGTTTGTATTGATCCAAAACATTGATGAAAGCAAGTGCTAGACATACAGACATTTTGCACACTTCTCTCTGTCTAGCATCTATTTATTTTACCAAAAGAAAAAGCAAGCTTCACCGAGCTTTTTTCAAACATGTGTCTAGTATGTAGTTGGGATGACACACATGATGGTTCGTAAAATCGGTTCCAGTTATGCTTCAAGCTTAGGAGCCCAGTCAAAGATAACCATAGTCAATGCTATCTGCAATATCTCAACTTCCTTCCTTTTAACTCTCATCATGTGAAACATCTCTTCACCCTTAAACTCAGGGTTTAACATTTCACTTCACCAGGTGACAGATGGAGTCATCTCTGGTTTCAGGAATCTTCCCCCAACGTCAGCATATCTCATGTGATGTGTGCAATGTCTAAAATAAACTAGTTTGTAAAGAATGTGTGACTGCTGCTCTGTACATGTGTAACTTCCTTAACAACCACACATTACAATTGTATGTGATTGCTCAGCATGGCCATTGGCCAGTAATGTTGTTGTCATGGGGACAGCAAATGAGCAAACGGGACCTGTTATTTCAGGTGAACACAGTTATTATTCCACTCAACAGCTTATGGCAATTAAATGACTGAATTTCCAGCTCATTTAGCCTATCAGGATGGGACAAATTGGGAAATACAGGGTAATGGGTAAAACAAAAAATCATTAAAAGAGATTGTACTAGATATGCTTCTTTACCAGATACACGGCTGAAGTGTGAAACACAGGAAATGGAAATGTACCAGAGTGAGAGTCTACAGTCACTTTGGCACAGTAATATGCTAATATAGCTAAATACTAATGTCAAAATACAAACATGTTCCAAATGACAACCTTTCATGCTGATTTGAGGTGAACCATCTAATAGTTGTTGTGATTTGACTCAAAAGCAAACTTTTCAATTTCATGGTGGTGCTAATGAAAGAGTCAAGGGATCATATAGCCAAGGTTAAAAAAGGTGAGGCTTAATAACGAGTCTGCCAAAACAGAAAGCCATTTTTACTTGAGGTTTGAGGTTCAGCATCATAGAAAACAACTGTCCTCCGGCTACCCGATGGTGAAGAGTAGAATACCACTCTGAAATATCGTGTAGTTATTTTTTCCATCAAACCTGTTACTGAAACCTAAAATAGCTGTTGATGGACAACAGATAAAAAAAGGTTTCCTTCAACAGACTTTATTAACTATCATCACTTACTTTTGAATGCAACACCTGGAAACCTTTAATGTTCATACAGAAATAATACCAATAAACAATCTAATAGTTGTTGTGATATTTCAGTCCTGACCTAGGTGGTGGACCAATCAAGTGACCAACAGACGAACATCCCTAGAGCCAAGTCACCAGCATGATATACCCCTGAACACAAAGGCTAATAGTGACAAATGCAGGAAAAGGAACTAGTGGGATAATTGCGGAACAAAACTGATATACAAACAATGTACTTCACACAGATGATCAGGACTAAGCACTTGACTTCCCTTCTCAAACAGCTAATCTAGTTTGGGAATAAACTACTTTTGGATTGATAAAATAAGGACAAAAAAACATAGAGATCGGTTTTTGGGTAAACTCAAAGACTAAGATTTAAAACTGTCGTACTGACTTCTGGCTATGATTTCACGCACAGATTCAGATACATTTAACTTTTCTGACACCCAACCACCCATGGTTTCACACAAGTAATAAAGGTCATAAAGAGAAGAGAGTATCAGATAGATTCACACTTCCTAATCTACAAATACAAGTCACTTCCTGTTTTAGCTGTTGCCATAGTCAAACTTGTTTATAGTGCAAAACATGAAGAAACAAGCATCTGTAGTCTGAATATAGGAAACCCAATGAAGATTGTACCTACTGTATATTTGGGTTACAGTTTTTTTTTTTTCTTGTTAACCACATTAATTTCCCCCTGTGTTTGGCTATAATAATATAGTTTGCCTTCTCTTGCTTGTAATAGTAGTTTATCTATGATATGAAGACTAGTGTAAATATGTCTAAAGGAATATTGATTAAAGTCCACTCTGATAACATACCGTTTATAACAAACCAATTAAACAGTATAAGTGAAATTCTGGCTAGGATAGGATAATGAAAAAGAGTGTAAGAGCCAAAGAAGCAACTAAGGATGAAAAATGATTATTCAGCCTTCATTTAGTTTCCCTCTCAGAACAAGCTCTGTCCCAGTTTCTCTCTCTTGAGAAACAACATTGAGACAAACTGCAAATAATCCCTAAATGAATAGTTGGGTGAATGTGTAACATGAACTGTGATTGATAAATCTCTTTTCAAACAGCCAAACATACACACATGTAGGCAAGAATAAAAAAGGTGAATTACGGTCAACACTTGAGCAAGGAGGAATGCACAAACCTCTCGATCATTGTCAGTCGATAGAAGTAAATTCAACTTGGCCTCTGTTAGCATGAACATGACCTCATGTGGTCGGTCAGATGTTTCATTCATGTGTGAAATGGCTTTGATAGAACATGTAAAGAAAAACCCAAGATGATTAAAGCCTATCTGTAACCTAATAACTAATCATAAGGTGTCAGGGTTATTATGTGGCTATCTTTGCTGTTGCAACGGGACAAAAAAACAAAAACAGAAGGTGAACAGCTGTAAATTGGGCATGAATGAGGCCTAAATTAAACATCAGACTGCTGAGTCAACTAATACTCATCCAGCTCGGAACTCGGTTTTTCCATGATAGCTTTTCGGTGAGGACGCCCACATACGCTCTCTCCAGAAGCTCTTGTGGTTGGATATACTCGTGGTAATGGCTGACTAATGACTCCTCCTCAGCATTCCTGTTAGGTAACGTCCCTTTTTCCCTCAGACCAGCGCAGTCACTGGTTAGCGACTAGAAGAGTTTGCAAGATGTCCATATAAGTACAGAGCAGAGACATGAAATAAATCATTCACATCCAGTGAATATGAGTGTTTACACAGATGTGGTTTGATGCTTAAAACGACATAGTGTTTTAAATATCAGCTGAGGATAAAGACAAAATTAAGTTTCCACACATTTTTCTCTGATCAACCAAAGAAGAAAAAACATGTAAAATGTTTAGTATTTATCAGATCAATGTTTTTGACAGCTTCTTGATACTACTTCCTTTACAGTCAATCAGAAGAAGATCTATGTTTAGTCAAACACTGGGGTCTCTTGGGAGGTGTATGAGTTCGTCAGAAGGGGTGTGCACGTGTTGTGTATCTGTGGCCGATAGATGAGCTCTGCCTCACCCCCCAAATGTCGTCCCAGGCTGAATGAGCTGTCCTGGCGTCATGGTACCATGAGTGGACTGCTTCAAAAGGCCGGGCTTTGTACAACAAAAACAAACCAAGAGCCTAGCTTGTGTTTGGGTGCTCGGACAGCAGAGTGGGTGTGTTTAGTCAGTGAGTGTCACAAAGCACTGTATAGCCATCTGGGTCGGACTCTCAGTCAGCACAGTGAGGTTCAGCGTCAGTGATCTCATATGTTAAGTGTTTGCAGATGTAATCCGTTTCTGGGTTATTTACATGTGCTTCCTTTCAGAAAACTCAAACAGGATGCCTTATGTTGAGTGTGAAAAAAAAGGGATTTTTTTAAGACATGACAAACAGGTCTAAATGTAGTATATTTACACAGAAGGAGGAAGTGGAAGTGCATTATACAGGGAGCAAGGTCTGCCTCCCAGTTAAAAAAGGACTGAATAGAGCAGTGCTGGGAGCAGGGGAAAATGGGGAGACCAGAGGAAATCCTGTCAACAATGGTTGAACAAACTTGAGCGTGAGATAATGTGGATGAGATCAGGCCTCTCACCAACCCTGGTGATCATTCAGCCTGTTCACAGAGGGGAAATATGTGTCTGTGAGATCAAAAGGGACAGGGAGAGACCCCAGAGAGACAAATCAGACTAAAATAGGAAATATTTAGATGATACAATAATAGGGTTTCTTTGATAATTCATTAAGTGATCCTTGTTTTTCCTCCCCAACACTACCCTCCTTGAAAAGACAGACGTATAATAATTTGGGTAACACTTTATATTAAGGTACACAAATTCACCATCAACTAGTTGTTAATTAACATGCATATTAGCAGTATATTGGCTCTTTATTAGTCATTATAAAACACGTATTAATGCCTTATTCTACATGAACGTATTCTACAAGTAATAGGCCATTAGTTGAGAGTTTTTCCTCAATAACCCTCTAAATTAGTGCTTATTTATTGCAAGTAAGGAAGTTGTTTTGGTCTTAATATGCGCTGTTCAATATGGGCCTAATAAGGCAGTAGTACCACAAGAATAGTAATTCTCCCATAATAACCCTTAACAAATATGATCTATTCTTATGTAACAAGACACCCTGCTGAAAAAACCAGCATAGACCAGCTTAAGATGGTTGCTGGTGTTAGCTGGTGTTAGCTGGTGTTAGCTGGTGTTAGCTGGTGTTAGCTGGTGTTAGCTGGTGTTAGCTGGTGTTAGCTGGTGTTAGCTGGTGTTAGGCTGGTGTTAGCTGGTGTTAGGCTGGTGTTAGGCTGGTGTTAGGCTGGTGTTAGGCTGGTTTAGTTGGTTTACCAGGCTGGACAAGCTGGCCAGGCTGTTCTTGCTGGTTCAAGACCAGCCTGGTCAGCTAAACCAGCATAGCCCAGCATGGATGTCATGCTGGTCTATGCTGGTTTTAGCTGGTCTATGCTGGTGAAGCTGGTGAAGCTGGTCTATCAGCAGTCTTGCTAGCGAAACTGAAATAGACACAGACAGACAGAGAGGGCGGGACACGGGGGAACGGCGAGACGGCAGTGGTTGAAACAAAGCGGTATGTTTTGACTGGCACAAACGGTCGAGGAGTGAAGATCAGTTGAACGTTTCTGTGACTCCGCCCAGCGGCTGCTCTTCTGAGAGGCACCGCTCTGACAGCTCTGTCTACTGGGAAACGCGCTAAAAGTCCTTCTGGAGGTAAGCAACACTACACAATTTCACCAAGTCTGAGAGTAAAAGCTTTCTCGAAGGTTCGTTTTGCTTTCTTACAACGTTACGTTAATGTTAACTTAACCTTACGTTTGCTAGGAGGCTAGCTGTCTTAGCTAACAACAGTTAGCAGCTAACGTTTTCTGCAGTTTGTGTTTCCCCTGAAAAACGTGATGCAGCTATAAGTTGTAAGTTAACTTAACGTTATCTTACAAGTTGAGAGAGTTACGTTTTGTTTAAAATCGTCAATGTAATGCCATTAGAGGTGTTGTGTTGAACATGAAGTTAGCTAACTGTAGCTCTCCACCAAAGGTTAGCATGTTAAGCTGTACTTTCTGTGGCAGCTAGCTTAATACAAAGAGGGTTTTTGTGCTTCATTGTAAACTTTTCTTACAAATGTGTGTTAATCTAGCTGAAATTGTGGGGACAGTTTTTTTCTACTCAATGATACAGACCATTGTTGAGGAGATGCAAAACATACATATACTTTGAGTAATGTTACTTTGCTGCTAAAAAATGAAACATTATCAGATAAGGACATCACCAAAGTGTGTGAGTCTGTCAGGGGATTTGATCTGTTCTTTGCATGTCGTACACACTGCTCTGGTATGAATTAAAAATATAATTGTAAAATGTAAATCTCGCTCTTGTCATCGTTCAGGCTTTGCATTTGAACCCCTATGACTGGTTGCGGACTTGAAGGGAACGCCTTCCTGACATCCAGGAAAAAGGTGAGATTCTAATCTAATCTAATCTATTTCAATGCCAAAAGCAAGTTATTGTTTTTAACTTTTTTTAATATGATTTTTTGGGGAATTTCAGTTTTATTGGATAGTAGAGTTTGTTTACTGGAAACAGTGGAGAGGGAGGAGATGATATGCAGCAAAAGGCCGAGCCGGATGGTTGCTGCTCCGTGTGGAACGTGTTCTATCAGGTAAAGCACTTTGGTACCCAGTTATTTATGGTATTGAGTTTGAATGTAGCCTTTGGAAGGTATTTTCCAACAGTGCATTGTAAAGACTGAAAAAACAGGCTCAGGTTAAAGCTTGACTTGATTTGGTCTTTTACTTAAGAGGATGTTTGTCCTCCTGTCTTCTCTTATTTCCTTATCTTTCTTTCAGGTGTAACATCTACCAATGGTTGTACGTGACACCACCTCTTTGCTGTCCTACTAGTCAACCCTCCTGATCAGAGCCTTTCCTAAATAGTGGTAAGTTGTTTAACAGTTCAGTGTACGTTAATTTAGCAACTTAATGCTTTACTGCTGTTGAATAAACCCTATATATATACATCCATCAGCAATCAATAAAACAAATCATCCAACACAAAATAGAAGAAATCTGGACCTATTCTATTTCTTTTTATACCACAGCATCTATTGGGACTGCTCATTGATGTCATCAAGAGCCATTGAGTCTAGCTTTTGTAGTCGGCCTCTCAGAATGTTTATCATTTCTTTGTCTCTTAACATTCCTATAATCATTTGTTTTTTTATTGTTGATATTGTTTTGTTCTTTATTTTTGTTGTGAGAATCACTTTGCAATTGTGTAAGTGCTATATAAATAGTTATACTAATATAATTGTTGTTACCATCATTACTATTATTAAAAATGTCTTCTTTGTTTTCTTTATTCATCGCTGCAGAAAGGTTCAAAAAGTTCCCTGTACATCGAACCATGCCTGTCCTCTGTTCCACATGTCTTCAGTCCGTTCTGGACTCTATGACTCTGTTCCACATGTCTTCAGTCCGTTCTGGACCCCATGACTCGGACACTAGTTCTACCAAGGCTCATTAGAGGTAAGCAGTGGTAGGAGAGTGGAGTTATCTTTGTATTTAGGCTGCAAGTCGACAAGAATAGATTACAAATCGCTTAAAAAATTGTTCAGACAAGAGGCACCATGTGTTACGCAGGTGTGGCGCTGATATAGTTTATATAATATGTGGTTGAACTTTAAAATAAAATTATTTCCGGTGCAGAGACAAACACTCGAGGTGGATGTATAAAGTGGTGTTAATAAAATATAGTATATATCCCTCAATTTATCGACAATAAGAATGACAATACATACTTCCGGGTGTAAAGTAATATATCTATCATACTGTAGATGCTACACATCCACTGGAGGAAGATTCTGAAAGTAAAATATACACTTCTCACTAGAAATGTAATCATAAAGCATTATTATGGCCAAAGTATCCTACAATTCAGGATTTTCCACTGAAAAAAGTGTTGGATTCAAGATTCAAAGCTTTTATTCTCATATGCTCAGCAGCTACAGTGTAGAAATGTCAATGAAATTCTTCTGACCTGAGCTCCTCCAACAATGCAACATATACAATAAAGTACAAAAATACAAAATAAAAAGTAGTGCAAAAAGTTTATATACATGTAATATAATAGAATATGATATTTACAAGAACAGAATATTAAATAAAAAATTAAATACGGTGTATTGCGTGGACAATAGACCCAATCACAGTGAATGTTCAAAACTAAACTTGATACATTTGTCTTTTTCATCTCACAGTGCACATATTTAAGTAATCATAACACAAAGCTAAAATGTAATCTGTTTTTCCTTTCTCTTTTCAAGAGTGCTTCAGAGGATGGCTGAATTCACAAAACGTGGAGAAGACCGAGAGGGAAAAGTTGGCCGGTTACTACATTTCACAAAAAATACAGGACCTTGTGAAAAACGGAAAGAAACAGTTGAAGGAAATTGCTTAAGTATGAAGTAATGGGTGTTTTGAAAATGTTTTCAAATGTGTGTTAATGTTCATTGTGTGTTATAAATTATTTTCCTGCTTCTAATCATTTGATGTATGAGTATTTATTTACAGACATTCTATACATTCTGGTACCTTTCTGGTAAGGTAGGTGCTCTGATCTGAAATGATAGATGTTCATTGAGCTACTGCAATTGGGTGAGAGTGTTTCATCATCATATATGACCAGCTTAACCATCAAGTAATCCCAGTTAAAGTTCTACTCAAGATCATACCAGTCGGACCAGCTAATGGTGACCAGCTAGACCACTGTGACCACCAGATTTTACCAGCTAAACCAGCTATCCCGACCAGCTAATGGTGACCAGCTACTAGACCACTGTGACCACCAGCTTTTACCAGCTAGACCAGCTATCCCGACCAGCTAATGGTGACCAGCTAGACCACTGTGACCAAACCAGCTATCCTGACCAGCTAGACCACTGTGACCACCAGCTTTTACCAGCTAAACCAGCTATCCCGACCAGCTAATGGTGACCAGCTAGACCACTGTGACCAAACCAGCTATCCTGACCAGCTAAAGTGTCCAAAACCCCTCTCAACCAGCAAACTAATCCAGCCTAATATTGACTGGCTGGTCAGGCTGGTGACCAGCCTGACCAGCCAGACCAGCCTTGTTGGTCTAAGCTGGTTTTTTCAGCAGGGCATGAAACTATAAGTGTTAATTGTGTCTAAATAACAAAAAAGTAGGTATTTCTATCTAAGAATATGTTTTGGGGTATTGACAGTTCAGCTATGCAAGGTGATATTGACCTGTATGTTTCATATTATTTGCACATTTATATTTTTGTAAAATTTGTACTGAAGGTTAGACAGGAAACCGGGTACAGGAGGTAGGAGAAAGTGAACTGAATTGCATGGCAGTAGACTGCTACTAATTTTCCCTATGCAACCTGAAGAGTAAAAGGGTCAAGTTCGTCAGAAAGCAATGACTGTAAGTGTAAGTGTAAGCCTTACACTTACACTGTAAGGATTAGTAACATGTATTGTGTTTATGTGATGACATTTGGAGATGTTTAAACTCAATGAGAAAATGTGTTAGCATTCGCGCTAGCGTTAGCCATACTAGCCTGTAGTAGGCTATGGCAACATGCTTATTGCACAGCTAGCATTAGCTATGTTTACCTTGTTTACACTTAGCGGCCCTATGTGTTAATCTGTGTATGTTACACTTGCATGTATGAGATAATTAAGTGCCTTGTAACTTCTTTTTTTATAGTTTCACTCCGTTTGAATGTCAGTGGACTGCAAATAAGTCAATAAAGGAGCATGGCTGCACATCATGGCTCTCAAAAGAGTTTGGCTGGCTGTTTAATCTATGTTCACACTGAGACAGTACAACACATAGAGAGAACAGTACACCTAGTGTGTAAGTACATACAAGCAGGTCACACAGTATGATCACACAAATACATAAACTCTGTTAAAAATCAGTTTTTATTAAAAAGTACAGGCTGCATTATGTGTTCTCAGCCTTGGAGAAACTTGACATGTTTTGGTATGTGTCTGAACCTCTCTTCAGTGGTTCATTAATAAAACAGATATTTCAACGTGTGCCTACTTTGTTCATTTACTGTTGAGGTTCATTTCAGTACTTGCGTGCTATAATGTATTTACAAAGTGTGAAGAGGAGGCAACTTTAGAATAGGGAACCTGTTCAGGTCAATTAGTCAAACTACTAGCTTATTGGTTATGAACAAGACTTCACTTTAAAATAGGGAACATATTCTTAGATAGAAATACCTAATTAGAGTCAAACTACTAGCTTATTGGTTATGAACAAGACTTCACTTTAAAATAGGGAACATATTCTTAGATAGAAATACCTAATTAGAGTCAAACTACTAGCTTATTGGTTATGAACAAGACTTCACTTTAAAATAGGGAACATATTCTTAGATAGAAATACCTAATTAGAGTCAAACTACTAGCTTATTGGTTATGAACAAGACTTCACTTTAAAATAGGGAACATGTGCTTAGATAGAAATACCTAATTTTGAGTTATTTAGAACAATTAACACTTATACACTCATGTCTTGTTACATAAGAATAGATCATATTTGTTAAGTGTTATTATGGGAGAATTACTATTCTTGTGGTACTACTGCCTTATTAGGCCCATATTGAGCAGCGCATATTAAGACCAAAACTCATGTACAACAACTTCCTTACTTGCAATAAATAAGCACTAATTAGAGGGTTATTGAGGAAAAACCCTCAACTAATGGCATATTATTGTAGAATATGGTCATGTAGAATTAGGCATTAATAAGTGTTTTATAATGACTAACAAAGAGCCAATATACTGCTAATATGCATTTTAATTAGCAACTAGTAGATGGTGAATTTGTGTACCTTAATATAAAGTGTTACCATAATTTGATATAATTACAAAGCTTTTGGACTGTTAATACAAAATGGTTCCAAGCTTTGATACTGAATGTAGTAATGGCTGGGGATTCAAACGGAGGACAAGATGCTCACCTCGATGGAGCGCCAGGCAGAAGTGTTCAAGCAGCAGATGGAGCGCCAGCAGCACCAGGATGAAGTGTGGGCGCTGCGCCATGAGGAAGCGTCGGCGCAGCGGCAGGATGAGCGACAAACTGCATTTAATAACAGTTTATTTGGTATAGTTTTTGTAAATACTGACACACGACACACAACGTTGCACTAAGGTGTGCATGCTGCTGAGAATATCCCTACACCTGGGACAGTTTATTTTATATTGTTATTACTGTTATGACTTTATTTTATATATAATGTTTACTGACATGTACAACTGACACTTTATTTACATTTAAAATTGTTCTATTTAATGTTATGTCTTGAGAGTGCAATAAAGAAAACCGACATGGCGATTAAGCTTATTTCTCCTGACACTTTATCTTTTGTGACCTGTGTAGCATCCTATACATCACATGTAAGTGATTATTCTGATACCATCATGTTTCATCGGTTATAAACTGGCAAAGCTTTATTTGTCATTTATTTATCATCAATGTTGCAACCTTGTGGGGGAATGGCAGGGGCACATACACAAATATGACAATTTATATAATTTTAAATATTATTTGACCTAAACTTTTAATTCCCCCCCATTTCACACAACACAACATGGAGTCCACTATGGGCCAAAACTAACATGTATGTTTGCATAGTGTTTATGGCAGACGGATGCAGTGGGTCTCAGGAAGATATATAATAAAGGTGGGTTTGCTGCTGAGACTCCCTACACCTGGGAGTTTATTTTATATTGTTATTACTGTTATTATATAGTACAACTGACACTTTATTTTATATTGACAATGTTTACTGACATGTACAACTGACACTTTAGTTACATTTAAAATATTTCTATTTAATGTTATGTCTTGAGAGTGCAATAAAGAAAACCGACATGGCGATTAAACAGATCCTGTATCAGTTTTTCTTCTTCTCTTGTTTTGTAGCGGGTTGCAAACAACTTTAAGGTGCTTACCGCCACCTACTGTACTTGTAATCTTCCCTCAGGGAAAAGTACTCCGGTGTGAACGCGATCTGTACTAAGTACCCTGGGGTTAAAAGCGCCAGGGCTCTTAGTGCCGGAACTAAGTACAGGAAAGTACTTGGTGTGAACGCGGCTATAGAGGTTAAAAGAAAGGGGTGGATGCAGACTGGTAGACTGCTACTCCCTAACCCCCCACCCTGGCTTATTTTCAAGCCCCTCATTGTTTGTGCAGTCAAAGCCCTTCAAACATGGAATTCTGACCACTTCTGATTTTTGGACCAACACATTCATCAGACAACCGATCTGAAGGACATCCAAATATCAGCACAACAGAAATGCACATTTGCCCACTTTGGTCTCCATAGCAACTGACTCACTCTCTCTGAACACATGCTGTGTGTCCATGAGTCTGACCTACACGCCGGCAAGAGCCCCCGCAATATCTTCAAGGCCTTGTGCACAGTTCATCAAAACCTTGGCGGGAAGCAATCTGATTCCCTCTGTCTGGTGGCTCGCTTATCCAGCTGTTTCACATAACAAGATTGCTGGGTGAAAGATTGGCAGGCGGCAGTCAGAAAAGTAAATGTCAGACTGTGACAGAAAAGCAAAGAAAATGTCAGAATCTGTTTTGCTGCATTCACAGAGCTAATATTTAGAATAGCATTGTTCAACTGCTGTGTCCTGGAAGTTGACAAGCTGATAGCAAAATGGGATAAAGCAGGCAGATCTAATAATGAAACCATCTTGAGAAACAGAACAGGAGGGCATATAAGAACTGACATTTGTTTCTTGTCAGCTGCAAGAATGGTCTAATTCATAAGAAATATTGTGCCTGAAGGATATTGCATACCAATGACACAAGGACGCCTTGTTCAAATACAAACATCTCATCATGCTACGGGGGGTTTGGTAGCACAAGACCATGAGACAAATAATTAGCTTAAAAAAAAAAAAAGGACACGTGGTTATCATTAGCTTTGATTTTTCAACAAATCCTCCCATTCATCTAGGCATGTTAAACAACTTAAAACACTACTTAAAGTGTGTGGACTTTTTCCTTATGCTCTAACGGTAGTGTTCATATTGGTTTTGCCTTCTCTTGCTGCTTTTTCAATTTCGTTATTTGACCCGATATCACGTTGATCAGTGGTAAGTACTGTATCTCTTCCCAGCTGGTGAAGTTGTGCACACAGATAAGCATTTGCAGGATGCAGCGGTTGGATTATGAGCATGTCTCACCAAGTAATAATAGGAGGAGATAGCTGGAAGGAAGAGGTCGAGTTAAAAACTAAAAGATGTGTAAAGAATTAAAAGCATTGGATTACTGTTGTAAAGGTGTATTGTGATGGCTGAGGTTTAAATGTTAAAGGGATCTGTTTTTTGGTTTCTTTTTATTTGAGTGTACCTTCCATCACCTTGGTAACTAGCACTTTGGTGTGTGTGTGTGTCTCCGCAAATGGCTTTCAGAACAGTTGGCACACTGTAGAAAACAGTTGTCCTCTGCCAATTGCCCCCCTCTCCTCTTTCTCATCCATATGTACCCCTTCTGTACTGGATGGAGAATGCACACAACTCTATCTGACTCCAAAGAAACCACAGAAGAACACTTCCTTTTTCCAGAGTTATTGACAAGGGGTTAAATGTGAAAAGCTGCAGTAGCAGACAAATTGTAATAGTATAATAATTATTTAGTTCTCAGTACATGGGCTGCCCGCGTTACCAGGTGAGCTCCCGGTCCGCCTCAGAGGAATCTCTTAGCCTCATCAAACTGCATTAACTCCACCCGTATTTTTATTGTGCTTCATATGTGGTGTGAAACATTTAAATCAAAACCAGAGACGCGAGTCAGTCAGATATTCAAACTTTTCCCTTTTCAGCAGCTTTTCACTTCATCTAAAAAAACAGCCCATCTAGGATAAACTCTGCCCACCCGTGTTTTGCGGAGAACTGTGTAAACAGCTGTTCTGCCCGCTTACAGCAAAGATAAACATCTGCCAGCAGAGACTGACCTGTTTACTAAGCCAAGCAAATTATCCTAATTGGCTTCTATGAAATAATGACTTTGTAGTCTCTTTAGATTCTAATTAAATAGTTAGATACACACAGACATAGTTTCCCTGGTAGCTGCGTGTATGAGGATGGGGAGAAACATGTGTTAATGAGGCACGGAGACATCTCAAGGAATAACAAGTGATTTATTGGCATCTAAGGGAAATCAAAACCTAAATGATTGTATTTATTTTGTATACACATGGACTTGAGATTCAATTTAAGAAGTGTCAAACAATCTGTTTTAAATAAGTTAACATGTATTAATATGAACAATCATTAAGTTCTTGAACATGAATTATGTAACAGCAGGAAATGGTTCATTCAGGTTTATCCTTATCGGAAGCTGAATTGCTACAGATGTTCAATGATAAATATATTTTTATGTTGCAGAACCACTTGCATGTGCATTAATAGTGACAAAGTAGATGAAAAGGTTCTGAAGAAAAGAACTTGAAGTGGAATAACCTCTTCATATATACACAACACTGGTGTGATTGAAAAACCACCCCTTTTACAGTATGCCACCTCTGCCCTTATATTTGGCACAGTGGCAAGAATCCTCTACCACTCTTAGCAAAATCCAAATTGAACTCCTGCATCACAAAGCCTGGTCATTTTAAATCAGTAGTAAGCCAACAACACACGTTTACACTATATACATGCCTACTTTGTAAGCCTTAATCCAAGCATGATCGTGAATGAGCTTTTTAAGAGCATGACACAGGCTTTGTCATGCAGGTTTCTTTTGCTATGACCTTAGAATCCCTTTCAAACAGCTATCTCACTTTATATATATTTCAGGCTAGGGCCATGCGTTGTGGTTTTTCTAGGTTGCTGCGGAATTTATTGAGAAACCGTGAGGCTAATTCGTCATCCACCATTCTTCCGTCACTGGACAGTGTGACTGTCATCAGCTGCTGGGTGCGCAGGGTCTGGCTATCCTCGCACAGTCGCAGCTCGGACCTGGAGGTACCGACCGCAAGGATGCACGCCTGAGGAGGGTTGATCACGGCGCTGAAGCCACTGATACCGAACATCCCCAGGTTAGATATACTGACAGAGAGAGAAAAGAAGAGGGAAGACACAGTAAACATGTTACATCATTAGTCACGCTCAGCAGGGGAACAAATGCATTCAAATCAACAAAATAGGCATATGGGGGCTTTTAAACCAGCCGCTTAATTCAAAAATGGACATTACCTCTAGAAGTGAGTGAATACAAAAATTGAGGGGAGAATAAATATAAATATAATCAGCTGTGAACATCTTACGTTACTAAAAGAACACAGATCAGTAAAGATTATTGCAGCAGCGCAGGGCTCAAAGTCTCTTCCTGTGTTGTTGATGGTGAGCAAGACTGACCCCAAGGGCAGTTTGCTGTTTGCGTTAATGAGAATTCTAGCTCAGGGGGATGGAAAAAGTAATAGAGGAAGGGCGTACACATATATCCTCGGGAGAACAAAGAGGGCTGCCTCTCTATAGGACTTCATCGCTCCTGCCTGACACAGAAACCCCATTTATGTCTAAATGACACCATTAATTCTAATGAGTTGTAAAGTCCCCCTTTCCACTTTTCTGAAATTGATGGCTCAGCTACTGATGGTACTCTTTGCCCAGGACCACATTCAGTTGAGGCCCTGCATTTAATGTGGAATATGCATAATATATTAACTATCTGTGGAACCGGATTTAAGTCATAAGTCATAATAGCGGAAATATATGATATAATCTTACTGCCGAGCTACAGAGGAAATTGTGAGATAGAATTAAGGGGTTAGAGATAAAAAGGCGGTTTATTGAATTGAGAAATTTGACAGTGGAATACTACATAACGCAGAGGAGTGGCTGGAAACATTATGATTTTATTATTTTGTGACTTTCTATAGGTCTCTTTTTTAAGCCAAGAGATGATGTGTGTGTTTACCTGAATGAGCCTCCCTGGTATTCTTCAGGCAGAAGTTTCCCATCTCGAGCCTTCTGGGCCAGAGCCTATGGAAAGATTCACTGTCATTACAACTCTTAAACTTAGTTTCAGAGATCCAAGCAGGATTTTAGACAACTTGCAGGATATATACAGTGACAAAGAAAACCACACATTGTATTGGACAGAGAAGACAAAGTTGGTATCCAAAGTATTAGAAATACACGTGTCCACATGAAAAAATACCTAAGCACACACTGTATTTGTAGTGAATTAAGGAGATAAATTCCCTCTATAAAAATATATCGACATACGTATGCGGAATATATAGGCCACACACAGGACCAGATTTGAAGATGTCATTATGGTCCGACAAGTATTGACCAGACAGTTAGCTTTTTATCGGCCTAAAATGAGTTTATAAACTGGCAAACTGTAAAACGATTTGGGCTTAGGCGTGGCTGATCAGACCACAAACAGTGAGTGCCACAGGAAAGAGGAAGTCTTGGCCCTGGATTTTTAACAGGCTACACCAGAATCCCACAAATAATGGCCGTTCCAAGATTGAGGGGAACACCAAAGTCCGCTGGATTCATTCTCTAGACACCATGATTATCCAAACAATATTATAATCCTTCCATTAAATTCAAAGACTCTGAAAAGTCAGGGAATCTAATTAGACTTCAACCTCTGGGGACCATGTCTCTCTGTACAATATTGTTGAGATTATTCCAAACTGAACCAAAGTGGGGAGCCAACCAAGAGACTGACTAAGGCTGGGTGATATTGCCATTTCACATCTCTTTCATATATCATACAATATTAATCACAATACAGCATGTTTTCTGCCAATGTAGTGAGAATCAAGTGGCAGACATAATCTTTTATACACTGACATCCTGGTCTGAATCATCTTCAACTGAAAATGAAAGAGTCAAACAAGCCTCTTCTATCTGATGTAGCCAGATACAAACAGAAAAACACACTTCTTATTGAGAGCAATCCTTCTTTTTGCAGTCCTTTACATTTTAAAATCGTTCAGACGTTTGGTGAAAGGCCACAGGGGAAAACTTTCATAAACCTTATTCAAGGAATGTATGAAATGTCCAATAGCAAGCGCTGAGATAAATGGAAACTATCAGACTGTGCATTGCTAAAATGAAGAAAGGGGATTGACATCACCCAGAAGGGAACACATTGCTTCAGCCAGGCTCTGCCATGTTGTAACAGAGCATGAGAGTGACACACTTGGAGGAACATATCTGCTGATGCACTAGACCAGAGGCCTGTACTACGAAGCAGGATTTCGCTTAGCGAGCTAACTTCAGGGAAAACTCTGGATTTCCGGTCCTACGACGCTGGTTCACTTCTTAGCGGGCTAGATCTCCACGGTAACTTATGCTGAACGGTTAGCCTGCTCCGGAGCAGGTTAGGTTCCAGGATAAGAGATCAACTCAGTGAAAGCACTGCCTGCTGACCAATCAGAGCTCAGTGTGCGGAGTTTAAAGCGATCAAGTCATATTACAGGAGAAAGGAAATACAGTTTAAATTGCCGTTGCAGGAAAGACGGCCGGCAAAAATCACCGACTGTGTGAACGTGAAAATGAATAGAATATCACCTCCCATCTTCAGAGCAATCTGACTATTATAACATTAGCGTTAAGAAAGCTTACTTAAATATCTGCCACAACATAAGTAACCTACAGTCCGCGGCACTGTGAGTGCAGACGTCGATGTGTCCCATTATCAGGGATGCAAACTCATCAGGTATGAAAAAGGTGACAAGGATCCGAGCCCCCCCGACCCCACGGAATATCGGCTTAAAATGAGGAATAACAGAGGATTTTAGCAGTCAGAACAACTAAAGCAGCAGTTAATAATAACAGAAACGCCAAAGCGTCACATCTAATAGAAATATATAAAAGCATTTATTTTAATTGTGTAGCAGTCAGTTTATAATTTTGGCAGGACTGTTGAGCATTTTGAAAATGTATTTTCATGCCTCTGTTCAAGGCTTAGTCTTTCTATCTTTATAGCCACTGGTGTAAAGTAACTAAGTTCATAAACTCAAGTACTATACTTGGGTACAATTTTGAGATACTTGTACTTTATTTAAGTATTTCAATGTTTTGCTACTTAGTACTTCTACTCCTCTACAGTTCAGAGGTAAATGGTGTACTTTTACTCCACTACATGTATTTAATACCTTTAGTTACTTTACAGATGTGGATGAATGATGTGAAATATAATCAAGTGTTAAATCAGACTTTAGTTCCACCTGGAGTAAATTCACAAGCTACCCTGCAGTATACAAAGTCATTCAAACTAGCTGCACCTTTACCAGCTTTGAGAACACTTTAATGATCAATCATTATAAAACATATCATATCTATTATTCTGAAATGGACCAATCTGCACAATGACTACTTTTACTGTCGCTACTTTAACTATATTTTGATGATACTTTTCTACTTTTACTTGAGTAACATTTTGAATGCAGGACTTTTACTGTAACAGAGTATTCCTACACTCTGGTACTTCTACTTTTACTCAAGTACAAGACCTGAGTACTTCTACTTTTACTCTAGTACAATATCTGAGTACTTCCACTTTTACTCTAGTACAAGATCTGAGTACTTCCACTTTTACTCTAGTACAAGATCTGAGTACTTCTACTTTTACTCAAGTACAAGATCTATACTTATACCACCTCCGTTTATAGCCTATGAAAAAAACTATTAGAAAACGAAGGCTAAAGCTAACGTTAGCAGATAGTGACAATGTATGCTAGTTAGCTAGCTCAACGATAATATTGCGACAGGAACACTTTTCAGTGCACATCACGCTCTGCCGCTCCGACAGGGAGCTCACCTGAACGGCCCGTTCTAACAGCTGTTCACCAGCGGCCCAGTCTGTGCCACAGTGACTCCGGACCACACAGTTAATATTAACGAACGCACCCGTAGGTAATGTAGCTAATGAAGCTAGACGATCATCGCGGAGCAGCAGAGCCTTATTATACATCCATGAGCAGAGCCGAGAGCACACCGCTCGCGCTTCATTATAATATATAAAAAAAGAACACCATGCGTGTCATGATGGCACATAACAGCTCGCAGCCGCAGGTTACTCCGGGTCCCAGACCCCCCCCCATACCCCAAAAATATTTTTATTGCAGATCTACATGAATCACACAAACGACCTATTTTGGATTCAAAACCGCGAATTTCGCCGAAAGGTGACATGAATGATAATGCAGGGATGCAAACTTATCACATCATAATGTATCACATATTTCCTTATTTGAGTCAGCTTCTTGAGCCGTATCTGGCCGTGCAACACTCACAGTGTCACATACTGTATGCAGAAGTATTATTTTAAGCAACACATTAAGTTGACGAAACACTCGAGTCAAATGTAATTAAAGTCAGATCCACTTGTGTCTTAGACGGGGCAGTGATTTAATAAACCTGTTAATGTACGCATTCAAACGCTTTTTCTTTTACCAGCTGTATTCACCTTGCTGGTGCAGCTATGTGGCTTTTATCCTGGATAAAGTGTTTAAGTCATGGATGTTTAAAGTTTGACTTCTTCATATTTGACTAATATTATAGTTGACTGCGCTGTCAGTACACTTGTCCATGTTTGTGGTCGAATGCTCCAAATACCACCCCTTTCATGTGAACGCGCACCTAACTAGATAGGACACGGCTGGTTTGAGCGATCCACTTGATAACCCGCGTCGTAGGACCGCTTAGCGAGAGCGCGTATGTTTTGGATAAGGCCAACCGGCTAACTCAAACATATCCAGGTTATGTTGAACCGGCTTCGTCGTACAGGCCTCTGGGGTGTCAAACTCAATTTATATAAATATTTAATATATATAAAATAATGTATTACATTATTACATTATTTCCCCTGCATTGGATGATTATCGGATAGGGTAATAACTTCATGATTAACTACGTCTGAAAGCAGAAGTCTAGGGCAAATAATTGCAAGTCTCTTCAGTGAGAATGTCACAAAATGATTTAAAAAGAAAAGCCAAATTCTGGAAAAAAAAGAAGAAAAAAAAAAAAAAAAAGATACATTTTGAAAAAAAAGGCAGATTCTGAGAAAAAGTCAAATTCTAAGAAAAAAATGCATATTGAAGAAAAAAAGTCAAATTCTGAGAAAAAAGTCAAATTCTGAGAAAAAAGTCAAATTTGAGATGTATTGTGCTACATGTAGATTATGGGCAACGTGCTTCTGTAAATCGGCATGTAACCGTATAATAAACATATTATATTCTTTGCAAGCTCTTGTGGGGCACATAAAATGAAGTCACAGGCCGGATTTGGCTCCCGGGCCTTGAGTTTGACACCCCTGCACTAGACTTTCACAATAATGATTTTCCAAACATACGACGAGGTGCCACGGATCAACAATACTACAGACATTGCTCAAATAACAGTGCTACAGTTACACTTCTCTTTTTTGCGAGCTCTTTCTTTTAGTCGACACTGCTGGGTGGCCGCCACATCTTTATATAATTTGAACTTTATTCAAATGGAAATGTACTTAAAGGTTAATGCGGGGACGCGACCGACACAAAAGTCAGGAATGACTCACAGGACGGTGAGAGACAGTGGGAAATGGTGGGCACATTTGAGATAAGAGCTCTTCATGCAAAGAAAGTCTGATGTCCCACGCTATCACATAATACTTTCAGCTACAGAAACCATTCAACTATTACATTATTCAGCTATTTCAGGACATTGAGGCTATACATGCTGTTGTTTATACCTTTTTTAAACATTTTCTTTTAAATATTAAGCTTCTTCACTAGTTTTCCTACTCTTCCAGTTTAACATTTAACTTTCAAGTTTTCAACAAAGTCATTGCAATGCATTTGAGCTGTAACAATTTTGATTCAAATCATTTCACTTTTCTGCATTTCTCCACTAAGTTCAGCAACACACTTACTTGGTTTGTGTAGCTAAAAGCAGCAACAGAGACCATTCAACTAATAAAATATTCAGCTTTTTCTGTATTTTCAGCAAAATTCAGCAACAAATGTACACAGTTTACAGCATTCGCACACATCTTCAGCAGGAAATGCATTCTCCAGTTTGCTAAAGAATGCATGTTCAAAAATAAAAACCTGGGTTTGAATTACTTTATACATCAATAATTTAATTGAACATTATCCAAATGCATAATACTGAACACTACGCCATTAAACAATCATTGCCACAATAGTTTTGCTAAAAATTACAGTATTGACGTTAGTGGGCTAAATTGCCTGTAGTGACAAGAATTCTCTTATTTGTTGCAACATCTGTTCTGCATGGAGTTACGCCATAACAGCACAGTCATACGGTAAAAGTTTGAATCTGAGCAGAAGTGTGTCTAAAATCTAATTTAACACCCACTCACTCCTTCCCTTAACACATCTTACTGACATTTACAGATATAATGTGTGTTTTCCCTGAAAAATTGATCATCTCACCTTTTCCTCCCTCTCCCCAGTTGAAATTGCTACTGTCACTTTTACAAATACAATCATACCGATACTTCTTCTGCCACTGAGACAGAAATGTGATGTCACCACTGTAGTCTAATATTGAGTCATTAGGTTAAGAAGCAGTGTTGCAGTGTTAAGTGAGCATTTAGGAATATGACACGTGGTCACTGCTGGTGAGACATTATGTGCATAACCCTCATTGAGAAATTCTCAATGTGATCTGTGTGTGTGGCTTTGATGAGAAAGAGAGGGGCTAATCATCAAGTGTGTGTCTGTACATGCATATTAGATTTCGAGAGCACATCTATGTGAATAAATGTTTGTCCCCAGCTGCTGACTGGGAGTGAGAGAAGGAGTTGACCAGTGATGCTTTGCACTCCATCTGTGGCCAGTAACAGCTGAGACCTGCAGCCTAACAAGCTAAAGATCTGACTACCATGAATCCAATCGGCTACCTTCAGATCTATCCAGTTGAAATTATATTGTGATTTCTACTCTACATGATCAGATGGATATTTAAATAATAAAAGATAAAGTTCCAGCCAGAAGGTGAGCACAGCTCTACAGATGCACACGTAGTTATTTTTCCCATACGGTTAGGCAGCATTCAATTCCAAACCCTCTTATTTATTCCCACGTAAAAGTAAACAGCAAACGCCTCGGCACCTTGACGTTATAATCTACTCACAGCAATGAAAGTACGAGAAAAACTCCCCCTGCAAGAAGGCTTCAGGGGACACCTGTCACAACATTCAGGTTTATAAAAAAATGTTGTACCTTGATGTTAGCTGAGATCTCCTGCACTCCTTTGTTTGCAGCATCCCTGATGATGGGGGTAATGAGGCCTTTGTCAGTGGCCACAGCGATTGAAATGTGGACTGAATGAAGCGCGCGGGGTCCCTCGCCAGACCAAGTCACATTCACCTCTGGCATCTCCTAGGAGAGGAAGTCAGAGGTCAGCACAGGTTTGACAAATATGTGGAGTTCAAAATAACAAACACACAGAGATAAGATGCCTCCCTGTTTATCGGTTGCACTGTGAATCCAGGCAGATGTCTGATACAATTACAAAAATGGTTATTTCCTATGAGTAGCATTCAAATGAATTAATTGTGATGGCAGTACAAATATTACAAAAATGATATTACAGTTATTGTGGGAAAATCATGTATCCATTTGGAAGGTGAATGTACTGCAAACACTTGCTCTTCAGGACTGCAAATCGGGGGAAAAAACAGTTTTTAAGCATTAAAATACACTGTAGCTATCAATGCAGGAATAATCTGATTTATCTGGATAGTCTTGAGGAATCTGCTGTGGTGGAGGTTCAATAACAACATATCTAAAGCCTCTTTCACACACAGTTCTTGGTTGATTACTGCAAAAACTTTAAAGCCCCCACTGAGGTTTTTCTCTATTCACACAGGCACTACGTTCAGGAATATTTCGGCCTTGCACTTCTTAAACATTTCATGGCATTGATGGAATAGAAGGGTCAACAAACAGTATGCAGATATGTCATCAGTGGAGACTTTTGAATGGTTCAATTAAAGCGTTTTTGGTCAGATGGAATAACTATGGCATGTTCCTGCATTGGTATCACTTCATTCACAACACATGCGTACCAGCATTTTCTCTGACAATTTAATAACATGTACTATCAATACCTGCTTCCATTCACACATGATTCCTGCATGTCAGTAATAGACTGATTGTGTGGAAGGGACTCATGTTGAGTTTGTGGGTTATCTGTTTAAAAAAAGTATAGTCCAGTTTGTCAAAAAGTAAATCATTAACCTCAGATGCTGCGTCCTGATGAAAAGTCAACTCCGAGGGAAAGTACGGTTGATTTGGAATTTTCTGGTGTCACAGTGAATCACGCATCTTAGTTTAGAGCAAAAGCCAATCCAAAGAGGTATTTTGATGGTGTGGGACATAGTGTCCGGACACGTGGTGCTTTGGAATTCAACACTAAATTAAAGAAACTGGAAAACGTACACACTTGTGTTCCACATTCCTCACATTTACTGTAACACATGCAACTAACAGGCAGATTTCTCAGCTGCTGCTTGATCTTCATGTAGCTGTTTCCTACAGTACAGCACAAATTCACTAAAGCATATAAAGTATTCCATACATCAGTGGTTCCCAAACTGTGGGTGTTTCTCAATCGCGAGTAAAGCTGCTTCAGAGCCACTATTTCAAGCATAATACGTCATCGAGTGCCGCCGAAGTACTGTTCCAATCTCCAGTATACTTGGAAATCTACCGAGCCCGGCGTACTCCGTTTGGAGAAATATCGAGTCTGCACATGAGTAGACTTCGCGGTCTTAAAATCCCCACAATGCGATTGAGAAACACCCGGGGTGTTTCTCAATCGCAAGTACGCTTGCTTGGTAGCACATGTCTGCCGAGCATCTTGCTTCAGAAGCGAGTCAAGAATACTTCCTGGCATTCGGAAAACGAAGAGTGGAACAGGCTAGCAAGTGTGCAGGTGTGCGTCATATGAGAGGCCCCGCCTTACATCTTCCGCCACAGATTTGGGGAAATTGGTCCGTGCGCAAAGCATTGTGGGGATTTTAAGACCGCGAAGTCTACTCATGTGCAGACTCGATATTTCTCCAAACGGAGTACGCCGGGCTCGGTAGATTTCCAAGTATACTGGAGATTGGAACAGTACTTCGGCGGCACTCGATGACGTAGTATGCTTGAAATAGTGGCTCTGAAGCAGCTTTACTCGCGATTGAGAAACACCCCCGGTGTAATATACAACTACACAAAAATAATTTCGCGTTAACAGCGAAACATATTTCGCTGTTAACGCAGTTGCAGGTGGGAATTATAAGACCGTGACACATCGAAGGCTGAAGGACAACACTAGAACTGTGTAAGAGAGAGAGAGAGAGAGAGAGAGAGAGAGAGAGAGAGAGAGAGAGAGAGAGAGAGAGAGAGAGAGAGAGAGAGAGAGAGAGTCTGTAGTGAAGGAGTGCGCTCCCGCTCACGGGAGACTGCTCGCAAACAGCTGTGGGGCGAGTTGAAAGTACGTTATGCTGGCCGCGGTGTCTAAATAATGCTTCCGGGCCAGCGGGCCATTTATAATGTCGAGCCCTGAGAGTCCACAGATTATATTGGTATACGTTTCATCCCTGTGCTTTGATGAAGCCTAATTTGATAAAGTTTCAAATTAATTTCTGAAATATTTCGTTAATAAATATTTCATGAGTAAAATATAGTTATCTTTGTCACATTTTATTTGGCATTAGTAAATAATTATGCACATTTACATATACATGAATTATTGTACTCAGGACGGGAGTTTGACAGAGTATTACTCAAAAAGTACACAGTAAAAGTACCTTATTGTATTTGTGGTACTAGTCTAACAAGTACTGAGTCCAACAGTACCAATTTTATTAAGAACTTATGGCTAGAAATCATTTTATCTCTCATCAAATATAGCAGAAGTGGCATGATTTTGTTCTCAGGAGGGGATTTGAGAGAGTATTACCCAAAAAGTACACAGTAAAAGTACTTCATTTTATTGTTGGTAGCAGTCAAACTAGGACTGAGTCAAACAGTGTCAGTTTTATTAAGAACTTATAGTGCAAATTATTTGTATCGCAAATAAAGCAGAAAAAACATGCATTATTTTACTCTTGTACTACTAGCGTCAGTGCCGCATCTCGGCGATTACTTGCGCACTCAAAAATGAAGCAAACGCGAGAGACGGCTGAGTTGACCGCATTACCGGAACGGACGACAGTATCTTAAAGGACACCTATCATGCTATATTTAATGATATATTGTAGGGCCATACCTATATAAGGTATATTTATACGTTTCTGTTTTCAAAATACCAAACAGATCATGCATTTTAGCCATGCCTCATTTCGCTCCATTTGCCCTTTCCAGCACTGTTTTTGCAGGGGGCTGATTCTGTGAGCTGCAGCTGACCACGCCCCCCTGCAGGAGAGGATAATCAATCTAGTGTTACACACACACACACGCCCTGGTGACCGGACATCTCCTTCATAAAACGAATAATAAGGCATATTAATCGGGCAGTTCGGTGTGTGTGTGTGTGTGTGTGTGTGTGGTTAAAACGAAGCAGCCTGCAGTCGCTCTTTAGCTGTCTAATGAAGGTAAACACAGTGTGTAAAAGACATAGCTCCACTTGGTGAACCTGTAACTTTCGTGCGCACGAGAAAGTATATCGTGATGAGCAAAACCATGTCACTTGGCCCAGGTGGTTTCCACAGAACGGACAAAACATGTTTAACGACCATAAACACACTCGTACCGTCCATAGGTACCGGCAGTCTATCAGCCAAAACAAACTTAAGTTTGTGTCAATCACTTGCACGTCACTTCTGGTATGATGGGCATTCCCTTTTCCGGTTTGATTCTCTAGTTTGTTAAAGTGTTTCGGCAAATGTTAAAGTGTTTCGACACTTGTAAATTTGTTTAATAAAATTTAATTTTGTTTTTATAAAATGTAAATTTGTCTCTAGCTTTGTAAAAGTGTTTCGCATCTTGTTAAATAGTTCTTTCTTTGGTAAAAGTGTTTTGCTAATGTAATTTTGTCTTATAAAATGTAAATTTGTTTTCTAAAATGTAAATTTGTCTCAAGCTTTGTTAAAGTGTTTCACACTTTGTAATTGTCGATTGCCCTTCTCAGCCACCGTATGCAAGTGCTTTTTCAGAGTTCCCATCAACAGACAGAAAACAAAACAAACTCCCTACAAATGGTACATAGGTTAAATTAACAAATGAAAAAGGAAAAAGGTTATTATATACTGTACTTACTTTAAGTGTTACAGCAGCTGCTTTGATAATGAAATCATTAACAGACACTTTGATTTGATCTGAAAAGAGACAAGAAAATACATTTGTTAGAACGGTTTATGCAACAAATGGACACATTTGACACAGCTGCACATAGAAAATAAATTATACAATACATTCCATCCGGGGGAAATCTTCTAAATCACCTATCTCTCTATGCGAGTCACTATTTGCTCGCTCCTCTCTGTGGGATGTGTTTTGGCCTGGCATCGCTGCCAACTTGTACCAGTGTCCATTAGTGCGGTACCAGACGGTTATGAATGCTGTGAGCGGCATGATTAACGAGCTAACCGTGAAATCGCGCTGCTCCTGAACAATGAGAGACCACAAAAACAACCGGGCAGAGAATCCCTCAGTACACACACAACCTCGCTAATAGGTCTGGAATGGCCGCCCCATTTCCTCCATCACTGAGACAGGACCCAGAGAGATTTACCGTTTGTTTGACAGCCGGGCACAGTTAGGCTAAATAAGGCCAATACGTGATAGTGTGTTGAACCAAATGTTTAAAAATAGGAAATTGGTAAAGCACTCTTGCTATATCAACAGAAAATGTCCCAAAGTAAGCAACGGTCACATTTTAGGAATCCATGGAAAGAAGCCGTTAAGGATAAATATTTTCTTGGCTGAATGCAGCAAATTGCTGAAGAGTTTTGACTCATAAGCAATGTTCTCTTTCTGTGGTTGTGGTGTAAATCTCACTTCACCTAAAACACAAACACACATCCTGATGGCTGTTGCGCAAGTTGCTGCGGTTAGCTCAATTGCAGTTGCTAGGGAAGTGTGTGAGGCATAGAAAGTCACACAGCAAACACTGCTAGTAATGTATTTATTCTACTTACACTCAAGTGTTCAATCTATCCATACAGTACCTAACAAACTGATACTGTGTGGATAGTCTTTTAAATAATTTCTTCATCTGAATACTGAGGTGCACCAAAGGGCAAACACTCCAACAAATCCATTTGATCCACTGTGAACCAGAGAGAAACGATTACTTCAGTATTTTCTTCCTCCAAGCAAAAAGGAACATCCTTATGAATACAGTCGTACTGTGATGACTGAAAAACAGCTTCCATTAACTTACTTGCTCATTTACTACGTTTGATAGTTAGGTGCTGGATCTGGACTAAATGGATGTTGTCTTATCGGCCTTACAATAAATTGTACAGAATAAAGAACATTTAATCTCGTCATTCAGATAAGGATTTTTCCAAGATACGTACTATTAAGTCATTTTGACCTGAATTCATCTTAATAACACATACGACATGTGAACCCTCACCCACCCACGCCATGCCAGGTTATTAGACACAGGATGGAGAGAGATACTGGTTTGAACCAGAGCTACATGACCAACCTGAGACCTCATGTACCAGAGCTCCTCTAAATGCAAAAGACTTCTTTGTCAAGAGGGCAGTCATGTGAAAAACCCTGAAATCTGCAACTTCATGGACATTTTCCCTTGGAATAAGACATTCACTCAAGACATAACACTTACATGTGAAGAATAGCGCTGATGTACAAACACTCCCTCAAAGTTGAGTGTTTTTTTTTTTTTTTTTTTACCTCGGGCCAAGTCTTTGCGGAGACTCATGACCGCCGCCATGTCACAGTCTACGGACGCATACGAATGGGGGATGGTTGTCTTCGATTGCGTTAGCCTTTGAGCAATAATGCGACGGACATTCGAGGCGGGGATCTCAGTGAAAGTGCCCTGAGGAAGACAAGGGGAGGTAAATAGTTGAATGAGGAGAAAGGGCAAGGGACGAGAAAAAGATTGATAGCTGGAAATATCTCAGCTGTCATCGATCACTCAAAGAATGCATAGTGTTAACGATGTAAAGAAACTATTGACAACCTTGGTTTTAATGTGTTAATTGTTTAATGATAGAATCAATGTTTTTTGTCAAATATGTGGTTGTTATTACCCTGTTTTGACATCAAAACGTCATATTTTACATCATAAACATAATAATAATAAAGACCGGGATAGAATATGGTGTAATAACTATCAATGACTTGGTGGGTGTAAGTACAAGTAGCATCACAATATGAAAATATATCAGTTATTTGGAAAATAAGTATATTTTGTGGTATTGCAAACGCTGCACAATATACTTTTGATGCACTTCAATTCAGGGGCGTGCAATCAATATGAAACAAAATCAAATTTGTTACATTTACAGTATATCAACTCAGAAAAACAACTAATATAGATTAGTCAATGTTATTATGGGGTTCTTCAGACATTATAATGAAAAACAGTATATTCATAGATCTCCTGTTGTTCACTATAAAGAGCTACGTTGCTTATTTCAAAGTACAATTATCTGTTAAATATTTCAAAATATGAGCATATCTTATAAATAATTATATGTATTGATGTTCTCCGTATGCATCAATAATATTGGATCGTTAATCGTCGTATTGATTTATAAATATCCCGATCGATGGAATCTAACACCTCCATTAATAATGAGCCCAGTCCATGTGCTCCGAGGCAAACAGATATATAAAGGGTTAGGACTACAAGAGTTAAAATGCCAACTGCAGTCATGCAATACTTAAAATGGTCCTTCATCATTCCTATTAGGGCTCTGACACAAGTCAAAAGTTGGAGGAGTCATTTAGGGCCTGTGGTTAATGACACTTTATTTATTTATTTGTACTATCACAAAACAGACACCATAATGTGCAAGTGTTTTTGTGAGAAAGAGATAGTGTGAGGCGTGCTCACCGGTGCTCCTGGTTTCCCTGGTACAGAGAGAGGAGGGATGTTGGGTCTGCTGCCTGGGGGCGGGGGGGCAGCTGCCGGGGTGGGGGCCGGACTCGGGGCAGCGGGGGCTGGAGCTGCTTTGGCGGCGGGAGATATCTTCAAGAGATTCAATGCATCCCTGTTTAAGAGAAACACAAAACAAGAGATATAACACATGCATTTTTTTAAATATTCACTTGAATATTTTCATTTCATTTCATTTCAATCTTTATTTCGAACAGATTAAAAAAAATAACAAATAAAAAATAACAAATGTGAAAAACAGAATACCGTATTGTTAAAATACAGTATTTATCCACATTCACGATAATATTTATATATTCAACAAAAAAAGTCTTCATATTAATAATAATAATAAAAAAAAATATGAATTCATACAATCATTTAGTGTTTCTATAATATTATATTGGTATTATTCTCTAAAAAGAAACCCAAAACACAAACTGCCAACTTTTTGATGGCAGGTTTGCATTGGTGATAACCGGAGGAAGAGATACTTCTGTCTTTAGGCTTCACTTTTTATTAATGTGCAGGTATGCATTCTTTATACACATTTTGAGTCGGCCACTTGTGGTGTGAGTGAAAATAGAGGTTCAACAAGCTATAAATAAATGAAAAAAAAACTATAGAAATCAACACTCACTAACATGGTCTAACACATTGGGTCAGAACAAGATAAAATATGCAAGATGTTAATAAAAGTTAATTCACAAACATTTACACGGGAACAAATGTTTCCAGCCATATTTTCCAGACTGCAATGCTTTTGTTTTATTTGGGTTTATTTTTGTTGACGTGCGAAATGCACTGAGTCCCAGTGTGCCTCTGTAAACACATGAGCGATGCCGTTTCAAGCCTCTGGCAAACTTTTTTCTTTTATGCTGTTTTTTCTACATTTCTAGATTTGTTTTAACCTTTATTTTACCCGGATGGCCTCATTTCTGCTTTGAAAGCTAAATCCAACAAACTTCCTTTTGAATGATGAAACCCTGTCACTTTTTGTTTTGCTCTGACCAATATAAATGACATGATGTATGAAAAAACACTGGCATAGCTTATGATGGTACAATAATACATTATTCACTCATTTGCTCCCACTTGGCAAGCTTATAAGCAGCACTGTGGTAGTTATATCTGGGTTGTATTTGTGTCAGGCTTGTAGACAGAGGTAACTTTCGGCTATCCTCCAGTGGATGGGTGTCATGAGAATAATTTGCCAGTTACAAACAAACCCCATCAGGGTAAGGCTAGACAGGATCAGGTGTCAGCTGCAGCAAGGGACAGAGATATTCAAAACCTTGGCTTCATTATACTTCCCACTGTCAAGGCGAGCCCTAGACATCCATACTATTTAAACAGCATATTTTCCTAAGGCCCTACAATATAATAGCAAAGGCCATTTATTTGTTGGTATAACCAGTTTTAAATTGCAGTGTTAATCTAATTCCCCAGTAATCCCACGGCTAACCGAGATCCTTTCTATCTCAAGCGTACAGTAAAAAGCCAGTATCATTAAGCTTGTTATTAGAATACAATCTATTATATTACACTTCCCCATAAGACATACAGAAAGCATTTCACAGATTAAGGTCTCTTCTATTATGTTATTTTAGACAATTTGAATTGGTCTGAATCTTGCAGAACTGAAGTGTACAGGGAAAGGAGAAAGGTTATGAAGAAGGGAATCTCAATTTAGTGGATTTGTTCCCCCCTTATTCAGCAGTGAGAGGTAGGAGGGGCAGGTATCAGGTGCGCCTGCTTGAAGTGCTGTGGTTCCAGTTCAGTGCTCTGGGGTCCACCTACCCACATGCATCCAATCTTTTGTCTGGACCAGCTGCCACTGACCTACACATGTAGCCGGGAACCGTCTGGGCCCCACAGCTATTTTTTTACACTTCCCACTCTGAGCTGTATGTTTTGATTTCCTTTTAGCACACTAGCTCCTCCCTCTCCTTTTCACTGATAGGATTATTTGTTTGTGGAAGGACTGAGGTTTCATGGAAATCCCCCAGATAACCTGAGAGTACCACAACAATGCTTTAATGATTACTGAGTGCCACATTAAAAATGTGATTTGCAACTGTAATTCGAATGCTTTGAAAAGGGTAGAGAGCAAGGACATTTAGACACATATTATAAAAAGGTTATAAAACAGTAAAAGTAAAGACAATAAAAAGATCCAAATGACTGAGTTGTGTAAACTCCACCATATCCTTCAATGACAATGTATTAAGAATATCCAATAAAAGTTCAAAAGGAAGGCAAGTCAACAGCAGCCTTCAGTGGACACTTGTGGATGACGCCATAGATACCGTTTGTGTAGCTGGTTGGCATGCACTTTTAACACTGACCATTTACACCCGTACTGACAGCCAAGGCAAAGGAGCCTCTGAGAGACTGGGAGAGGATGAGTAGAATATTAAAGAGGGAATGAGGGGCACACACACACAAAAGCACCAACACATGAATAAAGTTTGTCTTCTACTGCCACCTAGGACAGGCTAGGGTGAAGAGAGGGGTTGTAGTCAGGCTTTACTGGACTGTGTTAAAAGTATAAAACTTATGGACAATCTTAAATAGTAGTTCATTGAAGACTATGCTTTGGTGTGACTGGTCATTTTCTATTAACAATTATAGATAATGAAGACTTGAGTAAAAGAAGAAGAGAAGCCTCACACATAGACAGTAACTACACTTACTCTACATTTGCTACAAGTGTTGCAGCAAGGGCTTTTGTAACAATTCATGACTATGCAAAACATAATAACAAAACTGTAGGAAAAACAGAACAGGCTTTGACTTTTGATTTTGTATATTTTTGTCATTAGCAGGTATTCTGAGTAATTTGAAGTAATGTTTGAACTTCAGCTAAACTGCAGTTCTGGTGCTGTACATGCCAGAGAGTCTGGGATCAACAAAATATCTCTTTGTTATAAAATGCCTGGGCTGATTAAGGTCAAACTAAACTACTCTTTAGGGACAGCCCTATTGCTATTTAATCCCTTTTTGTAAGTTAAGATGTCACAGATCAAAACAACGATTTTAGATGTTGCATAAAAAGCATCAACTTGAAATAAACAAAAGTTTCAGCGTGATACATTTGACATTTGCATTAAAGCAACACTTAGTTCAAACTAACAAGCAAAACCAATACAGCTGCCTATAGCCAACAGTAACACTTACAAATAGCTTAAAGCTGCTACAAGAGGCTGACAGCTTGAAGCTAATTGGATTCACTGTTGAAGTTCCAAAGTGTATCATGCTTTAACCACCGTAATAATTTCATGCTTAATATGTGAAATCAAAAGGGTACAATGAATATATGCAGTTGTAAAGCAGTTAACCCGAAAACTTGTTTTTATTTATAAAGTTATAACCTATGATTCATTAGAAATTGAAAGGGCTTTATACGTCATGGGTTTCTCCTCAGTGTCACGTCTCCTTAACAACGCGAGTGCTCTGTTGCATTTAAACAAGTTACGGTCATATATTCATTCTGTGGTATGGACCACAATGAGGTAAACATTTTTGAAACCGCTCCATCCTTGTGTTCTCATTGCCTATTGGCTAATATTTATGACATTGGTTGGGGAGAAAAAAGTAACAGAAATGTGTTCTTTGTACCCAATTTGTATTTAAACCATGTCGGGGATTATATAACATGCCATGATCTCATTCCTGGGTTGCGTGACCTCTTGGTATTCATGCCCACTATAGAAGAGGGGCCTCACTAGAGAAGAGAGTGGAATGGGAGGGGTACCTTTCCCTGGTTTCAGTTTTATCTGATGTACCAAGGGACAAAGGAAGGGAAATGGGGTCTATTCTGCCCTCTCATGAAGAAGCTTAGCCTATGTGAGCTTTTCTCACCAGGGAGATTTGGTTTCCAACAAGAGCACAACTGTTCAGTCTCACAACACACCTAAGCTAATAGCCTATATGTCCGGATCTTCTTTGATCAAAATGAAAATATCTTAAAACCTATAGACTAAAAGGATAAAACCAATAGAAAAACGTTGCCACCAATGGCTTCTCCACTTTTCCCAAATAGTTAGGAAATAGTTTAAAGGAAGTTTATTTTGTTTATCATATTTGATTTTCTTATTATGGATCTATTAGCAAGTTTTACCAACTAATAAACAATTGTAATCATCAGGTTCTATTCATGAAGTTAGGCATTCAACACACTTAAAGCTACATGAAAAAAGAGAAAGAATAGTAAAAAAAATGTTACTGCTTAAAAAGAGACAATATATATATACTTATTTTTGTCTGTGGCTTTGCCAGCAAACAGCACATCATTATATTCAAAAAGTTTTCTTAGCATGCTGTACAGTTTTTTTATTAAACCTCTGGTGTCCAGTCTTTTATCCCCTGCACTACATTACTTTCTTTCAGCAGCAGCTTTTTCTTTCTGAAGACATTCTCAGCTAATTAACCAGCAGAGGAGTCTGGGAGTAAATCCTGAGTCCAACAAATGGTTGAATTAACCGAACAAGCGTGCCAAATCAAACCATTTGGATATAATTAAAACTACATTACTAATTGAACAATGTAATCTTCAAAACCTAGAAATCACGTTGACACACACACACACAGCAGAGAACATGCCCTTATTCATTAACCTAGACAATGATATCTTAATGGCAAATAAAGAGGGACAAAAACACTGAAATTGCATTTTCTCAGCAGTGTTGTGATTGTAATTGTGTTGGCAGAGTTAAAAAAAACAGAAAACAATCTGGTCATATAATGGCGCTCAACAGAAGCTTTCAGTGGTAAACACATTCATTATTAGGATTGATAAATAAGGTGTTTGTATTCACACACACTGTTGGGGTAAAACTGTAAATGCATCTTTTAATGATCCTTTCTGTATCTCAAATTAAGAAGTTATTATTTTTTGCCTTTTGGTTTATAAAGCTTAAAATACATTTCTCCTATACTGTCTAAGACATACATCTCGGAAAACATATGGTCTGCGTTTCTATGGTCACCAGTGGGTTCTGGAGACTGGGTTGCTATGGCGACTGAAGTTGCTTAATGAGATTCCCCAGCAGGGTGTTAGGTGGGTAAGGAGAGTATTCAATCAGGTCCCTTCTGACAGCAGGTAACCACTGGTGATGTGTGTGTGTGTGTGTGTGTGTGTGTGTGTGTGTGTTCACAGCTTCCTGTAGTGTGAATTCACCACATAACAGGATTAAAGAACATGAAATCTTAACCGCCTTAGTCGCATTTTTTCACTTATCTAGTCTCCCCCACATTTCCGTTGTCATTCACACTGCCTTCATTGGCTCTAACCCGCCTTGCCCTGACTGACATCAGTTCCCCTCAGAGGGACTTCAGTGTTATGGTGGCCACCAGGGGACCCTACCATCTGTGCCCTTAGGCTTGTTACTAATAAACAAGCACTGCTGCCACATCACTTCCTATGTAAAAAAATAAGTTTAACACCAAAAACATAAGACTAATATCTTCATCATTAATTCTTGACCAGTTTGATTGATCTGCATGGCCTGATGAGCATGTTGCTTTCTCTCTTCTTTCACCGGAATAAAGGAAAAAGCTAATAAACAAATCAAAACAGGATGTCAATGATAAAATGTATCTTGCTAAAAACTCTTGATTTATCACGCTGATTAAATGTTAAATGTGTGATAGGCCATGTTCGTATTAATAGACTTTATAAATAATTACAAACTCCACCTCAAAATCTTATAAAATTCTATTGAATTACATAATAAAGCAAAAGAAAATTATCAAAACTATTTCATCAACATCAAGACAGATTATTTTGTGTCTTATCACCTCAGACTGGGCCTGATGAAGTTGATGTCTGCTTGTTGGTAAATGTCAGCAGGGAGGTTCTGTATCATACCTGCTTTCATTAAGCAGGCCTTAACAGGTCTTAGAGCTAATCCATTCATCCATACTCACTCCTTGGTGATAAGTCCTCTTGGTCCTGTGGCTGTGGCCAGTTTAGGTTCTAAACCATGGGTGTCCAGGATATGTCTGGCAGCTGGACTCAGACGCAACCTGGATGAGGACGAGAGAGTCAGGAATCATTTTATAATAGTTTTAACTTCCAACTTTTGCTTTAAAACGGCCAAACATGAATGGTTATGGCTTTAATCATTGAAAATGTCAAATACTAAATGTATTTATCTTCGCAGAGAGAATAGTGGGTACCCAATTAACCAAATTAAATCCTGGTCCAGTAAAAGGTTACATTAAGCATTTCAGTCTAGCTTTAGGACATCACTGACTGTGTGCTCATTAAAACGTCAAAGCACCTTTAGCTTAGCTCAGATACCATCTTCTGTTTCAGTTCTACTTAACCTGACTGCTGTAATAAAGCCCATCTCAGTATCCTTTGCCTGATAATCTTGCCTGCCCCGCAACTCATCCATCTTTCACCTATCAACCCTGCCAAGCCGATGCAGCCGAGGTGCAAATCAGAAATGTGGAAGGGCTCAGCGTAAAATGTTTGCATAACAAATAGGGCCTGTTTTTACAGCGGTGCCTCTTTTCAGGGTTCTTACACCTTTTCGAAAGTCAAATTCAAGCACTTTTCAAGCATTTTCAAGGTGCATTTTCAAGGTGCATTTTCAAGCTTTTCAAGCATCTTACAGCTGTTGTAAATTACATATTTATATACACATACTTAAACTCAAATGATTATTTCCCTACCTCACATTAAATCAGATGTTCTTTATGCTATAAACAACCAAATGTGTGTTTCATAATAGCATTCTACATGAGGATGACAAATTAAAAATGTTAGAAAAGAAAACTAAGTTTAATATTTCAAAATAAGTGACCCATCTGTACGTAGACTGGGCATCCCATATAACCTGGCTGAGCCAATATAAAACAATCAGCCAAATAACTTTTCAATACATTATTGATTACTATTTTTTAGGTACTTTTAGGTTGGCAGTAAACACAAGTCAGAGGTAAATGGTGTACTTTTACTCCACTACATGTATTTAATACCTTTAGTTACTTTACAGATGTGGATGAATGATGTGAAATATAATAAAGTGTTAAATCAGACTTTAGTTCCACCTGGAGTAAATTCACAAGCTACTCTGTAGTATAAAAAGTCATTCAAACTAGCTGCAACTTTACCAGCTTTGAGAACACTTTCATGATCAATCATTATAAAACATATCATATACAATTATTAGGGATGCTCCGATCGCCAATTTTGGGGCCGATCGCCGGAATCAGTATCGGCCGATACCGATCGCCGATCCGATCGAGTGGGCGGGGCCTATGGGGATCTTCCATTTAATGTGATGTTTAAAACTCAGTTAATGGGGCTCATTCACTGGCGCTTCCACAAACCAACCAACCAACATAATTATTACATTCAAATGAAGTACATTATTCAAGTTTACATTAACTTTGGATAATAACACGGGAGAAATGAGCGGAAGCACTCTTTTCCTCTCCCCCTCTCTCTCTCTCCTGACAGCCCGTCAGTATCTCCTGCAGCTCACTGATCCAGTAATGAGCGACCCGACAGTGAAGAATAAATATATTTATAACTAGTTTAGCTTGTTCCAGAGGTAGATCAAATAGCTAAGTGTGTTAGGTCTAACTCTTAATGTGTGTTCTGCTCCGCTCACCGGTCCGTCACAGCGGGTGGAGCTGCAGGATTTCTGCTTCACACACACGTTGCATACCGCTATTTTATTGTCATTTTCGGACACTTAAAATACTGCCAGACTAGTGAAGCCATTTTGGCGAGCTTGTTTTGCCGCGCACAGAGAAAAGTGTCATGTATTTTACATGCAACGATAGCCTAATCTAAAATGCTCTACTATGGCGTACCTTTCGTGTGGTGTGTGGCTCGTCAGCGCAGACTCTCGCATCGTTATTGTTGCACACTTTGCAGGAGGCTACTCTTGGGCTTCGCTTGACCCTCGTCTCAGCCATGGCTTGTATTTGTCTTCTGCTAGCCAACGCTCGTTGAAACGGCAACCTCCTGGCATACTGTCATATATCACTCTCATCAGAATGCCCAGGTCACACACGTAACAAAAACACTTGCCGGTCACGCGCATAGCGCGGGAAGGCCGGAGCGGAGCTGTTTTATGTAAAAGCGAAGCAATTAAGCGCGCTCAGACTTCTTTATTTTCTTTTAATCTAAAAAGCGAAGTAAAGCATTTACAATTTCAAGCACTTTATCCCAAATTCAAGCACCATTCCCAAAATTCAAGCACTTTTCAAACCTTGAAAACACCTCGTACAATTTCAAGCATTTTCAAGGATTTCCAGCACCCTGTCTTTTGCTTTCCAAAAGAGTATCTATAGGGTAGGTAGGATCTCACACACGTTTGAATTATGAACAGGGGAAATTCATCTTACTTTATGTACAGGTGAATACTGTACAACCTGAAATCCTCATGGCTGTATGGCAAAAGGGTGGAGCTTAAGATGATACCTTATGTATCATGTCACTAGTCCTTACCAAGGCCTGAGTTAGAGCTAATATTGCATTAACCATATGAGCTGATATGCAACTCAAATGACAATTAACTGACTCATACTGTGGGCATATTAAAACAACTATGACAAGATCATGTTAATTAAGAGGTAAACATTTTAGTTTTGGGGCTGAAATGGGAGGCATATGAATCCTGTTTAAGGCTAAATTGCAAGTTTAAATGAAGAAATTAGGCAAATTCGTACATCAGCAGCTAACACAGAGGAAGGCAACACTCACGGTCCCGACGTGGCCCGTTTTGGGGGAGTAACTGGAGAGGGGGCAGCAGGAGGCACAACCGGAGCCGCGGCTGCCTCTGGAGCAGGTGGAGCTGCAGGTGGAGCTGCAGCATCTGGAGGGGGCATCTCAACCTGCTTCCAGTCCTGCCCTTCCTCCACCATGAGGGCAATGAGAGTGCCAAGGGGCACGTTGCGACTTCCCTCCTCCATCTGTAAAGAGGGTGAGAGATGCACATACACAGTGAGGGGAGAACATTAGCAGCACTGGTTCAGTCACTTCTTAAGTGCAACTGAATTAACTAAATGGAAATGTCTCTTCAACAATTATAAAGATACATGGATGAAGGAAAAGTGGTTCTAAAATTGATCAGTTATACATTGGTCATTGAATAACTGATACATATTTGGACAGGCATTATTAGGAGACCTCTTGAAAAATCACTGCCTTCTCAATCGCACCAATTTCCATCGTTCCTGTTTCCCCCTTGTTACCTGCACAAATCATACGAAAACCCAGCTGTGCTGCAATAGGTTCTTGGAGTGCTATGGATGTGTTTTCATGCTGTTCAAAGCTGTCAGCTATTGATTCACTATCTTGTTGAGGAGTAATCCAAATCCACTGCAAGCCTTGCGCTATCCTCCCCGAGCAGTGCAAGGTGTTGTTCCTCGGTCAATATTGATCAGTTCAAATCAAAGGCCAGGCACAATACACAGGGCTGGGCAGCTGCACTTCATCTATATCAAAAAAGGTATCCACGTATTGAGCTGCCTCCTAAAGGTGTAGCTCAATATCAGAAGACACAACAGAATAGGAAGTATTTTCTAACAATTGACCAAATGCATAAATATTTTACAATTTGACACTAAAAAGGTGCAAATTCATCAGACGATTTGTGTATCCACGGTTACCAACATACTCCTCCCCAACCCCCTCCCTCTAGCAGGCCTGCAAATCAAAAGCAGCACTCTAATGATTGTATCCAGCTAACTGGAAAGAAAAGCAGAACATATGAACACCTTCCCCACAGAGCTGCAGTGGCAGGGGTATTTTGTGCTTATATAGTTAATGCAGACCTGTAAGTATCTGTCGTACTGAGGTTCATTTACCTTGTTGGTTGAATCATTAATTTTGATAGGCATCTTAGGCTCCAACATTTCTACCTAATTGGATTTTGCTGAAATGTGAAGTACTTTTATAAACAACAAGAGTGATGGAGGTGATTACAAAGCCCTAAAAGACTCAAACTTAGATTTGTATTAATGACCAAAGGTTCAGCGGAGTATAAACCTTAAACAATAGGCCTGATGTGTGATTAACACTGAACTGCTATAGGAAGTGTAGATAAGGGTAAGGCCTGTCAGTGAAGTCCTGATTTTCTGCTCAGTCCCAAAGGGATTTTTCGTCATGGAAGAGACTCAAGACGCAATAAACTTCCCAGAGTACCTGTGGTTTTAACGACACAAGCTCCACTGTGTTATACGATATGATGTTACAACAGCTATCAATACATCGGTGTGTAACTGAAGGGCAAAATGTAACCCCTAAAGACACCAAAGGACTGGATCCATAACGCACTACATTACTTATTTGCCAGAATGAAGTGATGACAAATTCCCACACTCTCACCATGCTAAGAGTATAGATGTTGGTCACAGGAGATTACATCATAATTCTGGCATTCATTTATTAAAAAGGATCACAGTATACACAGTTTTGGATAACATATAGATTTGAACCTATCCGGAAATTGTGTTTATTCTGTGAGGAAATACATTTGCACGTACAGAGTGACTGGCTGCCTAACAGAATGGTGATCAATTAGATTCCTAGTTAGCTTGAGAATGTTATGTTGTTGTGCAGCTGACACTTTATCCTTAGCGCCATCCCCCACCTCTCAGGCTCAGAATGTATTTGTGGTGGTTGACCCTCAGGGACATTTTGCCTAGTATTTATCCTACTATAACCTTATTGTACGAGATCAGTGTAAATGTAACAGTCTGAGTAGATGTATGCCTATCAGAAAAGGCGTATTTGGTAAAGACAATTTAGTTTAACAGTGAGCTTTGGCAGCATGTGGTTTGAGAAGAACAGTTTGATAATAGTGCAAATGTTGTTAAGATCTGAAAACAATGATAACATACAGTAGGCGCCACATTTTAAGATTGTAACTACGTCAAGAGTGGTTTCATTTTAAGTTCCAACACAAGGTAGTCACGCTCTCTGCACACCTTAATACTCCTCACAGCCAAATCATATGCACTGTTAACAGTATGCATGCTGGGTAGTTGCGTAAACAGATGCTTAGGACACTGTTGTGGTTTGGGGCTCAACACTGCCATCAAATGGTTATAGAATACATTGAAACCTATGGGAAGTATTATTGCTTTCAACTCAGCTTTTGCAATGGCTCAAGTATCTGCTCTCTATAGTACATTTAGTTTTCCTTTATGCCCAAATCCAATTTATACTGTGCGCAAGAGAAATTAGAAGGGAACATTTCATTGTGACAGAGCTTGAAAAACCTCTAAAACATTTTTTGCGATCACTTAACTGCACACTTTGGGCCAGATACACTAATATGTATTATTACTTTAGTCAGATTATGATATTGTTCCAATATCATAAATGTGCATTTTGTACAGTTATGAAACAGTTTATCTTGTGATAGATGGATTAGATGATATCTCTGATCTCCATGTTATGTCCTCTCACTGGCAACCATCCTTTCTCTGATGCTTCATAAAAATGGGCTCATAACTGTTAACAAAGTCAGTCTGCTGGCCTGATCCAGTGTTATCTGCAGAGCCATCAGTTAGACTAATGACATCACAAAGCCAGCCCACACCATTTATGAGGTTAAACCCACTTATCTGCAAACTGTTATCATAGAGCCATACAAGTCCCTGGAGTATAAACAGCTGAGATACAATAAGCTTGACCTGGACAATTATAAACTCTCTATTGGCTGAGGTTGCTATAAAACATGATTGTTCTAGGTTTGTCATTACAAAGGCATCAGATCATGGTCAAACAATGAATAGGGCTAAGCACAGACCAACCCCCGATTATATAGTGTTTGAGTATGTTAAGATATTTGGTGTGGAAATGCTCGTAAAAAGAAAAGAAGAGGAGAGAGAGGGATATAAAGTCTGACTGTGATTGATAGAGCATGACAGATATTGCCGCCACATCCTTCATTTGAGCAATACCAGGCTGTCAGTGCAATGTAATCTTGCAAATAAAAAACACAATTCAAGCTGAAACTCATTCCTTCTAAGCATCATGTTTGTATAGCTTTCCAACCAAATAACCACAAGATTCTTGGTATCAAGGAACCTTTATCATGCACTTTCTATTGCTCTCCACTCCACTATGTCACTTTCCCAAATACACTGCTGGCTTTTGTTGAAGAGAAATATAGTCTGTAAACCAATTCAGTTCAGTCTTTCTGCCAAAAGCCTACAGGCTATTTACTCTGATTTTGAAATCTTAAAGCCAACAAAGACACAGGCTTTTTGCCCAATGTGACCTAAGAATGCTGCACAGTTAGAAAGTGATTTATACCAACAATTGATTTAGAGAACGCATGACTGTTGGTGTCTAAATCGATCCCGTATAGGACAGTGTGTGGTGATGAAGAGACAGTGTGTGGTGATGAAAAGGGGATGATGAATGGGAAACTGAAAGGTTGGCAGTGCAGCATGTGATGGATATATTCATCAATTTAGCCTTATATTTAAACACCTATCCATCAGTCCTATCTGCCATAAAATTCATTAGGTTAATCACCAACTCATTCACAATCAACAACCTTCCTATGTACCCATCATTACATTTCTAGACGAGTACTTGCTGTTCGAAGCATTCCTCTTCTTATACAGCTGAACACAGAGGAGCAATAAACATTATATATCTGCAAATACATGCGTGTCATTTCCCGAAGGCTATGATTGATTGTACCCAGGACTGATTTTCAGATTGAAGCCCCCGGGTCAGGATACAGCAAGGCAGTAAGAGTCTGATGAGATACAGTAATCTGTGCTCATGCTGCTGGTCCCCCTACCCCCAACATTCACCTCCCAATATGAGCAGAATCTATCCCCCTATTCTCCCACCCCCAACAGCTATGGTTGGTAATTGGTAGAGGGCCAGAGCAGTACTTGACCCCAATAAATAACCCCTGAGGAGCACAGGAAGTCCAACTCCTCCTGAAGCCTGCCCAGGCGTTTGGCCACAGGCTGGTAATTATGGTAGCCTCTAAATTAGAGTGAGAGACAATTACACTAGTAAGATCTAACACACTGACCCAGACAAAGTGTATGCCACATTGCCAGCGCCATGTAACGGTGCAGAAATCTCTGAAATATTGCCACTAGCTGCTGTTCTTCGTATTAACTATACACACACTCTCTTACACTGAGTGAAAGAAAGAGAGCTCGGGGGCTTATCTAATGCAGACCATCTTTCTCTGCCAGCTACAGCTCTAAAGCCCCTACCCCCAATTCTTGGGTGGTTGCTATGGAAACTACCTCAACCACACAGTGGCAAAGACAAGGATGGAGTAAGGGAATGTGGACTAACGGAAGCAAGTGAAAGGCAGGACAAAAACAAGAGGTATAATCTTGCAGTTTATAAGTGACAATAACCCCTCCGCTTATTTCAGTAATTGATCAATTTAGACATTTCTGTCCGTACATGAATATGTGAGAAATGGTGGTGTTTTTGTTCATGAACAATGCATCTGCGTGCTCATTTGTGATGCTCATTAGCGCGTGCAGATTGTGTATTTGTTTTTTAGTAGAGGTTGCGCAAACAGACACATTGGCTAATTAAACCCCCGTCCTCTCAGGCGTCCCCAAATTGTGAACATGTCCAAAACGTCATGGCTAGGGAACAAGTTGTGTTTAAGGCAATAATCAGCAACATGGAGCAAGGGTTTGTGCATGCAAGGGAATACATGCAGAAATATCTCAGTGCAATCCCATCGTTTTTTAAATAGGGAAACTGAATAAAAGTCAAATCTTGCTCAAACGACAGGTAAATCCTCCCCCTCCCTCCCACTTAATATATTGAAGATTTCAGTGGGAGGAGGAGGAGATAAAACATCTTAATCTTTCTGTTCAGGGGGACGAACATGTGGTGGAGAACTGATGAAAGAAAAACTGATCGCTGCGTCTTCGGCAGCCTATTAAAAATTCAAACACAAATTGCACATTGGTTGGAAGGAGAGAAGTATTTGTCACTATAGACACCTTGTCAAAGCTTTGCTGTCACTATGCAGCAGACTTAACAAGCGTAGCCAATTAGCATAGGCAAGGAGGAAACCCTGAAACACTCACACACAAATATTAACAGGAATATATTCTATTTACATATAAAATCCTTCCAAAAACATACCTGTTACTACTGCAAATTGCTGATTTAACATATTAAGAAGGGAAATAATAGAACAAGAATGTTCTTTAAAAAGGACTTAACGAGTATGAGAAAAAGCAGCATTTAAAATCCTGTTGCTGACACACATTTCGATACAAAGCATTTGAATACTTAACCACAACTTATATAGTTAAATATATCTGTAATCCCAAAACCCATCATCTTCTAGAAGAGGTGTAAGTGTGTTTTTGATTACTTACCAATATCTTTGCCATGACACCATCGTCATTAGATTCCAGGGTGACAACAGCCTTGTCGGTCTCAATCTCACAAAGGGCATCACCCGCTGCCACTGCTTCACCTGCAATATAAAGGAAACGCATTACATAATTTTAGTATAACATAAACACGTAATTGGCATAATAAGAACCCAATTCTCAAAACAATGTCTTCATTATGGGGTTTATGACCTTAGTTTAAGTGCAAATGACTCAATTTAGCTGTTATTGGAAATGCATAAATCATGATGTCCAGCAGCAGGTTCAAAACCACTAATCTTTCAAAGGGACATTGCACACGCACAGAGGACACATTGGTTGCCAACTAATGAAAGAATTCCATTGATGGGACAAAAAGGTTATGGGAGAAAATATCTGCTCGGGCTTTGGCCTACATATCAAGTGAAGAGCATAATCAATGTTTCATGGGAAAGAATGTGAGATACGGATACGCAGCGTGTCTGAAAGAAGGCGAGATCTTTGCCTATCCTTAGAATCCCAGAAGATTCCCACTGGTCCACGCCATGCGAGAGCTGGAATACATTACCATCTGCTTAGCAATGAAAGAGGATGGCAATTAGGAGCCACTGGTTCAATTCTTCCACGCTCATATATCCATTTTGTGCTACACCTGTTTTGCGCAACAACTTAAATGGGCCTTGCAATGGAATAATAGGGAGACAAATGGACCTTATGGTGTCTTTGGTCAAAGGGGAAAAACTACTGTTGTCAGTCAGCTTTTCGTACAGGAAATGTGATTTAGCAATGATTTGATTTCGAAGATGGAGAATGTTTTGGTTAATTTGTATCCCTGAGCAATTTCTAGCTTTAGCCCTTGCAGTCAATATATTTCACGTGGAGAGTTACTATGATTGAGTCATCTTTGTGACATATGTCCATGTGTTAAGATGGGAGGAGGAGTGTATATGAGATAAAAGGGCAAAGGTTATCCAAATCTGACATCTGGTCATATTTCTATCTTCTGAGGGTGCATCATCTAGCAGACAATAGTCAAATCAAGGACAGTACTATGACAAAGGCAAGGATATTTTTGCAAAACCTCAAATGAATGATTGTTGGTAGGCTATGTTTAACTTTATCTCCGGTAGAATTCTGATCAGGCATTAGCTCCGCCTCCTCTTCTTTCTTTTTTTTCAAGGTAAGGACCCAAAATCTGCGTTTCTCTAATGGCGCATTACCACCATGGCGCGGAGCGCGGTTTAAGCGTGCCGTGTCGTGCCGGGCCCGTTTTTGGTTGCGTTTCCACTATGCCTAGTTCCGGCCCGGGGCTACTTTTTCACCTTTTTTCTGGCCCGACAAAATCGTGGTTCTATCGGGGCCAACAAACAGGGCTGAGTCGGGCTGAGTATGCTAAACTAGAGAGAGAATTGCTGGCAAGGGGGCTACAACTACAACAAGATGAACATATTTGACCGCGATTTAATTGTAATACACGTTTCAAAATGATGCCGAAGTAACAACATACTGATACCGGTTAGTAAAAACCATGAATTAATGCTTTGACAAGTCTGCAGACAGACGGCAGGGGAAAAACCTTTTAAAATGCGTGTTGTCTAAATGGAGATTGGCTAAGCTAACGCAGTATATGCCCCGACCGTCCACACTCACAACAACGGCCTATACAGACATAAATAAAGCAGCGACTGTATTCACCATGACACAGGCAGTCTGTGGTGTGTACTTGTTTAACTTTTGTCTAGTTGAACAGATATGAGGAGCTGTGAGCTTGAGTGCTAACAGCTAACGGCTGATGTTGTTTTTCTGGGGTGCTCATTGAAGATGACGTCACGGCTCCGCCTACACTGCGTAACTATAGATACTACCCCAGTTCCTAAACTGTAATGGAAGCGCAGCATTAAAGTGAGCCGGGCCTAACAAGGCCTAACAAAACCGTACTAAGTCGAGCGAGGCCTGCGGTGGAAATGCGCCATAACAGGGCTGCAAAAGAGGGGTTTGAGCAGTATGAGGCATGGCTACAATGGGTGATCTGTTTGGTATTTTGAAAAAAAAACTTCACAGACAAGTTTTATATAGGTATGGCCCTACAATATATTTTTCAAATATAGCATGATAGGTCCACTTTAAGGTAAACACATAAGTGGGAAGGAAAAAGGGTTGGGTCAAGGGAAGAGTGGGATGGGTGAGGGGAAGATTGAAAGAGCAGTATTGATGTTGGAAGCCCCTGAGAGCAAGCAGTAGTGGAGTCAAAATTGGATTTGTATGAGGCTTTAACACCGTATGACCCCAGGGGGTAGGTGTGATGTGCAACATTAAAGATTAAACAGACGACCACAAGCCTTTTCCGCTCTGCTCGACGACAAAGGCAATGGGCATAAGAACAAAAATAGGGTATAGACTACAGAAGTATGCAGGCAAGAGCTTTGTTCCCGTACATCACTTTCACACTTCAATCTACTATAATTAGATGTTTAAATGTTTTTGACAATTTGAAGAAAAACTCAAAATGGAATACTAACATTAACATTCTAAAAAATATGTTTGTCTTTGTTGAATTCAAATTGATGAAGCTATAAACCAGGTTTTCTACACTACAAAAACACATGTTTAAACAATAATTATTTCTGGAACAATTAATGACTATGATATGATATAGGGCTGAACAATTAATACAAATCTTTATGTAATCGCAATATGAATTAGGGCAATATTAAAATCGCAGTAAGAACCATATTTGTTAAAGGCTAAATATGTGTTGTATATTCTTTTGAATAAACTATAGCGAAGCTGCGGAGATATCCCGGCCTACAAAATCATTTTCTACAGACTTACAAAGCATATTTATTTAGTACAGATCTTCCATAATCATTTATCGTATTTTTCAACGATTATGAAAATAATGATACAAAATGAGCAATCCCTGTCCATGTCATGAATCATATCGCAATATCAATATCAGTCAAAATGATTGCAATTCCAAATCGTACAGCCCTAAACCCCATGATGAATTTAAGTGTAGATAAGTAGCATCCCGGATGTGTTAAAATGTATCTTTCTCACTTACACATTTATACACATGTACATATCTCAGCCCGAGTAACAGGAGCACATGGCAACACAGCAGAGCGGCCAATCAGAAATCAGTTTGCCGCCTCCTGATAATTGAGCATGGCTGAGGCACCTGGCTGGCTGAGCAGAGCTGCTAAGTCGTGATGTATAGTGACTGCCACGTTTCCTTGAGCCAATTAGCCACCAAAGGCCCTCAGGTGCTACCAATGCTCAGCCCTCTGCCTTACAGAGCAATGTGATGTCATCAAATAAATGATTAGCTCTACAGTTGGTCCATCATTATGAGATAAATAAATGCTGTGCTCTTTAAACCGATGAGCACAGATGCAGACGGTGTTACTGTGAGGTTTACGTACATATGGACCAACCTGAGGAACCTACCAACTTGCTAAAGAGTAGACATGGCAGGTCCATTAGAGAAAGTGCAGCAGAAATGTGTGGTAATGAGAGCTTAGAAATGACATATTGTGATTGTTTTACCTTCCTTCTTCAACCATTTCACTATGTTTCCCTCCTCCATGGTGGGGGAGAGTGCGGGCATTTGCACTTGGACTGGACTGACACCTGCAGGACAGAAAGAGAAATATACAAATCACTTCAAGGGTCATCAGACTTAAAACCACATCAGACATGGTTCCATAAAAATCGTATTCAGGATCTCCCTACAGGCATATCTTTCAGCGTCAAATAGGCAATGTGAACGCCAAAATAAATCAAGTAACACCCCCAGAAGTAGCAGTGTTAGCCTGAGGCCTCAACATATTCAGCCTGGGTGCAGGGCACAGGAAGTGACAGTGCCACTATGACTGAATGCCGGCAGGTCACGTATGTCATTTTGATCCTTGCTGACACTGCACGAGAGGCACTCGTATTCTTTCAGGCCTTTAAGGGGCCGTCAAAGCCCCCTACTGTCACCAGCTGTAGTCACCGAGAAGGTCAGAGTTCAAACGGCTCACAGCACTGTGGTGGACGTCTCCATTCTGCACGCTGCCAGAGGTATCACTGCTTTTCTACAACTAGCCTGCAGAGCTACTTCAGAAAAGACCTGACAAGTGTATTGTTGAGCCCAACTCAAAGGAAAACCCTTTGTTCAGTGTATTGTATATGCAGAGTGAACGTATTGCATAATGCAGCCATTTACGATGTATTGATAGAGAAAATGATAGCGCTAAAGTTAACGGATTAGGCAGATGAAAGGTTTTTTCTTATTTTACGTTTTTCGGTTCAAACGGCACCCATGAGACCTGTTGATACAGGCACTGGTTTCTTAAATATTCAACATAGGAACTTAATAAAAATATCACTGGAATTAAAACAAAATGTTAAGCTATCTTTATAGGTTAAATGTAAAACTGCATGTTATTAAAAAAGCAATGAAATAACTGAAATATCCCGAAATGTGGTCCTCTCAAACCAGCAGATTGCCATAACGATTCTATGCATAGGAACATAGCACTTTTTGTTTAAGCTGTTTTAAATCAAAGAAAGTATAACACAAATCTAACATTAAATTCAAACTGCCATTTAAGTAAAGGGATCAGAGAGGCAATGATTAAGACTTTTCCTACTTAAATTAGACATTTAGACAGAGGACATATAGGTTTTGCGGCGTGGTCTCCCGTCATGTTGTGTGCTGCTGCCACCTGCTGGATATTTGGCAATATTACAAAATGTGAATGCATGTATAAGGAAGGCAAGTACAGGTCAATTATAGTATAAAGCAGTTTGTTACTTCACTTATTAATATTTGCCTTCAGTATCTGAACATTAGGAATACCATTTTCCACTGTCAAACATGTATATTTTGTTGGTGTGTGTATAAAGAAAAGATGTTGACTTGATTGCCTTAAATATATTGATATATCATTTAGACTTAACATGAATCCCTTCTCTCTGTGTCAGTGTGTTTTTTGTCACCAAAGCTGACAGCTTTAACAAGACTTTTTTCCGTCAGAAATTCTGACATATCAAATCAATAATGGCTCTGAATCTGCATGCTTACTGGCACAGTTTGGATTGGAGTAATCATTAATGTGATGAGGTAAATCAGTGCTTTGCCTGGTCCGACACCGAAGAAAATCTACTGAAAAGATGAGTAATATAGTAGTCCAAAGTCATAAATAAATGCCACATTGTAAAAGACAATTAATTAAACATTCACATAACTCTTGGTTCTCATCACTCCTCTTACATTATCCTCTAGTTTTTTCGCTAAGCTACTATTTCAACCCTGAACATTTTCCTTTGCCTATAACTGATAGTGAATACCGTGCGTCTACTTGTTATGCAGTCAGAGGTTCCTGACTGCTCCTCTCCAAAAACTGAAGTCACTTTTAAGATTTTTAGGATGAATAATTGATGCATACTGCAGTGAAAACCTTAGCTGTGTATTGTGTATGGTGTGTGTTGTCTTATGGCAGTGCAGTAACACAGATCAATTGTATGCTAATCTAATGGATGGTGAAGTAGTTGGAATTGTTCAAAAGAAAGTGCTAAACAGAGGTGAATACAAATGTTTTCTAAATCTATCCATTATGTCCAACAACTTGTGAACACCTACAAATGTATTCTAAATAAATGTGGCATTGCATTAAAGGAACTGTGAATACTGTTTTAAGAGTGAGAAAGTGGGATACAATTATCTCGATCCCACTTGGAAGGGAAGGGAGATTCACCCATTGGTAAACACAATAACACTATTTGAAGACTGGACTAATAAGGCTTTAGGTCAGATACAAATACAAATGTCTATGTGACATTTCCAGAGGCTTCTGTCGTAACTAATAGTCTCTCACATTTAAAAAGATACATTTAAAAAGATGCATCTATCAAAGCTTACAGACCTTCAACACTTGCTGTTTGGTGACAGGTCTATAACTATTTGACTCAGAGGCACATTTTTTTATTACGTTGTCCCTCTCCTAATACCTTAACACGTCAACACCTCTCAAAAAGTCACAACAACCTTTAGTAATTTGTAACACTGTCATGGGTGGGCAATGACTTGACCAAAATTAGTCCTACGTTACATTCTCACATCATTTTTAGACCCCGCCTTTCTGTTATTTGAGGTCAAATAAGGACCCTCGTTATTCAGGCAGGAATGCGACACACCAGTCCGCATATTGAACAAACCCGTTGTTAGTTGTAATGTCACAAACAATAACAAACGAACCTAATTACACGATTAGAGTTACCAAATGTATAAAAACGATGATAGCATCTGTCAGCAGCAGCAGCAAGCAACAACAACATCTATGTTAGCGTATTACTGTCAACACTCACCGAGGATCCATGGGGACCGAAAGAAGTGTCTGACATGCTCCTGCCATGGGTGCGGAGCACATAAACATGTATTAACATTAGATAATTTAAGGCCAAATAATATCCCTTGACGACCCAAACGCAAGGAGGCCGCCATGTTGTCGTCCTCCGTCAGTGAGTAGTGTCCATTCAAATGCCTGATAGTAAAACGGCAGGGAGGCGGGAGCATAAGTAAACATTATAATTATAATAAACCCTGTTGATATAATCAGCTCCAGATACCTTTGAGAATCTCTGATAATGTTTTATCTTATTTATTTACATATACAATTATATATATATTGTTTTAGATATAAATGAGCAGGATATAAATAAGTAACTACTTTGGGTCCTGCGAGGTCCTTTTCACTGTAGTTCTGTTGCGTTCAATATCGGTCGAAATTCCCAGTGCTCACTTGTTTACTGCCCTCTGCTGGGGGTAAGGCAAAAGTCTTCTGCACAATTTTTAAATACGTTGGTAAAAATCATTCATGGCGTTGCATTTTTTGCTTTCCTTATTCATGGTATGCATCTTGTGTTTTCATTTTTGAGTTTGTTTTCATGCTCTGATTGAAATGTTTTATTTCTTATTATAAAGCATCTAATAGTATTTAGAAAAGTGCTCTATCAATGAATCAAGTATTATATTTACATACATTACCAACATTACATTATAGCCCAATTATTAAACTGTTGTGAAACTGAGTGCAAACAAGGGGGTCATTTTGGTGAGTAAATAATCATCATCAAGTTGTTGGGAAAAAAATATTGATGGTGAGTCCAAACATTTGAGCAGGAATTACACTTCATAACGAGACATCTTTGGATCCTAATCAATAATTGTGTTTTTGTCTTGTTAAAATGCAAAAGGAGACTATAAACTCCACTTTGTCCTAATTTCTTCATGCGAGTGCATGACTTAACATAAGGGCTGTTTTATTTTAGTACAAATGCAAAAAGAGATAGTTTGATTGGTAACATTGCTAATGTTATAAAGCAGTGTGTTACTTCTAACTAGACAGTGATCTGCAACATAGCAGAAACACACACACACCCTTGCATCAGTCCTAATCTGTCCAACTCACAGTTTGGGCTGAATGCCTCACAGGTCCATTTGAGTGTGAAGAGAAAATGATAAGGGGGCCTGATAAGATTTGGCTGTGTATCTGCTGAGAGAACACAATAGCCCCACTGAGCATGCACAGGACACACAGACACAAATCCCAGCTGGCTGTCTTTATGCTCATGCTCAGCCTATCTTTCATAATTTCCCTGTTCTTCCTCCAGAGTCTATCTGATTGAATTAATGCAATCTTTTTTAAATAATAAAGAGCCTTTGCGTGGCTCATTCAATTTGGAAAAATAATTTTCAGACATGAAGATACAATAATTCCGGGGGAGATATGGAATGTTGTTTTCTTGCTAAACAAAGGCAGTCATTGCTTCATCAGGGTACAGGTTTTCGCTAAATGTTTAGTCATCACCCAAGACAATCTGGCCTATTCTTTTAATATTTATGTGCAACAAAACCACTCGTCGCTAAAGTAAGTTACCTGGATTAAATATCACCTCTCAGCTGCATTTGTGAGTTTTTCTTCCTTCCCAGATCACTTACAACCGGTTAGGCTGCATGTTTGTCTAGGTGCTATCAGTGGCTTACTGTACAACCAAGTGTTGTGAATACTTGTTATGCAGGTTTAACGGTGCTTTCCCAAACAATACATCATCTTTCCTCACAAACAGTTGATCAGAAAAGTTAAGGTCACCACACACACAACTCCTCACATAGATATTGCAATGCTTCTGATATCTGATTTAGATCAGATTTGAGTGACCATCATGGATCCTTACACACTGAGGGTATGTAAAGCTTTGGTTTGCATTAACAGGGCAGTGGTCTGTTAGGGAAATCTGGCTACGGTCTCTTTGTGCTTCATGGGTAAGATCAGTCTAGACAATTTGCCTAACTGTTAACTTATCCTCACCCAATCACATCAAACGTGTTCCCAAAGCACAGCTCACGGCAGCATCCGCATCGGTTAAAACTGAGGCCTCATTTCAGACGCGTATCTGTGCCTGTGATGATTAGATGTTCATCTCTTTGGGTCATATTAATGTTCATGTACAATCCTTTAAGTGTTTATGTTGTGGTTAACAAATACAATGAAGCATTAGAGGTAAAGGGTAAATAATGCACAAATACTTTGCATAATGGCAAATGTGTTTTGTTTTTGACTGCTGAATTGTTGCACTTGCATGATCAAGCTCTCTCATTTTCTGTCATTGTTCAAGGATGTAAAACTTGCATGAAATGTATAATCTTAATTTGTATTCAAGTGAATCATGAAAACACATCTTTGTTTATTTTTGTGTATATTTCAAATGAGGGGCCTTAATTAGTGCTGCTCTAGAGAAGATGTGAAGTGGGCTTTATTGTGGCAACACAGAATCAAAACAATGGAATATGATGGAGATGCACTTCAATTTGAAAAGCATTGTCGCTTGTCTCATGTAAAGTAATATAACAATATGGCAATCAGCAGTGATTATAAAAATCAAACCAGGAGCAGTCCCTGTTTATATCATCTCTCAGTTGCAATCTTCTTTCTTTAATTCGATCGTCAATTGTAACCACACATATAAAACTCCTTTAACCAAAGACTGTTTCCTGCTGTTTGCCAATCAGAAATGCCATCAGCCATGACACTGGAAGATTGATGACTACTTCTTGAAAATGGCATGAGGCGTTATTTCCTCACATTACATCCGTGTTGGTAAGTGCCAACAATGTGTGGGAGCAAAGTGACAAAACTGAAAGTTGGTGCAGAACGCACATTCTTTTAGGCCATCAGGAAAGACAATCATGGAACATGGTGTCAATCAATGCCACCCTGCTATGCAAAGAAGCCATACTAAAGCCAGATAAATCAGAGCGAAGATTAGACCACATTTGCCTGATTGGCTGAAGAATGGAGCCTTGTATTGGCACCACTTTTATCTTGTTGGCCTGTCTGCTGCCTGCAGGAACCAGTGTGGCAGCTGTGGCACGCCTTGGCGAACAATGAACTGTCATGATATTATAGAAGCGATGCACCATCTCTGAGAGCATGATTTTCAAAGTTAATCGTGAAACAGATTCACGGTGAACAAGGCGTTTTTTGTTGTTGTAAGCCACACAGCGGATCTATTTTTTTACTGAAGAAAAATATCTTCAATTGAATTCTTAATGCTGATTAATGTGTTTGATCAGAATAACATTTATTTGACGAGTAACAATTTAAAGTACAGGAATTGTACTCATCTTGTTGAAAACAATGCCACAAATATTGTAGACATGCAATCCTGAAAAAGGACATTAAAGTAAAAACAACACGCTTTATTTGTATCAAACATAAGCAAACATTTACACACTTTCTTCACAGCTCAGTGAATGCAAAATATCATGGAACAAACCAAATAAACAAACCATTCTATTATGTTGATGTAAATATGTATCACTTGTTTATGCGTTGTGTACTTCATAGCTGTATTGCACTCATGGAAGGTTGATGTATTATAATTATATATATTTTTTTTTATGATGATCAAGCATCCTTCTCAAAGGACACTTCACAGTATGAGTGTCAAAACATACATCGGTTTGCCATGTGTGTTTTGAATGCTATCAACATTTGCTCCTTTGGGACCTGTAATATCTGAACAAGAATTCACAATGTTTCATGTTGGCAGTTTGGGATATCCTTTTCATTAGTGAGATGTAAACACACGAGCGTAAAAAAGGTTTGGCTGCTGTCATGCTGGTTCAATAAACAACTTTAATAAGGCACAGTAAAAAAGATCTCAGTTCAGTGTCACAACACAGGGATGTATGTAAAGAAAGACAAATAATAAGGCAAACATATAATTATCAACAATGTGTAAACAGTTCAAACATCTTTTTCAAACACGGTACATCAAAACTACAATCAAAAACATAATTTGCATATAAAGAAAACATAAATAAAACAAATTGTCACTTGTCTGACTCCCTCCATCCTCTTGCATTCCTTCCAAACTTGTAAACCAGTCTGCGACCGTCTACTCGCTCCAGGATTTCTCTTTTGTAGTAATATCTGTAACAGAGAACAGACGAACACTTTCAGCCGGATTAAGAATCAGTTCATTACAATCATCTAAAACGTCTTTGAAATGATAGAGAAACACAAAAATGCAGTGTATAATTTGGAAAGTAATCCAGTAGTCATTGAATTACTTGTGGTTATTCTCTCGTACGTCTAATACATCTCAATAACATCAATTACAGCATATTGTATAGTGAAGTATGGACGGAAGTATATTCATATTTAAAGGATCACTTTGGTGATATAAATTAGTTTTTGATAATGAATGCACAGATGAATCATTTATAATGACAAGTACTTTCTATGTATCAAAAGCCTCATATAACTTCTTACACAGTGCCATTGAGTTAGGAAAGGAAACACATGAATTAGGCGTGCAGTCGCTCTGTGTTTTTACTTACAACAAACCTGAACACCACCTGACCTTGCACAATTGTGTAACTTGCACAATTCTATGTTACTTCCTTATTTATTTCAGGTCTAAAGTATATTGGATAAGCCAGGGACTTGAGGCTTGCCAACAACAATGCTGCAGCTCCTGTGCATAAAGCCTTTAATGCTCTTATGATCTTTGAATTATGAGTCAATCCTACGTACCGTGTGGTGGTGAAACAAGCACACCAAATTCACAGCAAAAAATGAGATAGTCCCCCAATTTCATCCTGTTTGATTAATGATCACTTAAAATGACAGCAAGCAAGTATTTGTTTTAATTATACTTTCAACAGACCCATTTTTAAAGATGAATGTCCTTTATTAATGTCTAATAATGTCAGTATGAACAAAATGATTGAAAGCCACAGACAGGCAGCCAGAGTTAGAGAGTTTTGGTTTGTCATTATTTTTTTTGATTTGTGGAGCGTAACAAAAGTATGGTTTTGTCAGCCTTCCCTTTCACTTTTGTCATCAAATGATCTTTGCCTTTCACAATAGAAACATGCATAGTTTGTCCTTCCCTCGATTCAGTATCAGCTTTCTGAATTATGATTATACGTTTTTTTTTTAACAAGCATTTTGAGGTTCTCCGATTACTTCAACAATTTTCTTTGAATATGAAATGAAATGTATTAATCAGAGCTATCGATTACTCCTGGTTAAAATACGATTCCTTTTCATTAAATGTTGTAACATTTTCAGATATAGCCAAATTGATTTAGAAATTTCCTCCAAGTTCAGTCACAGGAAATTTAAATGAAAGGAAACTAAGTTAGTTTGGATGTTATCCCTTTGCTTTTGTTATCCATAGTACCAATCTTTTTGGTGATGCCTTCAAGCTGCAAATCCTTCTGCTGCACCACAGTAAATAGAAAATCAGCTTTGGTGGTCACACTGACATTACCTGCGGGCACATTTTGTAGTTCCCAGTGGTTTGCACGACAATGAAATTAAGCTCATTAGATTAGCTCATTTGAATATAAAGCTGTGGAGCCGGATAGCTTTTCTGAGGAGAAGGCCATCTCAGTTCATTTGGGAGAAAAGTGAAAAGAAAACACTGTAGGTAATCAGTAATGGGAAGAATGTGCTTTAAAGAGTTGAGTTTGCTGGTTTTAGATGGGTAACTCTTGCTCATGTCACCCTTAAGCATCTAAAGTTATTTCAAAGTCAATTTAGTGGTAACCGTTTCAGTGGCAAGTGCATTATAAGCTGCTTAAATCAATTGGATTAGGAACAATGCAGTGTGAAATGTCTTCCTCATCACAGATCACACAAGCTCTGCCAAACAAAAAAAACCTCTATGTGCATGTGGGATGTTTACTGTATTAAAGTGAAAGAACTTTATTTCTGCAGGCAAGTTTGACTCCCTCAGAGGGAAAAGTAACTTGAAGAAAAGCAAAAGTATAACCTACATGATAACATGTATAGGCCACAGTCTCTACTGAATACAGTGCATTAAAATCAATGAAAGCTAAATGTCAAGCATGTCTCAGTAATCAGATCTCAACTCAAATGAAAACGTTTGGGAGATATCACATCTGTATCTGCAGCCTTTTTTCCTCGAATGATTGATAACCAATGTCTGGTTTTATATTTCTGTGCATGCGTTTTATGATAGCTGCTGATGTACCTCATCGCCCGGCTTAGTTTCTCGTAGGTCATGCTGCTGTTATTCTTCTTCTTGCCCCATAACTGTGCCACTGCCTCTGACTTAAGGAAGCGGAAAACCCCCTCTGTCCGATCCTCCCACTTGATCAGCCCGGGGTTTCGCTCCGGGTTCAGCAGAATGTCCCTGATGAACTCCCACAAATGGGTCCCCCTTGGATCTGTGGGGACAGGAAGTAGGTTGAATGGTACGAATGAACATTTTATAATATTTACGCTATTGGGACAAAGAGAGGATAATAAAATGTACAAACATTCTGATATTACTTACTGTGTTTCTTGACCTGACGACTGAAAGACCTTTTGATATCTGAGAAAAACAAATACAATAATTCTCTCATTTATTCATTTATTTATTTGTATTTGTCCAAATTGTATTGCTGTTACATTTAAAGGCATGTTGTATTGAACTTATTTTAGATTCCTCACCAGGGCTGGACGGGGTGGGGGAGGCCACAGGGGCGAGGGGATGAGTCAAAGGATCGTAGATTTCTAAAATAATAGAGGCAAGAAGAATCAAAGTCAAAAATTGTATCTGGGACATGAAGATTAGAAAAAAGAATAAAGCAGACCAACAAATGTAAAGTACCTCCAGGTGGATAGCTGACATCTGGAAATGGACAGGAGAAGTCTACTATAAGGAGGGAAAGAAAAGGCGCAGAGAATGACAGATGGATTAGTTGGATTCAAACAAACATCTGTTGACATTTATTGTCTTTACTGACTAACAACTTGTTTGAGAGTCTTACATTCTGGTTTAAGTTCCAGTTGTCCCAGGTCCACATGGTACTGCCCTGTATATTGGGACAAGAAAGAATAAGGAAGTGATTTATTTTTAACTGAAATTGGGGAATTCCAATTGTGTATAGATTGGATTTTAACTTCCTCCTTCATGTCGAGCTATCAAACAGTCCCAAATGCCTTTTTAGGGCGATGTAGAGAAAGTCATTAAACTTCAGCAAATTCAGTTGAAATCTATTGAGTAGCTGTATGGTATATCTAGATAGTTTTACTCTTAAAGCCCAAACACAGGATGGTTTGGTTTTATCAGTGAAATTAAAGCTTATCTATTTATATAAAGCAGTCCTTTAAATGATTGAAAGGTGGTTCAATAGAAATCCGGGATAAAAAGAAGGTAGAGGAGTAACAACACACATTCTTTAACAGGACGGCGTGTGATACATGTAATCAAAATGTTGATAGCCCTTAACACTCACATTCCCATAGTGTTACCCTTTACGTCAGCCTAGTTTTTTGTGGTAATGATATACTGGTATGACAAACAGATGGACAAGGATCTTTAATGCGTTAACATGTAACACTTTGTCTGAAGAAACTGAGCTGTTTTTTCCCAGCTTGTATCAACAATAGCAGCTTTGTGCTCTAGCTTGGTTCGCATTGAATGTCTCTCTCACCTTGAGGTTAAACCTGTTGTGCTTGGTCCCCTGCCATGACTGCTATTTATAAATTCCTTTAGACATTAGATAAACAATGCTGTTCTGATGTCATTAACATATATTGTTACACAAGAATAATTGTATTGCTTGAATTTCCTCAAAACTACATTTGACACATTTCTATAGTTAGTTAAAAGCCCAATGAAGAAACCTTAAGCCTCTGAGCTCGACTTACAATAAGCTTTCAACTCTAATAAAAAAAAACTGTGGAACAGCCAGCTTGTTTCTCAGCTTTAAACCCCCTCTGTGCTTTGCTAGGAGACCTGCTAGTGAGAGAAAACAACAAATCCATCATCTCCCTCGCTATAAGCAGTCTTTCGCCCCCTCTACAGCGCCACACAGTGCCACCTCTGACCGGGTCTGTGATCCCTACTCAGCAAGACCCAACTTGAATCACCCGGCTTCTCTTTTATTGGGACTAATCATCTTCCTTCCCCCCCCCTTTAGCCCCCTTATCAGACTCTCAGACGCACCGCTCCACTTGAGATCTGTGATGCTGTGGAAGAGAATGGGTCCCACGCAGCCGGCAGCGCGGAGGAAGTCCTGGTAGCTCAGGCTGCACAGTTGATTGCCGTCCATATCAAAGTTTTGGAAGGGAATGCTGGAGGCATCGATCTGGTTCATGTCCATGACCTGCTGCAGCCACTCCCACACCTGGTATTTATTCCAGAACTGAGGCTGATTGTCACGAGTCCACAGGCGACTTGTATAACCAGACATCACCAAAGGAACTGGAGACAGACATGAACACATTGGAAAAAAACGTGTATGTCTCCATCAGTGAATTCCTTTTGTTTTGATGCAAATACAAATGCTAAACATGAATTCCCCTCCTGAAGGTATTTGCTAATAATTAACCCACAGAGCAGTTTACTGGAAGAGCTGTTGACCTTCAGTACTTCTCAGTCAGGAATCTCTAATATGCGTCATGTGTTTCATAGATTAGAGCTCATCAGGTGAGCAATACATTAGTGGCTAATTGTTGAATGCTTCTCAATTTGCTTTGCAATTTTATATCCAGCGAGAGAACTGAATTGTTGAACTCAGAGCAATCATAGTATTTTCAGCAGAACAAATTAGCATATATTCTCAAAGCATTTTATGGTTGTATTCAGACAAAATAATTAAGTGATTTACGTCAGTGAGGAGTGCATACTTTATTCCAGGAAATATAGTAGGCTTAATTAGAGTTGGTCATAAGCCTCACCATCAGGGTAGGAGTTGTTAGGGCCCCAGGTGGTGGTCAGCTGGCTCTCAAGGGTGGTGGATGAAGTTACACTCATGTTGTAGCTGCTATACTCTGATGTACCATGGCCCAGGGGCTGAGGAAGGAGAGGAGTCATTTAGTATATGGATCAATTAAAAATGTAACTATAATCGACAACACATCAAACAAATATGGTTCAAATATTATGTTGTGATATCACTTAAAATATTCATAAAAGTAATATATCAAATATAATAATGCTCAGTTAGTCTATTCAAATAAATGTCTATGTTCATTAAAGTTATATATATTGAAACACAAGTTTAGATTTATAATGTCCCACCAACCCAAGCTGGATTCAGACTAAGCAAGAAGGATTCACAGGAAAAGGGTGAAGGCATGTAATACAATAAAACCTTATCTCATTGATTTCTGCGCCATTGTTTACTTTATGCTCTCTTTGCTTTGTGTCAGAGCAAATGCAAACCGAAATCCCTTAAAGATGCTGCTTCACATTAAACGAAACAAAAACATTGGGGGTCTTTAATTGTGAAGAAGCAGCTACAGGAAATGCAATGTGTTGGTCAATGCAGTGATTAAAAAGCATGATCAAATCAGCCAGGATGTTCCAATTGTTCAAATAAGTTGAATAATAATGTTTCATGTTTGTATCCAGCCATGCTTAAGCCATTCAATTGCACTAACACTAATTTCACAATGGAAATCTATATCAGCACAGTTTATGGGTTTTGTAAACTGTCCAGTGGATTTACAGAAAAAATACATATGAATGGGTCAGTTAAGATTTATGTTTTAAGGGAGTCCTATTTGCTGGGGAAAAAACTTCAATTTAATCTGTTTGCCATTTCTGTAATCACATTGGTTTTAGACTGATTGTAGTGCCTTCAGTAAAGGCTCAAAAAGGCTTAATAAACATAAACTTACATGCTGCTACTGTTTGTGGTTTTATTTATTTTGTACACTGATTTTACATATTGCCACTTTGTCAGTTGAGTTAGTGTTTTGTAGCGAACGTGTTACACAGACCCCTCATGCATTACATTTGCCGTTTGTGCTGTAGACATACATATCGGTAAATAAAAGGCATGTTTCAGACCTAACCACAAGTATATTTGCATCCCATGTAAATAACGCTCTGAATTTCAGCAGCTCCACTGTTTAGTCCAGCAAGAAGGGTTGACGATGTACAATAGCTGAGTCATGACAGACACTGTTCACTGCCAATATATTTGGTTTTATGTTACTCTGTTCTATGGTAATGGATTTTGAAATGTTGTAATATAACACCCTTACTGTTACTGATTAGTTTAGTTTTCAATATTGTTGCCGTAATAGGGAACTGTTTCACTTTCTTCATTAGCCTACAGTGTTGTTAACACAGTTGACAATCCTTATTGGTAACATTTTCCAACATTTAAAAAAAGCTCCCGAAGTGAACTTTAATTGTTTTCAACTGTGCATTAATAATCTTTCTAAGATGAGGAATGTCAACGAGTTGGCAAAAAGCTATCAAAGGTTATCACGATGGGCAATCCACCAACACCTCACCGGTTGCCGGGAAGATCTTGGTCACAACTTTATGACAGGGCTTGTCTTAAGTTTGTTTATGACCTGCCATAAAGTTGTGACCAAGATCTTCCCGGCAACCGGTGAGGTGTTGGTGGATTGCACATAAAGTGCTACCAGACATAGAGACACATTCAACATTTTAAAGATCTGGTAAATCCATTTTATAACATCTTAAAATCAAGATTCCTGATTAGGTTTCTCCAGTAGATAGTTACCACATGTCATAATGCCAATGTAGATCATTTGACTCAGTTGACAGTCCTCTGTGTCTTAATCCTTACCATTGTAAAAACTGGTATCGAGAAATCAGCAAGGATTATATGTAACACTACTTAAAAAAGAGACATATTAACCGTTAGTTAAAAAAATACTCATATGCAATGGTTATGAGGTGAGGAGGTAAGCAAGCTAGAGTTCACACAAGCACAATGCAGTCCGTTACTGTACGTTTTATTTCAGTAATTGTAGCCTTAGCATTTTACCTGATTAGATTGGTACATTTTCTGTTGAACTTTTCCGAATTTTGCACTATTTTTTATTGTAGCTAACAACTGTAAATATGGCTTTTACAGTATATCTAAATTATAGTTAAAACTTGATGCAATGGCATTGAGTATGCAACCTTTCTATGACCCCAACTTCTTAAACAGAGTGAGGAAGTTTAGTGTTGAAATTGTGAAAGTTTGCTGAAAAATGACAGGGGAATATATTAAAGTCAATGCATGATTTTGCATAGCATTACACAGAACATATTTGAGACAGTATATTTGGTTCAGTTTCGTTTCAATATTTAGGTTTCTATTTAAAAAACATCCAATGTGATTACAGACAATTCAACTGGTCAAACCATCTTGGTTTAACACAACATACATGTGATAAAGCTGGAGGTTTAAACCCCGTTGGGAAAAAAATATAAAAGAGTTTGGCAATGCTATTTTTTTAACAAAATAAATTGCGATTTTCCCCCATATTTTTCCAGTATTTCCACACCTGTACATCCTAAAAATAACAGATGAATGAAAGAAAAAATGATCATTATAACTTCCCACAATAGTATCAAATTACATGGCATTAATACACACTGAGCCTATTAGACTAGCCTTCAGTTTGATCATACTGTGTTCAGTCATTTTGAAAAGCTCTGCTGGTTGCCCAGCACTAGTATGGCAGCTTACCAGAGAAGTAGAATGGGGTAAAATCAGGCCTGAGGTAGATCCTCTCTCAACACCGCTGAATATAATTGATTTCTGAAGATTCCAATACTATCGAGGACTAGTGTTAGGAGTAAGACGAAGTGAGTCCTTGTGCTTCACAAATGTTTTGAATTAACAAATGAAAGCATGCAGACACACTACAGTAGGTGCTGCCCCACCACAAAAGGTTTTTTATCCTCCTAACTTCCTTATCCCTCACCAATTGGCTACCTGTCCTTGCTCATACCAGGCATTTGCATAATTCACACCCACACACACACCTGGTGTGACTTTTATTTTCCCCATTGGCACTGTTTCCTTGCACTTGCTCTCACACACACATACTGTACACACACTCACTAAAGCAGAAAAGCACACACTCCTGAGGAGACGCATACAGTAAACAGGCATGGATCCAAACACACACAATAGCCCATAGAGAATACACCAAATTGCTGAAAGCCATTGTTCATATAGTTGCTTAAAATAGTGTTTAACCTTCAGAGAAAATGTCCCCTGTGTTATTATGTTGCACAATATTTGTTATATGTATTTCATCATGACGAACGAGAAGCTGACAGTTTAGGTAACAGGACCTGAGAGAATTTGTTCCTTTTTGAAAGTCGCTGGAACAGCATGGTGGATAAACATTAGGGTCTGTGTTCTCCTGAAAAAAACAATACGAAAAATACCTTTACCAGGGTTAAACATTAACAAATGCCCTTAAATGTGTCTTTTCACACAGTAGCCTCTTTCAGTTTTGAATTTGCAAATTAAATTTGCGCTTTTAGGGTGAGCTTATTTAATTTTTGCTTAAAGTTATGGATGCCCTACCCTTGTCATTAGTATATCGGACTCTTAACAACTCTTACAATTATTTTCGACGACATGCAGTGATCCACAGGTGACTAAGAGAAGACTGGTTGTTGGTTGTTCATAGAGTCTCTAAAAGTACAATGGGAGCCAGAGCCTTTTCTTATCAAGCTCCACATTTGTGGAATCAGCTTCCAGTTTGTGTTTGGGCAGCACCCTATCCGTTTTTAAGAGTCCGTTTAAGACCTTCCTTTTTGATAAAGCTTATAGTTAGGGCTGATTAGATTCAGCCCCTAGTTTTGCTGCTATAGGCTTAGATTGTCGGGGGACACCTTACTTCTTCCTTCTCTCTGTCTGTGCCTGTGTACTCTCATGTTCCGAATAACCCAGCTTCCCCAAATTTCTTTTTGGTGTCTATCTACGCCGGGATCCACTGGCTGATCCTGTTGCTGTGGTCCTGAGTCCTGGATCGCGAGCCCTGGATCTTGAGTTGTGGCTGTGCCTGTTGCTGTGGTCCTGGATCATGAGTCCTGGATGGATATCCTCGTGGATTCATCTTCTTATTATAGATACACGCATTTCCAAACATTTGGACTACCTATGTTGTAAATGTATTATTTTTTCAATTTACACACGGCATCTATTGCACGTCTGTCCGTCCTGGGAGAGGGATCCCTCCTCTGATGCTCTCCCTGAGGTTTCTCCCATTTTCCCCTTTAAACTGTGGGTTTCTCTGGAAGTTTTTCCTTGTACGATGTGAGGGTCTAAGGACAGAGGGTGTCGTATTGTCATACTGATATTCTGTACAAACTGTGAAGTCCACTGAGACAAATGTAACATTTGTGATATTGGGCTATATAAATATCGATTGATTGATTGACTGACATATAAGCTATGAAATGCCCCCTGAAAATCCCATGCAGGGATCACACGAACAACGGTGACAGGAGTTGAAGATCAAAAGCGGGTTCATAATTATATGCCAATTCCTACATGTTTTGAAAAGGATAACAGTGTCTATGGAGAAGTAAATGTGTTGAAAAAGCATTTTTCCTGAACTCTGCCACCGTTATCAATTCTAAAATATCAACTGGTGCTCTTGACTGACACAATCAGAGGAAGTTCAAACACTCTATTTTTGCTTGACGCCAATTAGGGTTTGGGCAAAATGTAACATCTCTGATCTAAGATCTAAATCGGATCTGTAGCCTTGTACTACTACAATACCTCTTGGGACCAGAGGCACTAACAGTATCATGTTGATCATTGAAGTGACTTTGAGCAGGGTTGAACCGTATGTGGAAGCAGGGAGAAATCTGTGAGAAAGTATGTCAGGATTCTCCCGGTGCTTGAGTCTTATGGAGGTAATCAAGAGGCATTGATACACAAATATACTATTAATTTTCTCATGAAAAATCACATCACAATCATTTCTAAATGTCAATATTTATTTACCTCAAGGGGCCTGACATTAATGTCCTTTTTCTCATTCCATAGATCCCTGTGATCAACAATGTTGGCTTAGTTTAGCACTCTCAACAGTTCACACTGAGCTCACTTTGGAAGCTCTCACTCTAAATGTGTGTGTGTGTGTGTGTGTGTGTGTGTGTGTGTGTGTGTGTGTGTGTGTGTGTGTGTGTGTGTGTGTGTGTGTCTGTCTGTGTGCGTGGGGGTGACTTGGACTCCTGCCCAAAGCTCAGCCTCGGCGGTAATGAGGGAATTCAGTGTCAGCATGATTATCTCTAAGAGTTGCCCTCATCTCCTCATGCACGCCAGATCGCTACAGTGCTAATGGTAAAAAGCACCGCCCATCCTGATTTCCCTGAAACTCTCTGACACTTTCCATACCTGCATGGGTTACAGATAATTCGCCTAAAGCCCTCCCTGCGGCTCCTTTGCTAACTCTTCGTAGCAGAGGTGCTATTTTCTAGATTTTTCTCCTATTTTCTGTTTCCCATCCTCTTTCGAAAGGGTAAAGTGCCCCGAGAGTGTAATTTGGGATCCAAGCCGTGTTTGGTGCCATCCCACCGTGAATGCCTGACCAGACTTTACTGCATTAAGATGTATACGCCCATCAGCAGTGAACTTGAGTAATACACTCATTATGGCGAATGGTTTAGCCTGCTTCTAACTTTTGTTGTTTTTACCCTATAACCCTATATTTGTTGCTATGTCACAAGGAGAGCCTAGTATTTGGCATCTCATTTCACGGATCTTCGTTCTGCTTTCTCAGGGTGGATGTGGGTCGACATATGCAGAAGTCCACTGGGGGAATAGCAAAAGCGAGAGAGACAGAGAGATCAAAGTCTGTCACATCAACCGTGTGAGTCAGCCTATCGTGAGAGGCAGTAAAGACATCTTCCAGACACAAGAAAATATCATCAAAATACTGGCATTATAGACAGTGTCATCTATTTTTAAATAGAGAGTTAAGTAGAGGCTTATGTCACCCTCCAATAATAGTACACTTCTGATCCATTTAAAGAGACGCTTATGACTTGCTTAGTGGTGCTGTGAAATATTAATGCTTTATTTGAGGATGCGGTCAAAAGTTTCTCTTTGACAGGGACGGCTGTCAGCGCTGTCATTCAGAAGAAACAGACATGACAGGAGGAGGGTACAGTTTGCATGCTCTAATGAACAGGAACTTATTAGCGGGAGTATGTCTATTACTGTCCCACTTGCCTCCCCTCTTTCATTAGCTGCTTATCACGCCCGTTAGTGTCTTCTTTAATACTTCACATTTTGATTAGCATATGATCCGAGGGGGAAAGACGGAAAAATCATTTTATTAGTGTCAATTACTGCTACAAATGACAATTGCACTGCCTAAATTGTAATTTCACGTTTCTTCCCTGTCAAAGAACAATGGCTGTGTAATTACAGTAATGAGAAGTGCAACAGAAAAAATGAATTATTCACAATCCTCTTCCTTTCTTGTTCTTTTGAACTACGCCATGTCAGTTTGCTTGTCATCTGGCCGGCTGTATAAATCACTCTGCACTCAGAACACAGATTCTGCATGTCTGACAAATGATATGTTCAGGTGCAGGAGTCTTAGTATCATGAATGATGTAAACACAACTTTTCACCTGCAGGAGCTTCACTGCCCTTGAATGTGGGTCCCTCCTGTGCCTGTAGGGGACACTGTTGTCTCATATACTGCTGGGGATCTCTGAAAGCAAGGTTATGTGATGAGTGAACAACACTGATACGATATGCGAATATGTAGGCAATGAAACATGCTGCCTGACAGCTTTCGACTACGATGCCAACGGGTGGTGCTACCCATATAGGTTACAGTAACCTACATACACCATCTCCACCAAATCCTGAGGGAAATATCTCAAAGGTGTAAGAAGGATACATGAGAGAGGAAGACAGATGAGAGACGCAGAGGGTCAGTGCAGGACCGGTTTGTTGTGACACAGCGATACTGTACAGCCAGGCGCAGCCACTTTTGTTTCAATTAAGAGATCTCAGAGCTGTGCTACCAGCACAGTTTTTCCATGACATCAATGACTGTTTGTCTCTTTTAGTGTTCTAACTACAGCAGGTGCAATAAATCAATGAACCAAAGTTTGGATGTTATGCATGAGATACTTATCTATAGTCAGTGTTACCTACAGTTCCCCCTTAATATACTGTATGTACATCTTCTTCCACATAGTGTAATATGCCTGGCTATAAAACCAATTCACCGCCAGGGACAAAAAATCTAAAGTTGAAGTAGATGGTGGTCGGCACGCGAAACGGAACTGATAACGTACAAAAGTGAATCGATACACCGGTCAGGCCTTATAGCCACCATAAAGCAAGGGCCACCAAAAATAAACAATTCTAACCAACTAGCCTAGCTGGGAGACAGCTATACAGTTCATGTTTCCTCGGAGAACACATGAGTTTGTAGTCTGCTTCCTTGATCTGGCAGTTACCATTCCACAAACTACCTAACTGATCGAAGCAGTGGTAGACTACTGCCATAATTGTGCTAAGAATGTATTGTTGTTGAGGTAATATCTGTTTTTGCACTTTGTCCCTATACGTAAAAACTACTAATAATTCAAGCTGATATAAATACTATGTTTATGTTGTACAAACTTGTTGAAAGGGGTCATGCGTAGTGAAGATCATTTTCAAATTGACTTTGCCATAGCACTCAGCTTTATAGAGCTAGTTATGTGACGAACAGTGACTGAATGTTTCGATTTTGCATGCCCCTACTTTACTGTTTAGGTTCCCTCTTACCGCTCTCATTATTCAAATACGCAGTCAGCTGTTTTCAGTGCTGAACTCACTGTATGAAAAAAACAAAACAAAGTTTGCAGCTAGCTGGTGGACAGATTGAAGCACTAAGCATTTACGATTAGGAATTAGAAAGTGTTCT